CCTTGATTAGCTTGTCTAATAGTGTGTGGAAGTTGGCACATGACAGCGTGAAAAGAAAAACTCTCATGAAGGAAGGCGCTTGCCCTCTTTTGTGACTGAACTTCGCCGGGTTCGCTCGAGAAATTTGATATGTGAGTGTCGGCTTTGAAAACTCGCTCGAAACTATCGGGCACTCTGACTTTTTGTCAGGAAGACTCTCTCAAGACTTCTGGTGGAACACGGCGTGAAACTATGCACGCGGCCAGATGAGAGCGAAATATGTAGCAAGAGACTTTTTCCATGATCGTTCAAGGAATGAAACTAACACCAGCAAATTTGTTGAAGGCGTACTTGTTTCCTCTGTTGTAGTACTCGATCATACTTGCCGTTTGCCAGCGTAAGTGACAGCCTACGCGGCTACTGGAGACTTTACACCGCATAAGGTGTTGTAGACACCCTATGCGCAAACTCTGCGTCCTGGCAGTGCCGAAAAACGCTTTGAAATCGGTCACGAAATTAGACCGCCAATCTGTGGAGTTGTCGTCCAACAGAGGCAATAAATTGTGTGGACACAGTGTACACGAGTCTTCATTTCTGCACAGGCAGCACACGTACACCTTGCGTATGAAGTTCGACTTCAAAACGTGTTTGTCTAAATTTAGACAAAAGACCTCGGCCGCCTCGTTATACGAGAAGTCGCCGGAAAACTTGTGGTAGGTGTTGTTATGTCGTGAGGCGATGTGGTGAGTCTGCATCTGTTCCTCGATGGAGCCACCGTCCTCCACATCGGATGGGGAATCGTCGAGGTCGTAGTGGGAGTGGTGCAGCAGAAATTCGTCTTCCAGGCCGAAACTAATTTTGTTGACCAGAGTCGACTTTCGTAGCCCGAACAAAAAACCAATTGCGCACGCAGCTGCGAATTGGTATTTCTTGTTGTGCTCGAGGTTAACGAGCTCGAGAACTTCTTCCAACTGCACTGCTGGTGGCTGGGTATGCTGGAACATACCGGCCCGCTTCTGGCGTGCGACCGTCTGCGAAATGAAAGTCTTGCCCGCCTTCCCCAAGGTGCTCCCCCCCGGAATTGCCTCAAGCCTGGCAATAACAGACCATAAATAATCATCCGCCGTCGTGTAAAACGACTTTGTCGGGGTGTCGCCGACAAGCGCGGTGAAAAATGTCAGAGCGTGGTCCCGCGTAATGGGCCACGGCTTGAGAAGGTGGGAGGACTTGGGGTGCTGTCCAGCTGCATGACAAATTTGGAAGTAGCACTTCAGTCTTGCGTCTTCCGTGAGGTTCGCAGGACGTGCAGTGATCTTCTCTTTCGCTGCTGCGAGTCGCGGGTAGTTTGATGCAAGAGCGAGAGCTTGTGACTTCTGGGAGGACTTCTTGGTTTTCGCTGGATCCATAGCGTCACGGAAGAGTCGTAACATCTTCGGGTGAGGCGCCATCTCGGTGAAAAACCCTGCTGGGAATGTTGCTGGTTTTTTCGGACTAGAGTTGTATGGATCTGGTGGGAAGAAGTCGTCCTTGAGTAGTTCTGCGTCGCTGCAAGCTGCAACTGCTGCGGCGAATGCTTCATCCGATGATGCTGCTCGTGGGCGTTGGAAGGAATCGTACGGAGTCGATCTGGCTTGAAAATCGGACGCACTCCGTTGCCGAGATGATGCTGATGAGGACTTTTGTTTCATCAGAATCTTGTGCGTATTCGGACGGGACTGGATGACTGCTGACATCCCCGCCTGGTGAGCATACTGCTGCGGGGCAGCGAGAGCAGCGTCAACCCAAGACATCTTGTTGAAAAAGGGAGGGATCTGAAAGATCGAATGGGTGGGAAAATCGAAATGTGAGTCAAAGACTCTACTGCCATCAACGTCTGTGCCCTTAGCGCGCTCGTCGATCACTCTCTCTCAGTAAAATTTCAACACAGAGATCTAGTTTTACGATTTTACTGATCTCTCGATCTCAAACTCGCAAATGCGCTGTGACCCTTAGTCCGAGCGGAAAGAGCTTCACGAATGAAGCTGCGGGTGAGAATTTTGTCGCACGAGAACTCGCGCCTCCGCTCCTTAGCGCGCTCAAACCAAACAGAACTAAAGACCTGTCTGGCGAGAACTATCACCGCCAGGTCAAAGACTGCCTCTGGAACACGACTGAGTGTAGAGGAAAAGAACTCGCCAACAGGTCTGGACCTGGGAAGACTGTTCAGCTCAGAGGGAGGTGTCGCTATCCACCTCGTTGTGAACTGGGCAGCTAAAATCGAAACGTGAGTCAAAGACTCTACTGCCATCAACGTCTGTGCCCTTAGCGCGCTCGTCGATCACTCTCTCTCAGTAAAATTTCAACACAGAGATCTAGTTTTACGATTTTACGGCTGAGGACGGGTGGGTAGCGGGCGCAGGTGGGTAAGACGAAAAAAAAACTTAGGCCAGTTTCGAAAAAATGGCCAGCCTTCCCCCCTGCAAATTGCCCGGAAAAAATGAAAAATAAAATATTGTTTTTACGGCTGAGGACGGGTGGGTAGCGGGCGCAGGTGGGTAAGACGAAAAAACAACTTAGGCCAATTTAGGAAAAATGGCCAGCCTTGCAAATTTCCCGGAAAAAATGAAAAATTACTGCTTTTACGGCTGAGGACAGGTGGGTAGCGGGCGCAGGTGGGCAAGAAGAAAAAAAAACTTAGGCCAATTTTGGAAAAGTCAGCGTCCCCCCTTGAAAATTGCCCGGAAAAAATGAAAAGTTACTACTTTTACGGCTGAGGACGGGTGGGTAGCGGGCGCAGATGGGTAAGACGAAAAAAAAACTTAGGCCAATTTTGGAAAAATGGCCAGCCTTCCTCCTGGCAAATTGCCCGGAAAAAATGAAAAATTACTGCTTTTACGGCTGAGGGCGGGTGGGTAGCGGGCGCAGGTGGGTCTAAAACGAAAAAAAAACTTAGGCCAATTTTGGAAAAATGGCCAGCGTCCCCCCTTGCAAATTGCCCGGGAAGAATGAAAAATTACTGCTTTTACGGCTGAGGACGGGTGGGTAGCGGGCGCAGGTGGGTGTGAAGACGAAAAAAAAACTTAGGCCGATTTCGAAAAAATGGCCAGCCTTCCACCTTGCAAATTGCCCGGAAAAAATGAAAAATTACTGTTTTTACGGCTGAGGACGGGTGGGAAGCGGGCGCAGGTGGCTCGAAGACGAAAAAAATTCTTGGCCGGTTTCGGAAAAATTCTAGGCCGGTTTCCATCCAACTTTCTCGTGCTGGTGAAGGTCCTCGTGTGATAAGCTGATTTTGATAGTACAAGTAGAGCTAGGCGTTCTTGTACTTACTCTCACACAATCCACAACATCTAAACCGTCCGAAAAAAATTCGAGGCTCATCAAGTTAATCAATGCGCATGGGGACGCGCGGGCTTCGCGTGCTATTTCCGTTTGGTAAACAAAACAATCAGGGCACTTCCTGTTTACGATGATCGGCAACAAACGCAAAACACTTGGCATATAAACAAAACAATTGACAAACAAAACAAATCATCATCAAGGTCCACTTCTTGTTCGTCCACCCTAGAAGTGTTTGCAGTTGTAGGGGGCCAAAGCGATGAAAATAGTCAACATCTTACAAGTTGCCACTTAGACAACAACTACGCACACCTCGATAGCAAAACGGCTTGATCGTGACTAAACCTTCTTGCTCAAGCCAACAAAAAGTTTTTTCTTCCCGAGTAAAAAACATAAAAATCCTATGGTTGTCGAGCGGTCTAACTACCGTAAGTAGAACTACAAGAAGCGGTCCAACTGTAAATATCGAAGAAGCTCGTCTCTAACGACAAGAATTATAGCCAGCCAGGTCGTTCTTTAGTAGTCAAAACATCAAAACGAAATAAATCCCTGTCTAAAACGAGTTGTGGTGGTCAAGCAACCCTCTGTATTCGTAATTTGGACGAACATCGCAAGAGGTGAACAAGATCCTAGAGGTGCCTGGGCCGTCCAGCTGGGGGGTGCGACTAACTTAGAGCGCACCAGCGGGCTCTTATTCCAATGTTCCTGATGGCAGCATCAATGCGTCTTCGCTACTAGTACTAGCGTCGTGTTGATTGATCATAAAACGGTCTCTCAATGTCGGCGACGGGCCACGAGCCTTGTGTCGCGTTCATCGCGCATCCTGCACTCTAGCGGATGCTGCTGCCTCCTTACAGGAGCAGTATACAGAAATTGTTTGCATTTGATAAAATGGCTCCCGGATGTTGAAAAGCAGCAGTGAAGATGAAAATCTCTATCAGCGAGAATATCCTCCCTATATCTTGTTCCACGACCCCCCTTTGGGTGGCAAGGGTGGGGCGGACCAATCATTAATAGTGGAACAATCTCGCACGATCTTCTCGCTATTCATCGGATTTTTATACCTGCCTTTTCTGATTCGACGAGGTGGAGAGCTTTCTGACTCGACGACGCTAGGAGCTGATTCTTCTGTCGCCTGTGGTGAAAGTGGAACTCTAGACTCAGTTGTTTTATTGCTAAAATAAACGTTATACAGGAGTTCTTGTGCACCATAGGTAAAATCTTTCTGTGGTCAATCTTACACAATGAAGAAGTTCATCTTACACTAGAGCTCTACTTGAGGACTCAGAGTTCCTTCAAAACATGTGCATAGGTAAAATCTTTCTGTGGTCAATCTTACACAATGAAGAAGTTCATCTTACACTAGAGCTCTACTTGAGGACTCAGAGTTCCTTCAAAACATGTGCATAGGTAAAATCTTTCTGTGGTCAATCTTACACAATGAAGAAGTTCATCTTACACTAGAGCTCTACTTGAGGACTCAGAGTTCCTTCAAAACATGTGCATAGGTAAAATCTGTCTGTGGTCAATCTTACACAATGAAGAAGTTCATCTTACACTAGAGCTCTACTTGAGGACTCAGAGTTCCTTCAAAACATGTAGCTCTACTTGACTCAGAGTTCCTTCAAAACATGTAGCTCTACTTGACTCAGAGTTCCTTCAAAACATGTAGCTCTACTTGACTCAGAGTTCCTTAAAAACATCAAAACGAAATAAATCGCTGTCCAAAACGTCGAGTTGTGGTGGTCCCTGTCCAAAACGAAACAAATACCTGTCCAAAACAATACGAAAAAATTAACCAAAAGACCACTCGCGGGCCCGACCTGTACTTTTCGTCGAGAAATGATGACTGTAATCTGTTCGACTCTAAGCCTTAGATTGTCCCGCGACCTACTCCTGTTCTTTTTCGTCCCTGTAATCTTCTTATCTGTTGAATAGGAATAATTTGCTCTTCGAAAGACGCAGCGGAAGAAGTGCTGTGGCTGCTAGCTGAGCCTGTTTGTTGTCCTTTTGTGATTTGGCGCCAAGGATTTCGATCAAGACAGTCGCGAACCGTAGCGCGCATTTTTGTCATGTCGGCGCGGATTTCTGTAAGCCAGGTTTTTGTTGCTCCTTGTCCGTGTTTTTGCTTTTGTACTGTGGCGGACAGCATGATGTGGGCCCATCGCGTCGGCGGGTATCGGACAAGGTGCCCTTTCGTCGAGAAATAAATAAATAAAAAGAAAAACGCGGTCTTTCTGTTCGTCTCCCGCATAATTTGTTTATCTGCTGGGTTTTGTCGTGCCCGACCGAGGTGACCACAACGAATGTACGAGAGTTGGGAAGGTTACGGAGATAGTACATAATTTGTTTATAGTAATACTTCGAGAAGTTGTACTAGCAAGCATGAGCATTTCTGCGAGAAGGCTCTGGCTCTTGCGGCTATGAAAGTAATTTTTCTTTTCTATTTGCAGGAGCAGGACCACATCAGCTTTATTTCATCTTCCAAAACCAAAACATAAAGAGGCAGAGCGGAAAAATACTTGATGTAGATAGAACCACTTTTATGCCGACTTCAGTGCCTGTAGGCCTTTTGGAACGGCCTCCTCCAACATGGGCACATGATATCCGGGGGTGATGATGGGGTCCAAAGTGGTCAACTTTTTCCCCTCCCCCGCGAGGCGCTTTAACTCGTCCGTCCAGACACTGGCCTGGAACGGAATCCAGTCAAACATATTGGGCGTTTCGCTGGCATTCTTCGGACGGGGCAGCGAGTCTCCCCACGTGACCACGATGCTGCGCCTATCCTGAGTAAAAACGTCCCCACGCCAGAGTTGTAAGGCAAATTTGCAAAGACAGGAAGACTTGTAATGCGCATCCCCATGAGAGCCATTTTCAATCGTGTTTTGGAATTTGTGATGCTGTGAACAGGATGAGCAGACGAATCTGTGATGCGGCGGCACTTTCTAACCTGCACTACGCTGCGGAGTGCAACTTGTCATGCGTGACTCACAAAACTCCTGGGCTTGTGCTGCAAAATCCCCATCCCGACTCTGGTGTGGGGACGTTTTTACTCAGGATAGCGCTCCGGGAGGCTGTGGCTCACCTGCGAGGCCATGGCGCTGTCCTGCTTGTACAGATTCGAGTGGTATGGATTGCAAAAATGTCTGGGTCTGGACGATTGCAACTTGTCATGCTAAATCCGAATCATGCAGAAATCTGTGTTGCATGAGTGCCAAAAACTGTCCACATTCGGCCAAGTTTGGAGGGAGTTTCTCATGCAGGATAGGCATGGTAGACACCTCACAGACTTTGTTATGCTAGGTCCCGCATTCCAGACCTGATGCGTCATGGAAAACCTGCATGACAAACTTCTCTTCTTCCAGACCCAGACATTTTTACATTTGATAAGTGGCTCTCGAGCAGCTTCCCGCCCCAGTAGTCCCGGAAGACTCGGTTTTTCGTGCTATCCAGTTTGCGCTGCATTTTGGTGGTGGCCCCGGCTATGAAAGAGAAAAACTGTGTAAAATAAAATGTAAGAACTTTATTCTTGCAGGAACTATAGCATCTTCACAAGTTTGCTCTGCATGACACAGAAAACCACCTCCTGTCATGCGTAGCTGGTATCCCTATCCGCGAATAAATATAGCATGTTGTACGAATAGAGCGTGTGACGCATGTCCACCAGGAGCATGGCAGGTGTAATTGTCTCGCATCGTCTACTGCAACACAACAAAGTTCTTACACTTACGCAGTTTTTTCCTTGGATACCGGTCACCGCCAACGCGTTACCGAACCTACCGCCAAGAAGTATGGCGTTCTCAACTGTTACATTTTCAACTGTTGCATGAATTTGTGATGCCAGAATGGCAAAAGTGATAGGGGGGATCTTGCGCGTCGTGCATGAAAGATTTGGAACCGCCTATCAGCCTGCTTGGCCCTCTGGGAATTTGTCATGCGAAGCAGCTGGATGGCGTCGATTCTGAAGGCAATTTTGCATGACAAATCATGTAACAGTTGAGAATGTAACGTTTGAGAACGCCATAAGAAGCAGATATTTGCGGAACATTTTTGTTCCCAGTGCAACTCCTTTGCTTCGGGGAAGATTATTATCTTGCAAGAACTTTATGCAGTGTAAAAGTAAAGTATCGCACTCGTATAAATGCATGACAAATTTCCTCAGCATGAGGTAATGCGGATTTTCCTCAAGAAAAAGATTTGTAATGCATGATTGCAAAAATACGAGTACGATGCTTTTGCACAGGATAAACTCTCTCTGCCGCTGAAACTCCTTCATGGCGAAGGACTTAGCCAGGGCTTTTGCGCCCTGGATACCGTTTTGCCCAGGAAACTCAAAAGTCGCCAGTTATCCTGAGCAAAAACGTCCCCATTATATTACCAGAGGCAAGATGGGAGATCAGCTAGACAAATCAACTAGCTTTGTTTGGTTCGCATGACAAGCTTCGGTCCTCGTAGTGTGATCCGCGATTTCGCTAGCTCAGCAGCATCTTCACAGATGTATATTATGCTGGTTCTAGCATCAGAAATCCCAAAACACGGCTGGACATAAATGCCTCTCATGGTGCTCCACATGAGAGATTTTTTTTGGCATCATGCAGATTTGCATGACAACTCTGGGCGGTTGGGGACGTTTTTACTCCGGATACCGCTTCGAAATTCTCCACCGGGCCGTCTTCGGTGTCCTTCCACTGGCTCTGGATCCAGGCCTTGTACAAATTATAGGGCCCGGCGGGAGTATTCTGGTGTTCCCGCATTCGCTTGAAGAGCTTATGGCGTTCTCAACTGTTACATTCTCAACTGTTACATGATTTGTCATGCAAAATCGCCTTGACTATCAACGCCGTCAAGCTGCTTCGCATGACAAATTTCCAGACGGCCAAACAGGCTGAGAATCTGCGCCAAATCTGTCATGCAAGACGCGCAAGGTCCTTCCTTTCACTTTTGCCATTCTTGCATCACAAATTCATGTAACAGTTGAGAATGTAACGCTTGAGAACGCCATAGAGCTCCGCCGTGTCGTTTGCGTCATCCGCAGCCGCCGCGACCGTTTCTGCGTGTGCCAGGCGATCCGCAGGCGTAGTATACGGCTCAAGCTGGGCGCGCTGCAGTCCGTAACGGGCGCTCGCGTCGCAAAACGCGGGGTCTAGCAGCAGCAACTCGTGGAAGAGATCCGGGTGGTAGGCAAACAGGGCCAGGGACCCCGGGCCGGCGTTGCTGTGGCCAACGAGCATCCGACTCACCGTTATGGAGAGAAGAAAGTTTGTCACAGTCACTAAGTTGCAGGCTTTGCATTACAAATTTTTTTAGCATCACAACTTCTCCTTGTATTGCAGAAACACTAGGGAAATCCCTTACGAAATGTGGCTGTGATGCATTTTTACGCATGACAGACAATTTTGTATTGCAAAGATGCCCATGAGTGATCGTGACGAACTTTTTTGTTTTGATAACCGTAGCGGCGGCCGCGGTCTCAGCGGTCTTCGCGTCGGCATCTCCTCTATGCATTGCAAATATGATGTCTGGGTCCGTCTGGGAGCCGCTCAAACTTGTAATGCGTGCTGTGGGTCAGCACGCAAAAATCTGTGCTGCGTGACTGCCAACAGTTGCCAGCTTTGATAAAACTCAGGGTGGGAAGGACAAGGAGTTTCTCATCGACAGCAGAATAGGCATGATAAAGACCTCAGAATAAAATCTGTCAAGCTAGGCCCTGCATTCCAGAGCTCATGCGGCTTTGAAGACCTGCATGACAAAAAACCTTCGATTCTTCCACACGACCCAGATCGATGTTTGCATTTGATATCCTCCGGGTTGCGGCAATTTGTGCGCTGCGACCGCGGGCAGTCCCAATTTGTCAACCTATCCTGAGCAAAAACGTCCCTACCGCATAGCTGTCATGCAGATTTGCATCTACAGAAACAATTGCAATGCGGGTCCCCACGAGAGGCATTTCTAGCCGCGTTTTGGAATTTGTAATGCTGGAAACAGGATGCGCAGATGGATTTGTGACGCGGCTGCCCTTACGAACCTGCACTACACTACGGACTGCAACTTGTCATGCGTGGCTCCCAAGACTTTGAGATTTGTGTGGGATGGGATGGGAATTAGGTGGTGATTGGCGTTGCCTCTTACCTCGACCCTCGATAGACAGACGCGGGTTTACATCTTTTCGCGACCTGGCACACGACTAGGAGGAGGCAGTGTGGTCGCCTCTCGGGCCTGAACACAAGCCGGAACCCTAAACCTGTTTATGAACCCTAAATTTGTGTTGCTAACTTTCCAACTTGACTATGGGGTGGGGACGTTTTTACACAGGATACCACCTCCACGGCCTTCATGACCGAGTCGGCGAACGTCAGTCCGTAGTCCGCGAGGTACTCCGGCAGGGGGCGGCGGTTGAAAAACTTGCGGCGGTAGGGTATGAGGGTGTCAGGATTGAAATCGTCAAAGTTGAAATAGTTTGTCATGCACAAAAGCGATACCAGTCGGAAGCCCAGTTATGAAGCGGCGCATGACAAATTTTCTGAGCACCGGAATCCAACCTGTCATGCTGTTTGGGCACACAAGCCATGCTACTTTAGCAGCTCTATTTCAAACCCTCAACAGGCTCACAATCGACCTCGCTTGCCATCTCGGCAAGACAGGCACTTCATGCCTTGCATTTTCTGCATGCCAAATCATTTCAACTTTGTCGATTTCAAAACCTGACGCTTCCATATAGGGCGACGCCTTCTTATTCCCGTAGGGCGCGTTCGGAAACCAGAGTCGGACGACGTAGGTGTATTACAGTGAAAAATGCCCCCACCCCCACAGTTCCAAAACTTTGTGATGCGAAGTTTCCAAATGAAAACCTTTTGCCATGCATGAAAGGAGTATGCATCTTTCTGATGCAGAGTCTAAGCGTGTATCGCATCGCTTGCATGACAAGCGCCGCCCTTGCTGGGGCCCTTTACAATACAAATTTTTGCTATTCACGATTGGAAATCTGTGATGCTGATAGATGCAAGAGGGTGAGTTTTTCATTTGGAAAGGTTCGCAATACAAATGCTGGCTTCCAAGTTCGGGGGTGGGGGCATTTTTCATTGTAATAAAGTGTGCGTCTTGTTCTCCACATCTGGGGAGCAGGTCGATGCGACTCTCTTGGAAGGACCTTCGTCGAAGGCGTAGATGAGCTTCCCGAGCTTCGCGTCGGCGTCATTCAGCAATTGGTCAAAATCCGCTTGCGGCGCGGCGTCCGGCTTTTTGACGCACCGGCGGATCTCCGCCTTGAAGCGCAATCGGCGGGCGGCGTCTATCAAGTGCAAAAATGTCTGGGTCTGGAAGAATGCAACTTGTGATGCTGCATTTGGATTGCAAAAAAATCTGTATTGCATGAGTACCAAAGGGAATGTAATTTTTGCTACGCGGAGAGGGCATTTGTCATGCGGAATAGGCATCAAGAAGCTCTCAAAAAATCTGTGACGCTAGGACATGCATCACAGACATCAGGGCTCACGCAAAACGTGCATGACAAGTGTCAGAATCTTCCAGACCCAGACATTCTTACATTTGATAGCGTCGGCATCGTTGCCAAAGGGCCCGATCTCGAACTCCCCCGCCGGAATGCCTGGGGCTTTCGGCAAACACTCTCTGGGATCAACACGGTTGTTACCACCACCACCACCTCCTCCTCCGCCCCCTTCGGCCCCGATCTCGAACTCCCCCGCCGCAATGCCCGGGGCTTTCGGCAAACACTCTCTGGGATCAACTACAGGGTTGTTACCACCACCACCACCTCCTCCTGCGCCCGGGGCGGGGGCGGGTGGAGGATTTGTTCCGGGAGCAGAGCCGGGGGTAGGATTGTTTCCTCCGGGAGGGCAGGGGGTAGGATTGTTTCCCGGCGAACCACCAGAAACCGTCTGTTCGCGGTTCTGGTTGGCAAGGACAACCTATCGCATGCAAATATCGATCCGGGTCTGGAAGTGAGTCCGAGTTATTTGTCCTGCTATTTTTAAAGCTGATCGTGATCGACGCAAAAATCTGTCTTGCATGTTGACCAGAAATAAAACAAGCCCCCACTTTTGGATATTACCCGAAAGGGTACTAACATTTTTCATGCGATATAAGCATCGAGGATCCTAATCCTTCTAGAAAAACTTTTTATGCTGGGGCCCGCATTCCAAACCTTGACCTTCACCTTCTGGGCCATGCGCGACCTGCATGACAAACCTTCCAACTTCCAGACCCAGATCGATATTTGCAGCACATACAACTACCGGCACTACCACGACAGCCGTTAGCACGCTGAGACCACCCACGATCATCAAGACGATGGCCCAAAGGGGCAGATGACAGCAGGAGCGGTTAGAAGCAGCTGCACTTTTTTCTGTCCTGCTGTTTTCGCCACTTGGACTGCTGGTCCGAAGGAGCGGGGAGGAACTTTCCTCGCTATCCAAGAAAAAAACTGTGTTAGTGTAAGTTTGCTTGGCTGACAGCATCACAAATTTGCTCTACATGACAGCGAACACCTGCCATGCGTGGCTTGTAAGGGAAAACACACATGAAAAGAGGAGTTCATGGCTATCGGGCATGACAGGTGCAACTCTACTGTTGCATGTTCTGCATTACAAAGTTACACTTACACAGTTTTTTTCTTGGATACTCGCCGTTCAGAATGTGATGGTCCTCTGTAGCAACGACGTTGTGGACCACGGGATCATGTTGACCGGTACGAACGTGTTCGGCAGTCATCTTTTTTCCCGATCAGTTCGGTATTTTCTGATAGTGCACGTCGCAAGCTATGTAGGGGAGACGAGGGAGACAGTACTGAAAAAGTTCAAGTATAAATAAGTAGACCAATGGTCGACGTCGAAAGTCAGTAAAAAAGGTAGAAGAGGAGGTCGTGGAAAAGAAACTTTACACTGTTCTTCTCGTTGCGGCTCTAGTTCGCTTGTAGTTGGTTCCCTTGATGTTGAAAATCTTCAAAATGACGTATAGTAGAAAGATGTAGTAGACAAATAATTGCACAAGAAAGACTCACAGCGCTGTACCGGGGTGGCGTTTGGAAAAAATAGTAGGGTGTTTGCTATCAGTAGAAAGCGGAGGACCACAACTACAAGGCTGCTGTATATAATAATCACAATGTGAGCGAGTTTAAGTACTTCTCACAATTGAGAAACATCAAGATCGACTTTTCACGACCGAAATGTGCTGGGTGATCTTGCTTCTGTTGTTCGGACGACCACGAGTCGTCCTAATTGCTATTGCTATTGCGATTTTTGCCACGAGAGTAAGCGAGGCATTGCGGCTGCAGCTAAGGGCAGATATAGTGATTGTACAACACGAGATAGTACTTAATACCACCGACGGAGCACTAGCGGCAAAATTTTTAGTACCGTGACAGATCAGAAGATTTTTTTACTTCTAGTATCCGGATGATCATTATGTTGAGCTTTGCAGAAGGGCTATGCGACCGCCACTTTTGCTTTGTTGTATTTACTTTTGTTTGATCATGTTCTATGCTATCTTCTTGGCAACTGTGTAAGTAATTTGTAGTCCAAGTTGTAGCAAAAAAACTTCCTCGTGATCTTGACCGATGTGCTACTTCTAGTTGGGGACTTCTACATGAGAAACTTCATGTTCTTCATGTTGAGCTTGAGAAACCGAACTATTACTCATCGTTGACCGATGATGCGGAGCACTTCTACACGGTATGAGTTCATCATCTTCTTGAGCTCCTGCCCCTTCTTCTTCCGCAGTGAAGCGGAGACTTCTATCTTCCACAAAGAACTCATTCCAACTGTAGTGATCACTCTTTTGTTTTTTCACATCCTTCGCTAGTAAAATGGAGATCATCTTCTTCCAAAGCCATGCGCCAAAAAGCAGTCGCACGAAGAAAGTAGTCGTCCCCTGCTGCACTGGGTCAAAGATGAACTTAATGCTGTTCCCTGCAGATGTAGATGGATCGCCTGGCTGTAGTAAGTACATACATACACGATCCACGCGACCCTTCGAGAGGTTTGGGGGGCTCTTAATTTGATCCTGTACGGACGAGCAAGAGCGTGAAGCAACCCGCTGTATTCGTGATTTGGACGAACATCGCAAGAGGTGAGCAAGGATCCTGGAGGTGCCTGGGCCGCCCGGCTGGGGGGGCGACTTAGAGCGCACCGGCGGGCTCTTATTCCAATGTTCCTGATGGCAGCATCAATGCGTCTTCGCTACTAGCGTCGTGTCTAATGTGATTAATTTTAGAACGGTCTTTCAATGTCAGCGACACAGGCTTCAATGTCATGAAGCCTTGTGTCGCGTCCATCGCGCATCCTGCACTCTAGCGGATGCTGCTGCCTCCTTACAGGAGCGGTATACAGAAATGGTTTGCATTTGATAAAATGGCTCCCGGATGTTGAAAAGCAGCACTGAAAATTTATCAGCGAGAAGATCCTCCCTATATCTTGTTCCACGACCCCTCGCCCTTTGGGCGGCAAGGGTGATGGACAGCGGACTAATTTAGAGAATCAGAATCAGAAAGTTTTGGCTTGGCTTGGCTGCGGGGCGGCGTTCCAGAACTTTAAGAGTGCAGCTGGAGCTTTCATGAGCTAAAACTCGGCCACGCTTACTAGTTTTAGTAGAGGCGGCTAACAGTGACCCTGTCCTCCTCCCACGTGATCATACAAACCCCGGCCTGAAAATCATGCCTACTGGGTGGGACTGGGAAACTTAGGCCATAAACCCCGACAAGGACACTGAAAGTCGCGCGTGTCCACGGTCGAAACCGACCGACTTTTTTTGCGGCCGACGCCAATGCTACACTTCTGATGGTGTACGTGAGGCGTGGTATGACGAAAAGTCAGCTAATCCGACTTCTCATCGGAATTCGCATAAACCCTGCATGGAGAGGTTGCTGTCTCCGGGTACTTCAGCGGTGTAGAGCAAAAAAAACGCTTTGATCTTCTGCAAAGATAAAAAGAATGGAGGTGTAGTAAAATCAGAGCAAACGTTCCGCATGATAAAAGGCTACAAGGAATAAAAGCACCGCCGAAGGTCTACAAATCAGAAAAGCGCAATGCAAAACGTGCAGGTTGCCTACGGTGAAAACTCGAAGGTCCCCACGCAATGCGGGTGAGAGGTTGCTGTCTCACAAATACAAATGGAACAAAACAGGCGGGAGACCGAAGGTTGCTGTTCGGTGCAGCCCGCGCGAGATACTAGATAGAGCGCTAGGAAGGAATCCACAGAGGAAGCTGCTCTGCGAATTATGATACAAATGCTGAAGTGAAGCGGAAAAAAAACTATAACAGAGTAGCGGACGAATTCTAATCGAAATGTAAAGGAAGGGGTGCTAACAGCACGACACCATCATCACAGCCAAATCCTCCTCCTCGACCGCCGGCGCAGGCGGAGCAAGAACTTCGCAACCAGAGTGGGCGTGCAGGGCGGACAGTCCAAGAAGGGCGCGTCGTGTGGCGGCAAATGAATCTACACGATTTAGACCGAAGCACATTCTACTGTCCGGACAGACACCAAAAGCTATAAAATCCCGATAACTAAGACTAACAGCCTGCTGCTGCAAAAAAAGAAACCCCACCAAGCCTGCAGTTAATTGGGAAAGAAAAGACAAGCCGACGGGCTTCACCAATCGCCTCGGCAAACCTGCAGCGATGGATCACCAGCCGTCTTGGAAATTGATGTATGTGGCAGTGCGACGAGGTTCTAGCGCTAACATGATGAGAGAAACGAAGATCCAACATACAAAGCAGCAGCGGGGAACGCGATGTCCTCCCAGCTGTGCACCAGATCGCGACTGGTCGCGAAAACAGCAATGGCAGTGGTGAGATCCGCAGTGGCAATGGAAGAGAAAAAATAACAGTGACCTACAACTACAAAATAGATAACAGAGAATATAACCAAGGAAAAAATGTAGAGCTGCGAAAACAGTGACTATCGGAAGAGACAGAATCAGCTTGATAACTTTTTCAACTACAGAACAACAAGATAGACAACAGCTTGGAGAACGTTGGTAGAAAAGGAAAACTACAGCTTTTGACACACGAAGTATGGCCGCGAAGTCAGCAATGGCAATGGCGAGACAGCAATGGCAATGGAAAAAAAGGAAAAAAGCTTAATAATAGCAACAAAAAACCTACCGAATAGAACTAGACTGTAGAGCAGACATAACAATAACTATACGCGATATTAACCAGAGTAACTGTAATAAACCTGGGAAAAAAATAAGCACTATAACTAGAAAAGCCGATGAGTATCTGAACAAGGTAGCCTGACAGTTGTAGAAGATTGATATTAACGTTCGTAGATTTATTTTGAGGTCCTCAGCACCTTCGAAAGCTCCTCCGACGAAGCGGCGCTGCGTCTGAATTTTTTTAGGACGTGCACGCGGGTACGCACCTGGTGGAACACAGTGTGAGTTGTGCACTCTGATACTTATCACCAACTCGTTGTCCAGAGAACCAGACACGAGTTGTACACTTTTCAAATTATACAAGTAGTTTTTTCTTCCAAAAAATCCGTGACGTACTATGGGAGTTTTCCAGTTTCTCATTGCACTTCGCACCCTTACTTCCTTTTGACGATGGTCGTCGTGCGTCTTTTTTTACGAACATGCAGATCTTCGCCATATTATGACTAATGTCTAAAAAAGCAAATCTTACACATCGTAAAGGCGGTTTTTATGGCGCGAGTGCAAGCTTTAGCGCGTAGCGCTGTTGACAGTAATGTCATACTTCACGCGAAAGTGTTTCATTAGAGATCGGGTTGGATGGACGTGTTTTACATTTTCGCTTGTAATGCAAAGCCTTCCATCCACTTCCAGCGCTCGCTAAATTTAGAGAATGGCGCTCAGATGCACGGATGCTTGCGAGCTTGCAATGCTACGCACGGACCGATGCTAAGAGAGTTACAACAATAAAAGCATTTTGAAGTAAACTACTAAAGTATTAAACAAAACACGGGGGAAGTTCGAACATACACAAAATTTGCGTCAGCTTGTAAAAATGCGTGTAGCAAGTATGTTCAAACTATTCGACTTCGACCCCTGTGAAAGAACTTAAGCCAAAAAAATGTACTCCCACACGTAGTACTCTACTTACATATGCCAAAACCATAGAGAACGCAGTTTGTAAAGCCACTTCCCAACTTTAAAACGTTTTCATCGTGACAACTAATTTCTTCTACTCCTTTGCCGCGCGATGTTTGTCGTGTAGTGCTTCCTTTTACATCTCGTTTGCACAGACAGAACTACGAGTAGTCAGCGTTGGCAATGGTGAAAACCGCAATGGCAATGGAAGAGGAAAAAAAATAGCAGTGACCTACAACTACGATAGAACTCAAGAGATTATAGCAAGGAAAAAAAAATGAAGCAACAAGCACAAAGACTAATAGAGAAAACAAAACTAATCGAGAAAGAAGTGAAATATGGAAAAAAGAAGTAGAAAAACGCACTCTTGTGGACCCTTCTGTTCCTGTCTAGAATGGGCGGGAATCTCCATTTTTCTGGATCTTTACTTAAAGGTAAGGGGGCCACTTTCTAAAAGAAAAACAAGCTTTGTTCGTCTTCAGCTAGGACGAGGAGCCTCATTTTTCTGGATCTTTCAAAACGCTACCATTTGTAAAACATTTTCAATCTAAGAGAAGTACAACATAAGCTTAGCGAAATAAATTAAAACATACCCCAACAAAACAACAGAGAGAGAGAGAGATAACCTACATAGTCAGATCAGATCAGAGTGGCGACGCGCACGCTACCACCGGCGGCAGGGACGACCATAAGGGTCAGGAGACTCCCCTTTTTTCGAGGGGGGTAAGAAAGCTAAATCCGCGCGCAAAACTTCGGCGGGCTTCAAACTACTGAAAGATCCTGGTCGTGCGTGAGGGATGCAAAAGGATCAAAATGCAGTAAGAAGTCGAATAGTATAAAGCTCTCAAACCTCCGACGTCCTTATGTTCTCGTGTTGTTCAACTCCCGACGGTGATCGCAGCACCAGGAGCCCACACGAACTGAAAGAGTAACGCGCGGCTAGTAGACCAGAGCAGGCGCGAATCGCCGGTCATCCACAAGCGGAGACCAAACAATAAAACATTCATATACACGAGCAGAGCAATAGCGAGCGCACTAGCGCTGAGGAACAAGTAAGCTGTTTAGAGTTCCGGCGCCAAATGAATCTACTTGCCAGGATTAGCAGACCTGACCCAAAAATATCTACGATCAGACGCCATGGTGGAACTCCGCAGACAACAAACAAGCCTCCGATCATCATATAAAGTTTTCATGTCCACGGTGGAACCCGAGTGTGCAAGGGCGAGACGGGGGGAAACACCGGGGGATTACCTCCATCGTGGCGCATTTTTCTGCACCACCGGATCTCACGCGCATGTAAAAAGCCCTGACAAACAGCTGAGCACCCAAGAGGTGTCCAACCGAGAGGCAGCAGCGGGGGAAGCGTGTATCCGGGTCGGGGAAAATCTACACGAGCTTGGTAGTGCTGCATGTATGAAAGTTTGTAGTACAGGCTAAATGGGGCCGATCAGCCGATAAAATACAAAAGAAAAGCATGAGCAGTGCGCATGACAAATGTACTCTTTCGGAATTGTGCTATACACTAGAGTAAATGCCCACGGTGGTTGTTCGGAGCACCTGGACCGCCAGTCGTCGAAGTCGGTGTGCACGCAGCCAGAAATACAGACCGGGAGCGAGACCTCGACCGGATCGCCAGCACGGGCTTTGCGAGAACATCTGGGGGTCAGATTGTTGTAACCGTCGCTACCATCGCCTCCAAGCGAGTGAATCCGCCGTAATATCGCCAAGAATCCGAATGGCCGAGCAGAAGAAGTGGAAGCAGAAACCGGAGCCACGGCGGGCGATGCTAGGTCTACATGCGGATTATGACTGAATGCGCAAAAATATATGATAGAACTAAAAGAGCCGGGGGTTGCGATTGCTTCTCTTGGCGACTTCTGTTTTTTGGTTTTTGAAAATTGCTGTGCGCCTACAATGCTAGCCCGGTAAAGCGTAAAGAGGCGCTGTGGCATGGATCATTAAGCATGAGCTTACAAGACCAAAACATGAGGAAAAATATGATGAACCCTAAGAGTAGTACCTTCCACAATAATAACTAGAAGCTTGGATGAAGATCCTGACGGCAGTTTACGCCTAAAAATTGCTGTTTTCTATTGTTACGGCGATCAATTTTAACAAGAAAAAGCTACAAAAACTAAGGAAAATCGCTGACGGCAGTTTACGCCTAAAAATTACTGATTTTTTACAGTCGTGCCAAAAGATTTTACTTCTGCTGGCACGGAGGTGCCCGGGTCAGCTGATTTCGGAACTAAGTTTGCAACTTCGGTTCGCGTTGTTATCGCCCTGGGATTTTGCCACCTGTAAACACTAGAAGCCAATGCTAGACACAAAATGACGACTAAAACGCCGTAGCGCTACAGGGTTGAGGTGCGCGGCAACATTATGAGGATCCATATAGGGGTCTCACAGCGGTGGCGCGTGAATTTTAAAGAATTTTACAGCAAAATCTGCGAAAATGCGACAAATAAGCACTACAAGCCACGTTTTTATTTTCCAAAGTGATTTTCAAACTAACAGAAGGAACAGTGGTGCAAAGGTGCAGAGAGTATCAAAAGGACATAGTGAACTAGGCAGGACAATATACGACGAACATCACACAGTTGAACGCTGGCCTTCCTCTCGTTCCTCTGCACGCGTGATGCCTCTCCGCCCACCTCGCAACGGCTTCTAAAAATGGTCCGGCTGACTACACTCGGGTCGGTTGCCGCTCGTGTTGTACTATAGCTGGGACATGCGTTTTCGAATGGTAGCGGAGACGATCTAGACCGTAGACTAGACCGCCCCCTATCTACCGGCGCGGTTTTTTGTAGTCAGTTTCGTAAAGGCCGACCGGAAGACGCAACAAAACAACATAAAGTGCTTTTACACAGTCCTTCTTACATCGGGAGATCTTGGCTTTTGTAACTTTTGTCTAGAAAAAGAGATAACGTGACAAGCAAGCTGAAACGTAACGTGGTAAGAGCACATGTGAAATTAATGAACATGTTTGTAATCAAAAGAGCTGTAAGACAGTTTAGTACTAGGAAAAAACAAAAAACAAAGTTTCTCGAGCGATGGCTTGCTAGTGAGAGCAGGCACAAACTCTACACCCCTGGAGAAAAAAGGAAGAAGGAAAAAAACTAAAAAAAGGCAAGCGTAATGCTCCGCTTGACTTTTGCTAGAGAGCGAGCTACTTTCAAACACACGTGTGTTGATCTTCTCGCTATGTGTTGATCTTCAAGAAGAATCTCGCGTGTTGATCTTCTCGCTATTCATCGGATTTTTCTGTCTGCCTTTTCTGATTTGACGACGTGGGGAGCTATCTGAGGACTCGTCGACGACGCTAGGAGCTGATTCTTCTCCTGTGAGGTGCAAGTTGTGGAACAACCTGAGTAAAAACTCAGGTTGTTTTTCTAAAATACCCCGTTATATCACAGGAGTTCTTGTGCATCGGTAAAAAGAAAATTTATTTTCTGTGGTCAAAAATCTTACACGATGAAGAACTTCATCCTTTACGCCAAAGCTCTACTTGCTTCTACGGACAAAAATTCAGTTGTATGTCGTTCCTTCAAAACTAAGTGCACAATAAAGTAAAAGTAGCAGTACACTTGACTTCCGTTCAAAACAAGCATTTCAAAACAAGTAGGATAGAGCAAAACACCAAAACTACTGCAGCCTCCAAAGCGTAGTACAAGTAAGTACTACACATAAAACGAATAGTTGCTTCTCAACGACAAAACTATTCTTGTATCAATTCTCCTCCGTCTGACTTCTGAGTCGGACCTGGACCACCTCCCGTGGTTTCAAAAATAATAATAAACGTGGTAAACAAAATAAACTATCGTCAGAAGCAGCATGCCAGGAGTGCTTGTGCATGTGCTTTCGCTGCGTTTTGTATTATAGTTTCATCGTGTCATGCTCTTCAAAACTTACTTCAGCGCTCAAAAAATACGTTCATTTGCTTGGTACAACAGGTAGGACAATGCTTGTTTTCAACATCATTTTGGTTTATTTTCCCAACAGTATGTACCCTTTTTACGTAAGCATGATTGGGTTGCTCTTTTAATATTTGCGTACGGTACGGGTACTTCTATATGCAGTGCAAAAGTATCGTACTCGTATAAATAAAATAAATGCACTACAAATTTCCTCAGCATGAGTAATGCTGATCTACCTCAAGAAAAAGATTTGTAATGCATGATTACCCCTTCCTCTACCGCAGTGAGGTGGAGACTCTTTCCACGAACTTATGCAGCTGCCGACGGACCGACTGATATCGCTTTGGCTTTTCTCCACTTCCTCGCTGCCTGCATCAACCTTGTCAGGCGGAGTTGAACCGACGTGGATTGATCCTTTTCATCGATAAGTTAGGACGAACGAGATCTTATTTACTAGGTCCGCATTTTTAGTAAAATTTGGCGAAAGACCGAGTGTTCTTGGTCATGAATGTAACTTGATAAAATTCGACTATCGCAAGAGCCACCAAAACTGAACACGACCACCAGCACTCGAGATTATTCTTACTTAACGGGAGCAAAAAACCACATCTCCCATGTTGGACCCCTGTTGGATTAGCTGGCGCATGCGGCTAAAGCGAAAGGCAAAATCAAAGCAATTTTGCAAAATTGGCCAGCGTCCAGTCGCCATAAAATGCAAGAAAAAAATGAAAAATCACTGCTTTCACGGCTCAGGACCGGTGGGTAGCGGGCGCAGGGGGCTGAGACGAAAAACAAATCTAGGCCGATTTTGGAAAAATGGACAGCGCTCGAGCTCTAAAATTGCCGGGAAAAAATCAAAAATCAGCGTTTTCACGGCTGAGGACCGGTGGGTAGTGGGCGCACCGAACTTAGGAGCGAGATCATGGCTTTTTAGGTCGTCACTTTTAGTACAATTTGGCGAAAGATCAAATGACCAATCAGCTAGTGATGTTGTAACTTGATAAAATAAACTCGACTACCGCAAGAGCCTCCGAGGACGCTGAATCACATCAACATCGGGCAGCACCAACATTCATCGGGCAGCACTTCAGATTATTTTTTTGCCTCCTGATGTCTTCAGCCTTGTTCTCTACAAGGGATAGTTTACTGCTATCCCCCCTCGTTCGGCGTATTTCGCAATTGTGGTCTTTTTCAATGGTACTACCTTGTATCTTTTACTCGGCTCCACCTTGGCTAGCCACCTACTACTCTGTGCATTGATTGAAACCTTCCCGAGCATGACAAGTTTGAATCTTCCCGACCAAGAAAAATCTATGCCTTTTTCGTGGCTGACGACCTCCGACGGGACGGGTCTTAAATTATAGCGGGCAGCGTCGTGTTGTCTTAAATTATAGCGGAACAAGAAAAAGAACAAATATTACGCGAGTACTAGTAGAACAACAGACTTTCCTCTGAATTCCTGAGCTTTCGTCCCGGCTCGTTTCGCTTTCAAGGGGCCGTCGTAGACGATCATTGATTTCGACGGTGGATTCGGCTTTGCAATCGCAAACTTGACTACACACAAACTTCTTGCTCTTCTACATCATTGTCCTTGTCGTGCTGGAGGAGGTTCTTCCCGTGTTCCGTTTATTTCAGTTCACAGCTCACACGCGTTAGTTGTATCCTGGTTTAGCAAAAAGTCGTGTCTGTAGTCTGCAATAATGGATCGAATTATCGTGGATCATGTGCGTGCATGGCTATCGTCATCCTTTTTCCTTCTTCTTGGAGCTGCTGCTGGTCCGCACTATGTGAAGATAATACAACATGTTCATTATGTGGGCGCTTTCAGCTTTATTTTGGCGGAAAATAAATGTTCAGCGACCAACTCTGGAGACCACGCCCAAGGTATGCAAATTTCCAAGTAGAAGATGAACTGACGGATTTAATGTTATAGTACTTGCTCTCGTCACACACTCCACGCGATCTAAATTTTTGACTGCCGGTTCGAAAAATTTTTGAGGTTCAAAATCAAGGTCCACTTCTTCTTCCCTAGAAGAAGTATCCCTTTTTAGTACCAGTAGGGGGTCAATATAATGATCTTACAAGTTGCCGTGTAGAATGTCGCCAACAACTACACGACCTTGGAATAAAAACAGGTCCATCTTGCTCAAGCCAAAAAAGGGTAAATAAAAATCATACATTTTTGCCACAAAAAATCCCACTGGGAAGCTTGAATTTTGCACTTCCCATAGGGATCAAGTTCAAAAATCATACAACTACCTTGATCTTCTGAGTCGGACCTGCTTCCGTGGCCTATAAAGTAAACGTGCTAAACAAGATAAATTCATTTCCTGCAATGTCAGAAGCTGCATGCCACTCCCGGTGCTGGCGCTACTTCGTCCGCTGCATAATTTTGTTGTATAGTTTCAACTTCAAAAACTGTAAAAACTTCAACTGCCTCGTGGTCTTCAACTTCAAAAACTTCAATACGTGGATTTTTATCCTTAGTAGAATAGGACAATGCTTGTTTTGGGAAGACGAAGACGACCCTGACCACTCCCTCGGCCCGGGCCCCTTTGATTGTTCATCGCTTGAAAAAGTACATATGATTAATTTCGAAAAGCACGACTTGTTACGCTAGCTCTAGCTGCGGTAGGTTGTACTAGTCAAAAAACCTCCGCGGTGCTGCTGATAAACCTTGTTTGCAGTCAAAAAAACAAGATCTACTATGCTGATCAACCTTCTTTGCAACATCACTTTTCATCCCTCCAACAGTACCACTCACGTAAGTAAACGCCAGGAGAGGACCACCCCCTCCGTGTCCTCTTCAGGCTCAAGGCTCCTAAAAGCATAGAGTTTTAGGAAACATAAGTCAAAGAGGGCGTCAGGGGATGCCGTGATGAAAAACTAAACGAAAGGTGAAGGAGAGCGTCAGGCCATAGCGGTTCTCCTCACGCAGCTCCAACTCGCATGTGATGCTTAGATATGGATTGCAAAAATATCTGGGTCTGGAAGGTTACAAGACTTGTCATGGCAGTTTTCATCCATGTCGCGACCACGTGAGGTCCTCTGTCATATACATGACCCACCAGCATGACAGATTCTGCTCCTCCCCGACCTCTATCATGCCTCGTCTGCATGAGAAGCTCCCTCGCTGCTTGGTCAACAAAAGTGGGCAGCTTTTGGTAATCATGCTACACAGATTTTTGCACTATCCAGTATCAGCATGACAGGTTGCATTCTTCCAGACCCAGACATATTTCCAATGCATAGAAGAAGCGCCCCAACTCCATGCCGATGGTCCATCTCAAAACCGTCCTCCACCACACTCAAACCCCTATCAAATGTAAAAATGTCTGGGTCTGGAAACTTGTGATGCTGGGTGGCGTCTCATGTGAGGCCACAAATGCTCGCTCAGCATGAAAAGTTTCTGAGCTTCTAGGTGTTGCCTATTCTGCATGACAAACTGCGTTCCTGCATCACAGAAAAACAGAGCTCCTGGGTAACGTGCATGACAGATTTAAGAGTCATACCAGACAAGCATGACAAACATGCATTCTTCCAGACCCAGACATTTTTACAATCCATAATCCCAGGTGCGGAGCCACGCGGGAGGAAAAGGAGAGTGGTATCGTATGGAAAAATCCCCCCTCCCCATATCACAACGGATTTTCATCTCACGCTCAATTTGTGTACACAAGAAATCAGGTTTGTATTGCAGAGAGGCACTCTTGCGGCCAGATCTTCCCCAAGCTAGGTAGAAGGACCGTCTGGGTCTAGTTGTGCAGCACGGCAAGCGGCTGGCCACTTTTAGGCCCAACAGCATGGCAGCTCGCTTCCATAATGTTAATGGGGCGGAAGCTTCTGGTGCCCGTGTCTTCTTGCAAAACAAATGTGATTTGTGGCCTCAAATCAGCAACACAAATTCATCTCGGAAGCATGCCTTTATTTCGATATGGGGAGCAGGAGGGATTTTTCCTATTGATAAGTTGAGGTGTCGTCCACGCATTCGTGGGTCGCGCCGTTGTTCTTGTTCCCGAGAAATTTTCGCCAAAATCTTCGCCGGCATGCTTTCTGGAGGTATATGCACAGTTTGGTTGGTACTATTATCCCACAGAAAAAACAAAAAGCAGGCAGATAATTATGCAAGAATAAATACACAAAAAAATCTGTATTGCGAATGATCCTAAACAGCATGCTACAAGGCCGCCCGTGACAGATTTTTATTTTTGCGTATTTATTGTTTTTGCATATATACAAATTATATGCCCTGCCTGCTTTTTTCTCTGGGATAGTTGGAAATGACCGGCTCCGCCTTCGGCTGCGGGTCCACCTCGTTGTCCCGCCGGCCGCGGCCCCTGCCACGTCCTCTGCCGCGTCCCTGGCGGGGCCTAGGATTTTCTGCGGCGGCCGGGCCGGGGCGGGGGCCGCCCACCTCAATGCTAACTCTAACGTGTCCAGGATTAATTTCCCCTGCTGAGTACACCTTCACTCCTTGTCCGGGAGAACCATAACGCAGGACAATCTTCGACTCCGCTTCCGCCTGTTCTTGAGGCTCCGCTGCAGCCGACAGGAGAGCACGGTCCACCTGTATGCATTGCAAATATCGATCTGCCGATCTGGAAAGATTGGCGTCGTGGTCATGCAGGTTTTACATGACTCATGAGGTCTGAAATGCAGGACTCAGGACCACGACAGATTGGATTCTGTGAAGAGGGAGATCTACTTTATCAACCTCAAATGCCAAAAATCCTGCATGAGAAACAAACCTCCCCTCAACTTGGTCAAAAGTCTGGGCAGCTGTTGGCAATCATACAACACAGATTTTTGCATGATTCAAATTTGGCATGACAAGTTGCCATCATGTTCCAGAGGACCCAGACACATTTGGATTTCATAATCTGATTCAGAAACCAACGAAGTTCCGCGTCGTCGGGTAGTAAATACGCTGCGGGCGCCGGATCATGCGGCGATCTTGTGCTCCGACCGGGGCCCATCAAAAAGGCTCGAAGCTGGTGCTCTAAACGACCAGGCTGCCCATCTTGCACCTCTACAACTTCTGGTGCGTGCGTATGCTCGTGCCAGATATGCATTGCAAAAGTACTATTTCGTACTGGTAGTGAAATCGCATTTGGCAAATGATTTCTCCAAGAAGAAGATGAAAATTTATTGTGATGCAGAATTAGGTAAAAAGAAAGTAGCTCCGATGTTTTCATGCACGCGTGCGATTCGTACGAGTGTCAGACACAACTTTTGCAGAGCATACCAGAAGTCGCCCAGCAACTTTTTCAGGTCCGCCTTCTCCGCTGTGGGACCGGAAGACTCAAGTAGCGGGGCGTTCCTGGATACCGTGAGTAAGCGGTACATTTTTCTGAGCAGGGTGGCAAAAGCTAGCTTCTGGCGCGTAGCACGGACATATCGGAGCCGTATATCTTTGCTCTCTGGGGGCGTGGACGAAGAAGAGAAAAGCGCAGCCTTCCGTACTTGTGGAAACCCCCCAAGTACCTGCGGATCTGTCAGTTGGTACTTTCCTAAGACGCATGGATATCACCGGAAAAAAAAGGCTCCACAGTTATTACACATTTGATGTTGTAGTTTCAGCATCACAAAGATGTTGTCCTGCATGGCAAAGAAAACTTGTTGTGGTGCGCAGACTATAAGGGAAAGAAACACGCATGAAATGAGACTGCCACGCATTTCCTGCATGACGTCTTGCTGGTCTTGCATCCGTAGGGTCGTGTGTAACTGCCTGTGACTACATTTTTTTCTTGTGATAAGGTATTATCAAAGCGAACGGGGACAATATCGACCGCGAGGAGCTGCGCGGTACTTCCACAATCAAACACCGCATCCTCCTCGTGCGCCGACGCTGGCTCCCATTCGCCGGTCTCCACCTTGTTGAAAAGGTCCGCAACTGTCCGGTTGTTGTACCACCAATCTTATGCATTGCAACAATGCCTGGGTCTGGAAGAATGCAGGGCTTGTCATGCTTGTCTGGCATGACTCTTGGATCTGCGATGCGTAAGCAGGAACGGGGCCTCCTGTCTGTCATCGTATCGTATCGTTGAGACGGACACCCTGTGGTCATGCAAAAACGCAGTTTGCCATGCGGAAAACGAAGCACATGGCACATGCAAAAGCTTGTCATGCTTGGCTGCATATTGTAGTGGGCCCACGATTCACAGACTTACATCACAAGTTTCCAGACCCAGACATATTTGCAATGCATAATTCTGCAAACGGAATCCTCTGCATCTCTTGGCCGTGAAAATTAAGAATACTCAGCGCGGGACCACGAGGACCACCTCCTGGGGAAGTCGGCGACTCGGCGGCCAGGACTGCGACTTGATGGCCGCCCGCTAGGGAAAAGAATAAAACAGCACACGAAGACAACATCTTGTTCATCTTTCGAAGATCTTGGTGCTTGTTATGTATGTTCTGAATACGAAAAGGAAAAAATGCTCCGGTTTCTGTAGTTTTTCGATGGATCTAAAGGAAGTAGAACTTCTGCCTTTGTAGTAAAATCTGAAAGCTTGTTGGTAGGTTCGTTTAGGTTATGCCTGTGCACTGTAGCACTTTAAGAAAAGTTGGGTTACTTTCGTAAAATTTGGTGTCGTCAAAATTCGTGATGAAGATTGTTATGGAGGTTGTAGGTGTACTTCTATTTCTGATTCTGTGAAGTATACAAGATGCGACGCTGTTTTTTTTTTGTTGCTTGGAAATTCAAATTTAAATTTCGGGTGGTCTTACATTTTACCAGATCACCAAAATAATCTTCGACTTCATCGTGCACAAATTCACAGTCATACTAGATCATAAGCGGCACAACTTAGCAGTCGACCACAAGGGACGGGTCTTACTACTACTAGTAGGATCCTTCTGGAAGGCGGATTTTCAATGATCGCTGTCGATCTACCGAAACCGAGTCGAGCTGATCTTCTCTTACCTTACGATTTTTCTCCCGAAATTTTGGAAGATCGATCTTGAAGATTTTGCAAATACTTTATTAACCGATGCTCGGGTTGGCATCGAGAAGCGTACATACCGATCTTTGGGTTTGCATACATTGGTCAGATTTATTGGAGGTGACCAATCGTCCACAGGACCATCCCGATGCAGATCCACTTATTTTTCTGTCAGTTTGCTCTCGCGTGCTATGCGAACTTTTCTTTGGACGGGAAACGAAGAGATGTTTCTTGCCAAGATCAAGAAGGGTTCTTCAAAAAAAGTTCTGGTCATGGCTTTTTATTTTTTTATTTTTTTTTGAAAACATAATCTTAGCCATAAACTTATAAAGATCACAATAGCAACTTCTGATCGGAGTTTTGATGAAAATGATCGGGGATCGCTGCCGTCGTGTTCTTCACAGGTTCATGGACAAGTTCTGTGGGTGCGCTCCCGGGATCCAATCGCTACCAAATTTCTCCGGTAACGTCCGAGCAGTGGTTTCCCTCTCCACTTCGCTGGCTACGGTTGCTCGCACGGGACCCGGTACGGAGTGAGCAACACTGCCGTGGCTAGAAAACCTTAGCTGTGCATAGGTTCGGTCGCCATTTGACAGTGCTACGCTGGGCCAACGTCTCTTCGTCGTTTCGGCAGTGAAGCCTTACCTGGTTCTCATATAAAACCACGCTCCACCGTCGGGAATGACCCACATACAGCTAGTAAGGGAGCCTACGTCCTCAGGTGTGCGAGCCTATATCACTACCTCGCCCCCTGACACCTCCTATCTAACCTAAAGGGCGGAAAAAAATGATCACAGGGATCTTTGCAATTTTGTGGACTCTAGATGGAGAGCTGTAGATGCTGCGTGCATCTGGACGGGCAGCGCTGCTCTTTGGCGCTGTTATAGAGAGACGGATACAGGAAAGCTTTACTGGACTCAGCTTTTGTTTCTTTGTCTTGTTATACTTTTTTACAATAAAGCTTTCCAGTTATTAATTGGGAGGGATTTTGAGTCATACAAGAATCACATATGGGCAACTCGTATGCGCTTCGTCGTCTCTATAACTTTTGGAGCTTTTTGCTTACTGCCTACAAGTCAAAAATCTCATTTGAGGAAGTTCGGTGCGGGTTTGCCAGTAGTGAACTGCATGACTCCGCTGGCTACTAGGAGCTAAGAAGAGGCTCCTATTGCACAGACACATCTAGTATGGACTTCTCAAAAAATACAACTCAAAGGAGGGAACAGAAGCAAATTCCGAGAGAAACAGTCCCTACAAGACCTTGTAGCCAAGAAGCAAGAGCAAAAAAGGGGCCCCGCATACATATTATCATGCCTATTCAGTTGATGCTCAATTTCCCCCCTTTCTTCTTCTTGAAAAAAGAAATCGGAATCATGCGCCCTCGATGTCGTTGATCTCCTCGGCCTCGCGCTAGTTATGGATTTGAGCCCCTGCTGAGTCTTTTCTTTTGCTTTTCGCATCCGTCTATCATGCAGCACCAAATAAAAAAAAGGGCGGAAGCTGTTTTTAATTAATGAGAGGAAAATTGATGCCCTCAGGGGCATCCGGGGTGATGTTTGATCAATGCGCCAAGAAGCAGCCACACCACATCCCTTCATGTGCCCCTCGAGGTTAGTATCTTGTTAAGTTTTTTTCTTTTATTTTTCTAGCCAATCGAACACAATTCTAACGCAGGTAACCGCGATAAGAAACTGCGATCGATTCTATCTTATCTCCTCTTCACCTCCTATTCGAAATCTCATGCGAAAACTCCTTATCGAAGTCGATATCGAACTGAATTCAAACTGAATTCAAAATGTAGCAACTTTCAAAAAAACAGAACTGGGAGAGCATGCTGAAACGCAGCGGGCGCGGCCTATTATGGCTTTTTATTAGGTCGTCACTTTTAGTAAAATTTGGTGAAAGATCGAATGACCGATCATCTATTGATGGTGTAACTTGATAAATAAATTCGACTACCACAAGAGGCACCGACACTGAATCAGCGCATCGGGCTGTACTTCAGATTATTTTTTTGCCTCCTGTCTTCAGCCTTGTTCTCTACAAGGGATGATAATTTACGGCTATCCCCCCTTCGGCGTATTTCGCAATTGTGGTCTTTTTCAATGGTGCCTTGTGTCTTTTACTCGGCTCCACCTTGGCTAGCCACCTACTGCTCTGTGCATTGATTGAAACCTGGGGTCAGGACGAGACTGGAGCTTCTCTAATTCAAATTCTATGCACTCGTGATAAGTTGTACAATGCGCCACCGGAGATGAAAATTACTTACTCGATTTATTTTTGAAACTGACTCATCTGGATTGACACTGCACCAGCATAGACTTCTTTTGCAGGCAGCTGCAGCCCACCGATCCACCGATCCAAGCCAAACAAGCATTTAGTTGGAAAATCAGATTTTCCAACTAAATGCTTGTTTTCGATAAACTTTTATACTTCACTTGCCCCTCACTAGAAATGAAACTACAAGCCCGAATTATACGTCATGTGATTTACAACTCCCTAATAATTTATTCTAGCACTGGTTCTACAGAAGAAAATTTCTTTATTTTCTCGCAGCAGCATTCTACTTGGTGAACGTGTTGAACTTTTATCTCAGCTCTGAATAGAGAAGCAGCTGGCCAATATTTACAAATTTAGAAGGTGCTTTTGCGCTCCCTGTCTGACCTTCACGCGATGTTGACGATCATGTATACTTCTCACGCTTTTTTCTTTCACGTCATGGTGGCCGTAGCGGGATAAAACTTTTGCGCTTTGCCTGTCTTATGTGTATTTGCTGATGCTGTTGTATTTCACCTCATTAGATTTTCATGGTTTTGCTTTTGCTTTTGCTGTTGAAAGAATAAAGTAAGTAACCGACTGAATAACAGCTACAACAAGTCGAGACTGGATGGTGGTCTAAGGCTATATCATCAATTGACATTTCGTTTTTTCCTCGCGTGCTGGCTGTAACTTCTTGACAGCTACTTCCGTTCTAGTACTTACTACTAAAAATCACGCATGTAGTTACACGTCTCTCGTCCGGCGGCACGACTACAATCGATCCTGTCCGGCACTTTTCACAAACCGGCGCTCTATTTTCCGCTTAGCCACGGGTGCGCCAGAGCCTCCACTACAGTCAAGCGCTGGCTCGGTTCAAACGCGAAGCACCGGCGGCAAAAATCCTTGACCAAAGACTCTGGCTGCACGATGGTATGCAGTGCAAAAACATTATCGCAGTCGTAGAAGTAGTTTGTTCGGTGCAATAAGTTGCATGACAAATCTGGTTTCCGCAGTGACTACGACTATATGCAAAATATTACTTTTGCACAGGATAGATGGATTGACTCGACGGTCTTTTTTCGCTCCACACAGGGTATCAAATGCAAAAGTGTCTGGGTCCGGAATGTTGCCGGGTTTGTCATGCATATTTTGCATGACCCAGGATCCTGTAATGCACTACCTAGCATCACAGATCTTCCTTCCTGATGCCTACTCCGCATGACAAATTCCTTCCCGGCGTAGCACAAACTGGACTCCTCTTGCTGGTCATGCAATACAGATGTTTTTACAGTCCAGAGTTAGCATCACAAGTTCCAACCTTCCAGACCCAGACATTTTTGCATTTGATACAGGGTGCGACCAGTCAATCTTGACCAGTTTCAGCCTCCTGCGGATCTTTTCCATGGCCGGATTTCCGACCCAATTCTCCCCCGGCTCGTCGTCAAATATCGCGTTGTGAAAGGGCATATGGATTGCAAATATCGATCTGTCATGCGGGATGTGAAGGACAACAAGGATTTGTGATGCATAAAATGCGGTTGGGTAATTCTAATTTTTTGTCGTGCTGGATATGGTATAGTTTGTCATGCGTTTTAGGAATTGAGACCTGCTGCAAGAAGCCTGGCAAAATAACTTCTGATGCTGTGATACTGTACAAGCGACCGCTCTGCAATGCGAGAATCAGCAACACAAGTTTCCAGACCCAGACTACATATTTGCAATGCATAGGGCAAAGTTCCGGTGAAAAGCGTGTACAGCATCACTCCCACGGCCCACATGTCACAATGTCCTCTGCAAAAGTAATATCGCACTCGTAGGAAAAGCAATTGCATTTGTGCATTGCATTCTCTTTTTTGAGCTGAATCCACCGCATTACAAATTGCATTTGCATTGCTCATGCTGGGCAAGAAATAATCCAAATTTGTAATGCAGTAATACTACTTACTCGTACGATATGATTTTCGCAAAGCCTACGCAAGCGGGCGTCACCATTCCGGCGTACACTTCAGGTGCGATGTACTGATCCGTCCTGATATGGAAGTGTCAGAATCGAAATTGACAAAATCGAAAAATTTGTGATGCAAAAAATTGATACCAGTTGGAGCCTCAATTTGTAAGTGGCGCATGACAAATTTCGGGAGCACTCAAATCCAGTCTGCCATGTTGTTTGGGCAAAGAAGACTGCTCCTGTCGTGCTACTCTGGCAGCACATTGCATACCCCTAAACAGGCTTGCAATCGGTCTCATTTGCCTGCTCCCCAATGCAGGCCTCCAGTGCCCTACATTTTATGCATCACAAATTTTTTGATTTTGCCGATTTCGATCCTGACACTTCCATACCCGAGAACATGGTAGTATATGCGGTTCGCGTATCCACTGCAAATATCCCTGGATTGTGTGGAAACTTGTGGAGGCTGGTGTATTTCGGCGAATCATGCGAACGCCTATGCCTACGTTGACAGCCAAGCATGCGAAATTTTTTGATTACAATAGTCAGTGTTGTCTTCTATCAGCATCTTCACCCACTGCGTTCGTACATGACAGAGAAATGTGGCTACTTTCGGGTAACGTGCATGACAGGCTTGGGAGGCATCCTAGCCGTGCATGACAAACAGTGCACAACTCTTCCATGGGACCCAGACATATTCGCAGGTCATATCGCGTCAAAAATCTCCGCCGTGTCGAAGTCGATTAGCTTTACCTGAGAGGTGGAGAGCTTTCTCATAGGTAAAATTTGACTGTCAAAAGAAGCCGGGTCTACTGCATCACAGATTCGATGATCCAATGCCAATGGTGCTATTTGCGCATGACAAAAAAAAACACAGTCAGCGATGCTGTCAGACCTGCGCATGACCATGAATCATACCTCCATTCTTGCTGGGTCAAAGACCGGCGAGGCCCTTTTTGGAGACGATGAGCCGTTGTGACAATATCGCAGGAAAAAATGCTTCACTGTGATGATTTTTATTTGCAAGATCTGCATCACAAGTTTCTATACTTACACATGACACAGAAAATTTGCCACGCGCGCTTCCAAAGGGAAAACACCTTTGAAGAGTCCTGGCATTGCAGGTGTAGCAAGACAAATAGTTCTGTGTACCGATCTATGCATCACAAGTCCTTCACGGCGAAACAGTTTTTTCTTCCCATAGACAACTTCCGCCGTTCTCTACCACCACGATGTTCTCGAACTTCAGATATTCAGGGGAAAAATCCCCCCTCCCCATATTGAAAAGGACATTTGTGATGCTGGATTTGCGTACACACGTCGACTTGTATTTTGCTAGAAGGCCCAGAGCCGCACTATTGGCCTGAATTGCAGGCAATTTTTCATGCTGTTTCCCAGTTCCAGTTGCCTCCTGTCATGCTGAAGGCGCAAGGCTTTCCCACGCCAGCCAGCACTACAGTCCGCACCTTTTGCCTTCCAGCATGACAACATGATATGTGGTAGCAAATCATGCTACACAAATCTCCGTTTTAGTAATAAATGAGGAGGGGGGATTTTTCATCTTGATATCAGGTCCCGGTGCACGATGCCCTTGGAGTGTAGTGCGTGCAGCGCATTGCAGACTTGCCGGATGAAGTTCAGTGCGATCTTGTGGATTAAGTTCAGGTCGTCCGTTTTGGCCAGCTTCTCTTCTATGCGTTGCAAATATGTCTGAGTCTGGAAAGTTGTCATGCTAATATCCGAATCATAAAACTGTATTGCAGAACCGCGCACGACAAGTTTCTGAGCGGCTACATCTAGCGTAACCGCATGACAAATGGCATTTTTGCATGACAAACCAGCGGCACTTCTGTAGCGCAACAAACATGACAGACTTTTCTGTATTGTCGACCAAGCATCACAAACTTGCATTCTTGTTTCAGACCGCCCAAACATATTTGCATCTGATATCTTCTATGAAGAAGTCAAACATGTCGCGCCCGTGGACTTTTTCCATCACCGCATAGTACCACTTTTCGTCTTCCTATCAAAGAAAAAAAGTTCGTCACGATCACTCATGCGCATTCTTGCAATACAAAATTGCCTGTCATGCGTAAAAATGCATCACAGCCAAACTTCATCAGGGATCTCCCTAGTGTTTCTGCAATACAAGGAAAGTTTGTGATGCTGAGAAAATTTGTAATGCAAAACCTGCAAGTGAGTGACTGTGACAAACTTTTTTCTCTCCATACTTCCAAAAGCTCGGAGCTGATTTTTGTTTGAACATTCTTTGTAGTTTTATTTTTGCATTTATTGCACATGAAAATTCACTTTAACTCCTCAGTCTTACATCACACAAAGCAAAAATTCGAGGATACATTTGTGCGATGTTTGGCAGCGGGTTGTTTTGCGCTATCCTCTTATCCCCAGAGGTTTTGGCTCCACCAGCTGAAGTAGACGTGCTGCTACTGCTACCACTGCTTCCGTTGTTGTTTGTTACGTAGTGCATCAAAGCCATAGACACTTTCCAATCCTCGAGCTCTTCCTCATCCTTGAAGCCCCGCAGTTTGTGCCTGCCCTTCAACACCACCTCCGTTTTGTCGGACCGTCGCAGTTATGCATTGCAAAAGTATCGTATTCGTATGAATGCATTACAAATTTCCTCAGCATGAGAAATGAAATTTGTAATGCGGATTTACCTTGAGAGCAAGATTTGTAATGCATGTCTGCGATTACTACGAGTACGATACTTTTGCTCAGGATAGCAGTGCGCTCTTGCAGTACTTGTCGCTGTCGTCGCTGTCTGGGAGCAGAGACCCGCCGATCGAGTATTCCTTGCAAATCTCCCTGGGTGTCTGGAGCGCTGGAACTTGTCATGCTGATTCTGGATAGTGCAAAAATCTGTGTTGCGTGATTATACCAAAAGCTCCCTACTTTATTTGACCAAGTTCTTGAGAGGCAGTTTGTCATGCAGAGAAGGCGTGATACAGGTCCTCGCGCAGAATCTGTCATGCCAGAGCTGCACGTATGACAGACCTAATGCGTCCTCATGGAAAACCTGCATGACAAGTCTTGCAACCTTCCAGACCCATACATATTTCACCAGTTGATATCGAGTAGATGGAGTCGATCGAATTCTCTCCGCTCTTCGACGAGGAAGACTTGGAAATTTTCCGCCAGCTGGTTACCGCCTCCGGGTGAAAAAACGGCAGTGTATCCTGTGCAAAAGCATCGCACTCGTAGTAATTGCAAGCATGCGTCACAAATCTTGTTCTGAAGCTACATCCGCATTACAAATTTCATTTCTCATGCTCTGGAAATTTGTAATGCATCTATACAAGTACGCTACTTTTGCAATTGATACGGCGACGCTTGTTTCAATTCCTGCAGCGTGCGACGCCCGGCCGTGTTGGGAACATCATTTGTGGTTTTTTTTCCCGCCGTCGGCGCCGCTCCGGAGCTGCTGGAGCTCGACATGATTGCGTCACCGTCCTCTTCTCGTTCGTCTTCGTCGTCGTCCTTCGAAGCACCAGGCGACGTATTTCTCTTCTTGTCCTCCCCGCCGACCCGAGGAACTGCAGCGGCTCTAGCAGTTGTCTCCACGGTCCGACTACTCCGAGTGCGGCTGCGGCTGCGGTGCGACAGGATGTTTTTAGTATTTCCTGCACGAGTTGATGATGGCCCAGTTGTTCCACCAGCTCGATTTGATATTTTGGGTACGACTTCTGATGTTCCTTCAGTTTTCTCAATCCGCGAAGTAGGGGATGCTCGATGCTGCTGTCCTCCTGCAGCGCCGCGAAGATTTTTCCTACTCCTGCTAGAAGAACTCAGGCTGCTAGAAGAAGTGCTCAAAACACTACTCTCGATCGAAGGTGAAGAACTGCTGCTGCTACGTGGCTCTATATGCCGTCTCGTGGTGTCGTGCTGTCGTGCTCTACTTGTAGTTCTTCGCGTGTCTACTTTTTTCTCCGTGTTTCTACTTGTTGTTCCCTCTGGCGGCGAAGAACTACCCATCTGATGGTTTATTATCTTACTTTACGGTAGTAGACGCAGCAGCTTGTGGTTCTTTTGTTCTTCTGTCCCGCAGTTCCAGCAGCTGTGCCCGCGTCTGAAGAGCATAAGAAGCCAGTCGTGTGTAACCTAACGAGAGACCACACAGCAGGCAAGTTCTGAGAATGATGATGATCCAAGCTTTCTTTCCACGTTAGTTTTCTGTATTTTGAACATCTGTCGAGCAAAGGAGCTGCGTCTCTTCTACGGCAGTCAGTCACGACAGCAGTTGGAGATGAGCAGGACCGATGATGAAACCGATAATATTATCTTCACACATAATATCATGCCATCGCTCAGGCCTGACAGCATTTGTGCTTGATCTCTACTCCGCACAAGTTACGAAGACCCTCCTTTCCAGGTGCCACCTCCACCTGCGCTGCTCTACTCAGTGTGTGAAAATAAACCTTCTCTCATCCAACTATATGCACGAAAAAAAGAAAACGTCACCCTGATGCCCGAGTAGAGAAGACCCCTGCTCTCTTTCTCGCCATTTGAATTTATCGTTTTTCTTGCACCGCAAAAACCGTGCGGTCGTCTGCTTGCTTGTGAAACAGCTGCAGGTCCTCATCCCAAATCCAAATGAACATCAAAACGGAGACAAAAATGTCCCAACAAGTGCGCAGGAGCTCGTGGTCCTATCGTAGTTCAGGAATATTAAATTTGGAAACGAAAAAATCAAAGTACTTTTCAAAATTTGTGTTGTCTTGCGTCGCAGGAGCCACGTGGTCGTGATCATGTCGCGACACAAGAATCCCGTGGTCTTCAAATGATCGCAGTATCCAGTACCAGAAAACAAAATAATTTCGAAAAGAAACGACGGTCGTGGTTTTGGAAATAAGTAAACTCCGTGGTCCTCTTTTGATCTACTTCCTATGCCACAGCACGATCCACTGTTGTCTCTGCTATAGCATTTAGGATTAGGAAGTAGTTTCATCTGCGTCAGAGAACATAGTGTGAGGACGTAGTATCATCTGCTTCATCTCCTGTCATTCATTTCCGCCGCCAGCATAGCTTTGTCAAAATCCATCGCGTCCTGCAGTTGTTGCTGTTCTTTCCTTCCTATGAACCGCAAAAGTTGTATCGCACTCGTAGTAATTGCAGCTATGCATGACAAATTCTTATTTTCCTTCTAATTTAAATCAGCATGACAGATTCCATTTCTTTGTAATGCTGAGCCAGTTCGTTTTCGTAACGCGATTTCCATTTCTACTATATTACGATACTTTTGCAATGCATATTTCCGACCGCGATAATCGGGATGGACACGTTTCGATCTTCATGCGCTGTAGTCGCAGCTGTTGTTTCCATGGCATGCGTCGTGTTTCCTGCCTCCTCAGAAACCCCCGACAGCTGCCGTGGTGGTGGTTCTTGTTGTACGTTGAGAACCATTTTTCGTGACAAGGCGTCTACCGGCCGGGACGAGGTAGTTGTGGTCGCACCAGTATTCATTTTCTTGGCGCTCTTGTTTACAACGTCTACTCCACGTCGCGACCCCTGCTGCGCACCAGTTGTTGGGGAACTACCGGGTTGATGTCTCCCTTTGTTCATCCCTGGCCTTCGATCTCTCAGCGTCGCTGTGCTGACAGTACCTCCTCGTCCAGCACGCGGATGATGATCTTCATGATCACCCCCGCGGGGGGCAGAAGGAGTTCTTCTTCCCTGCCGGTGATGCGCCGTCGGGACGACTGCCGTGGTCCTTTTCAACATCTTCCCTCCAACTTCATCAACCTGCTCGTACTTCTTGTTGTAAAGAGGGTGCTGCTGTGCATCTTTTGCGTAGGCTCTGCTCCTGTGGCGCCACCGCTGCGCCGCCGGGCCTCGTCGCTTCTGCTTGCCTGTCCCTCTATGGATTGTAAAAATGTCTGGGTCTGGAAGATTGCAACTTGTCATGCTAAATCTCAAGCATGCAAAAATCTGTGTTGCATAACTACCAAAAGCCGTCCAGTTTTGACCAAGTCGGGAGGGAGTTTCTCATGCAGGATAGGCATGAGGATGAGAGAGATCGCGCAGCATCTGTCATGCTAGGTCCTGCATTCCAGACCTCATGGGTCATGGAAAAGCTGCATCACAAATCTTGCATTCTTCCAGACCCAGACATTTTTACAATCCATACCCTCGCAGCTGTTGCAATTCCTTGCGGAAGAGGAAGAGCACAAAGACCAATGCGAGTGTCAGTCATGCACTGCAAAAGTATCGCACTCGTACTAATCGCATTCCTGCATTACAAATTTCTTTCTCAAGTTAAATCTCCATTACAAATTTCATTTCTCAAGCTGAGGAAATCTGTCATGCGACTCATACTAGTAAGTACGATGTTTTTGCAGTGCATATCAGCAAGACTGCAATGACAATGGTTCCGTAGAAGCAGCAATCGAGAAAGGTTAAAGCATCTTGATCTAGTACACCTGCTCCCGTAATGGTTTTATTTGTTGCGTTCGCGTTGGCCAAGAACCCCTCGCCAGTGTTCTTCCCGTTGCTGTTGGCGTTTGTTGTTCCTGTATCAAGTGCAAAAGTGTCTGGGTGTGGAAAGAAGTTGCAAGATTTGTCATGCATCTCGCGGACCACACGACTTATGGTCTGTAATGCACACACAAGCATCTTCACAGATTTTATTTTCAGACCTTCCTCATGCCTATTCCGTATAAAAAAAATTCGCGAACAAAACTGTTGCCGTTCATGCAACACAGATTCTTTTGTGATCCAGATTTCGCATGACAGGCTTCATTCTTCCAGACGAGGACCCAGACATATTTGCAATGCATATCCTGTAGTACCCGCAGGCATTTTCTTCATGCAGAATTCGTTAACCCACCAAAAGTCCTCCACTGGAGAAAAGTATGGGGAGAAAAAAGTGTTACAGTTACACATTGTCATGCAAGACCGGCAACACAGACAACCTTTCTCATGCAGGAAATGCTTTGGAGCCTCGTTTCCTTCCTGTTTTCCCTCATGATCTTTGCATTGCAAGTTTTCTCTGTCATGCAGAGGAAACTTGTGATGCTGAAGTTACAGCAGATGTGTAACTGTACCACTTTTTTCGTGGGATAAAAAGTTGTCGATTTCTAGCACCTTCCCGTCGTCGTCGGTTTTTCTCGGAAACATGAAAACATTGTTATTCTGAGGAAAAACATCCCCACCCCAGAGTTGTCATGCAAATGCGCAATGACAGGAATATTTGTAGTGCACATCTCCTTGAGAGGCATCCCCAGTCGTGTTTTGGAATTTGTAATGCTGTAAACAGGATGAGTAAATGGCTTTCTCATGCGGCTTTCCTTGCTAACCAGCACTACACTGCAGATGGAAACTTGTCATGCAGAACTCCCAGAACTTCTTGGAGATTTGTCTTGCAGATTTCCCATCTTGACTATGGTGTGGGGACGTTTTTACGTAGGATAATTGTCCTCGTTCACATCTGAGTACCAGGTCCCCGCTGGGGCTATGAGAGCGCACAACGGACTCCCCCTCCTCCTCATTTGTATAGCATGAACAGCACCACAACCACCACCACGCGTGGAGCTTGTGCATGACAACTTCACGCGCCGAGTGTAGTACTCTTTGGACTTCTGAAATTTGTCATGGAAAGAGTGCCACAAGGCACCAACTGGAAGATTTGGGATTTTGCATGACAATTGACGAGAGGGAGGAGGAGTTGTGCACCACTCTCGTAGGAGTGTTGTAAATCTCATACGGCCCAAAGGCTCGGTCGGGCGCACTCACGGTACTTGTCTGGCTGTTCCACGTGGACTCATACAGGCGATATGAACTGCAAAAGTATCGTACTCCTACTCGTACAAATGCATTACAAATTTCCTCAGCATGAGAAATAAAATTTGTAATGCTGATTAGCTTGAGAAAAAGATTTGTAACGCATGATTGCAATACGAGTGCGATACTTTTGCACAGGATAGGCGACACGTTCCAGCAATTTTTGCGTTGTAGTTCAGGCCATGCGGGTATCGCAAGAAAAAACTGTTTCACTGTGAACCTGTGATGCAGAGAACGAAACACCAAAGGGTTTGTCTTGCTACACCTGCAACACAATGGATTTTTAAGCGTGTTTTCCCTTGGGAAAAGCGCATGGCAAATTTTCTGTGTCATGTGTAGCAAACTTGTCATGCGAATCTTGCAAAACCATCACAGTGAAACAGTTTTTTCGCGGGATAGCGGGTGGTACCGCCCAAGCGCTTCCGACACCACGCCAAATTGATAAGCCGCACAGTTCCGGTCTTCCTCGCATAGCCGCTCGCAGTCTAGCTGTGACGAGTGCAGGCCGAGGTGCGCGAAGCGTTTCGTTTTGCATACGCTGAGCGGCCCGCATCCGCAGAGGCCCTGAAACGCGACGACCGAGCGGTACTTGCTTACAAGGGCCTGCTCCGCTTGGGGGCTCCGAGAGGTTGAAGCAGTTTCCGGCTTTAATATTTTTCGCACGCAGCCGTATCTTATCCACGTTGCCATGCGGAGTCTTTTGGTCCAGTCTATCAAAGTGAAAAAAGCTCCCACCCCATAGAAAAAAGGAAATTTCTGTTGCTGGATTTCTGTACACAAATCACCGCTGTAGTGCAGAAGGCGCTTGGACAGGCAATTCCTGAGCCTGATTGGGCATGCAGCAGGCTAGGACTTAGGCATGGCAGACACCTTTGCAGTATGTAAAACCGCATCACAGATTGGCGGTGAAATGCGCTAAACGGATCCCATTTGCCCCATATGCAAGACAGAGCTGCTGTGTGGTCACAAATCAGCATCACAAGTCTCCTTCTCGACATGGGGAGGGGGGATTTTTCCTCACAATACAGTCGTCGCCTGTCTCATCCCCCCGCAAACGGTTCATAGGATCAGACAAAAGCGGGCCAGCTAAAAACGCATCACCGTCTGGACCGATGACGCCGTCGACCAGTTTGTGCTGGACGGAGTACACACAGTTCCCTGAGTAGGCAAATCCCATACATGCGGGGTTTTCTGTGCAATTGCGTTGGCAATTCGCGAAACCAAGCGGACCGCCGAAACCATTGGCGAAGCGCGTCGGGCAGAAGTTTCCTTGGCAGGAACAGTAGCCGTTCTCCGTCCATTCATACAGGTTCGGGTCAACGCCGGTCCTGATTTGCTCAATCGCGGCTTGTTGAAGTGCGGTGTTCCCAGCCCCCTGCTGCTGGAGCAGGCTGCTTTTAATGTTGTCAAGAGGTGACGTCGCAGCTTCACGTTCATCTCTACTTTGTCTTTCGCTATCGCTTTCCCAAGAGCTTATTAAACTCTTCGTCGACATCAACGGCGATTTAGTCCCGTTGGTGTTTTTCTGTTCGTACGCGGTGACTTGTTCGCTTTCCTCGGAGAATGATGATCTACTGGAAGTTGTAGAGGCTTCTCCTGCCCTGCTGGTCAGGATCGTGACAGCATTGGCTACTTGTTTCCAATCATCACATCCGATTTGCAGTGTGGGAAGAACTACTACAAGCAGGGCAAATATGATGCGCGAGGACAAAAGCTGCACCATGAAACCCCGCCTGCTCGCGATTATCTTCCGTGGCGGGACAAACAGGGAGGAGATCTCCATAACATCCTCGGATTTGTCGTTCAATATCCTTCCGTGTTGTAATGGTCTTCTACTACCGATGTAGTACTGCCCCGCGGCACAATTTCCTCGTCCGTGCTTTAAAATCATCTTGTGCTGGGAGTTGTAACTCAGGGACCAGCCGCTGGCCGCCAGGGCCAATCACATCCTATCAACAAAGGCCCGTCTTTAGCGAATCAATGGAGGGCGAAAAAAGTTGTAAAAATGTACGAAGATGATGAATCCTACATAATCGAGGAAGAAATACAAAAATAGATTTCCATGGCAAGCTGCTGCTTAATGAATGTACAAAACGTCTGGGCCATGGCACATCTTCAATCGCCGCATAAGTATTTGCCACTGCATTTTCCGTCCCTTCTTGGAGGTGGTCCTTAGGACATCAAACAGACTACCCGAGTAGCAGCGACATGCGGCAACAGCAGCACTGCGCTGCGTGGAATTTCCACACAGACCGTGTGGTCGACCGAAGCATCCACCTAACATCCGGATGAAAAATAACCGAGAGGACAAATAAAGCAGTAAGCAGACATCTTCATTCACACCGAAGTAAGCGAAGAGCGACCACACCGTCACCGAGAATCTGCTGCTGCATAAATTTCTTCTTCGATGAAAAACCAAACCGAATCAGATATGAATGGGAAGATCACGCCACGATCATATTAACCGAATGATAGTGGTGGAGAACCTTTTTTTGTATATTTCTACCTCTACGCAGCTTCGTGAAAATCGACTAGTAAGTTTGACCGACATTATCATGATGATGCTGTCCAGTAAACTTGCGACCCTAGCACAGGAACTCCAGACACAGAATTCGGTTTCATCCAGGTAGCAACATGATGCTCTTGTGACCTCCACCAAGAGGTAAAAAACTTTGTCATGTAAGTTGTGTTCTTCGCGTTCTCCCTTCGGCTGCAGATTATTTACTAGGGAGTTCATAATTTTCATTTTTATGATGAAAAACAGCGCTTCAAGAACAGGACATTTCTCTCTGTACGAAGGCGGGCTAAGCTAAACATCAAATCGCTTTCTTCGCAAGGAGTTCGTTCATTATCACATGTTTCTCATGATCCAACAACTTCAAGCTCGGCCGAACTACCCTTGCCCGCACGCGCAGATGGCCACCAAGAATCAGAATCCACCTCAAACCGCTCGGAAATGGTGTACGTTTTGTCGTTATGGATTGTAAAAGTGTCTGGGTCTGGAAGAGTGTAAACTTGTCATGCAGATTTTCCATGACCCTTGAGGTCTGGAATGCGGGACCTAGGATGACAGAGTCTGTGAGGTCTCTCTCATGCCTATCCTGCATGAGAAACTCCCTCCCAACTTGGTCGAAAGTGGACAGCTTTTGGCACTCATGCAACACAGATTTTTGCATGCTTCAGATTTAGCGTGACAGGTTGCATTCTTCCAGACCCAGACATTTTTCCATTTGATAGTCGTTCCGCGCGTTGCTGTGCCAGACGCAGGAACGAGCCGGCTTCTTTCGTCTTGTTCCATCGTCATCATATATAATACGACAATGCATTCCGGTCCACGCAAACCTGTAGCTGAATCGAGGTACACTGCTTCATGGCCATAAACAACCCATCGGTCGCGGAAATCACATCCGATACAATAGAATCTGAGATTTGTCTTGCATGATGAGCATGACAGACTCGCAGAGCGTTCCACTTTCTGCAATACAAATTTCGCCAGATTGTAGTGGGGTTTGATGCTCCGGAACCTGTCATGCGCAATCCTATGAGAATTGGCTAGACTCCTGCCCCGGCTTCAACTCCATCTCCGCGTGGTGCCACAACCCAACCTATGCACTGCAAAAGTGTCTTGGTCTGGAAAATTGTAAACTTGTCATGCAGATTTTCCATGACCCATGAGGTCTGGAATGCAGGACACAGCATGACAGATTCTGTGCGATCTCTCTCATGCCAGCCTATCCTGCATGAGAAAATCCCTCCCGACTTGGTCAAAACTGGACGACTTTTGGTAATCATGCAACACAGATTTTTTCATGCTTCAGATTTATCATGACAAGTTGCATTCGTCCAGACCCAGACATTTTTACATTTGATACATGTGGGGTTGGTCGTACACCGGGGCGTCGGGTCCCGGGTGAAACTGCGTCTTGTTCCGCCCGAGAAACTGGCTGGCGGGGTAAGAGACCGTATCTTGTCGTGCGAAGGAGCTAGAAGAGGAGCTGCTCCCTTTGCGTACGTGCTGAAACGTGGCATCCACGTCGTTGTAGAATTCGAAGGAGTCTTCCTGTTCCTCGGCACTCCTCGCTTGTCGATCATCTTCTCTGGCTTGGTCCATGACCGGTGCGTTGTCGTACACATTCGACCGCCCAATAGTGTCCTTGCTATCCTGCATCCGACTTTTGTTGCTTACGCAATACAGGTTTCCTAGGTATGGAAAGCTAGCATTACAAGTTCCAACCTTCCAGACCCAGAGGACATATTTGCAATGCATATGGTGTCCGGGTTGTTCAGAGACCGTGCGGCGACTTGGTTTTCCAGACTAATTTCCTCATTTTCTCCATCCTTGTTCTGCCTTCTCTTATGCATTGCACAAGTATCGCACTCGTATAAATGCATGACGAATTCCCTCAGCATGAGAAATAAAATTTGTCATGTGGATTTACATTAAGAAAAAAATTTGTAATGCATGACTGCAAGAACAATTACTACGAGTACGATACTTTTGCACAGGATATCTCTCTGGTGACAGCAAGCCCTTCATCGACGCTTTCAGCATTTTCTTGTGGTATATGCATTGCAAATACGTCTGGGTGGTCTGGAAGGTTGTGATGCAAGTCAGTGAATAGTATAGTACTCTGTGATGCACCGCCAAGCATGACAGGCTTTTCCGTCTCTCTGTGTTGCCTTTTCCGTCAGACTGCCCCGGTTTTAACTGCATCTCCGCGTGGTGCCACAACCCAACCTATGCACTGCAAAAATGTCTTGGTCTGGAAAATTGTAAACTTGTCATGCAGATTTTTATATGATCCATGTCGTCTGGAGTGCAGGACCTAGCATGACAGTTTCTGTGAGATCCCTATCATGTCTATCCTGCATGAGAAACTCCCTTCCAACTTGGTCAAAAGTGGACAGCTTTTGGCACTCAGGCAACACAGATTTTTGCATGCTTCAGATTTACCATGACAAGTTGCCGCCTTCCAGACCCAGACATATTTGCAATTGATACAACCGCGTCGTGCCGATTGTAGGACTTCACTTTTAAACGGTACTCTTCTGTTATGAGACTGCACAACTCCTCCTCCCCCTCATTTGTGTTGCATGAACAGCAACACAAGCGCTGGCAAAGATGCAGCTTTATTCGCATGGCAAATTCATAGAGGATTGTAGTGCTGTTTTGGATTCCGGAATCTGTCATGCAAACACTACTAACAGGCTGAGGGTGGATTTGGAATTTTGCATGACAAATGAGGGGGAGCGGGAGTTGTACACTCTCATATCTGTCGCGTTTTTCACCGTTACTTGGCACACGTCGGGGCTCGTACTAACCACTTTCTGCGCCAGGCCAAACGCGTCCTTCCAAGACATGGTGGTTTGTTCGAAAAAGGGAAGAATTTTCTTCGTGAAAATCAAATTTATGTTGGAAAAGAGATGATCGGGCAACATGGGAACAAGAACCGGATCGACGTTTGCAACTATACTACCCGCCTTTTTTAGTGCATATGCATAAATGAAATCATTCCAATCCTTTTCAAATAAAGGACATGGTTTGTAGTACCTGCGATAGCAACTAAGTAGCTACCTAGGAAGATGCTCCTGCTTTTCGTCTTCATTCTCTACATACAAGTAGAAAGTAGGTTGGAGGATCCATTGTTTCCGTCTCCTGATCATCCTTGCGGGGGGCGACCGTGAAGATCAACAAGATCTCCGTCACGATACAATGGGCCAGAACAAAAAAAAGAGCACAAACAAGCGGCAGTGTCACCACAGAGAGCAACAAAATCTTCGTTGGGCGTTCGAACGCGAAGAACACACGCATCTTCACGACGATGCTGCTGTGGAAGAAGCTACTTCTAACTTACCCTTCTACGCCTGTAGTTCAAATTTGATTGAAATACTTCTTCTCTCAAGAACTGATGTTTAGATCGGTCCTCACAATCAGAATCACCACCAGTGTCGAGCAAGCGCTCTTGGGCGGCTTCGGTGCAGCTAGAAGAGAGCCAGCATCCGCCGGTGCCTGCAAGATAATCCAGCGATTCAAGTTCTGAAACGGAAACGGAAGTCAAATCACGGCAGTGAACTATTTGTTGAAACTGAATAAAGAGAAGTTCTTTATTGTCAAAATTGAAACCAGCATAATTCGCAGCTGTTCCACAGATCGTAAACGTAAAGAAATATCTTTTTACAAAAACCCTGAATTCAATCCCCCACCAGCGTTCCGCGTCTGCATTTTCGTAGCCGCCGCGGGCATTTTGTACCGCTGCTTTGCTTTTGGTTTCGCCTTTGCGACGACTAGTCCGTTCTCCACGTATTTGTTCCAGGTTTGTTCATCTTCCTCGGATTGCGACAGCACAGATGAAGTTGAATTGTTATGGTTATGCTGTGCGCTGATGTTATTATTTGGTGGAAACACCATGGACGAATTCTCTTCCTCGACGCTACCAGCACCGAACCCGCCTCCTCCTCCATACGGAAATAACTCCTCGTTCTCCTGGATCCTTGGTAAAACTTTCGAGCTGTTTCGGGAAAACAGGGGACCATTACCCCCTCCTTCATCCGAGCTATTCCCGGAGGATGAAAACGCACTGTCTTTACTGTTTGCCCGACTGCGGTTCGCAGAATTATTAGCACTGGTGTTCTGTATTGTAGCCCCTGGCTTCGGCCAAAACTTCTCTTCCGCAGTTTGCAGCTTGTTTTTCGCTTTTGCTTTCTTGAACATCTTCCTTAATCTATCACAAGAAAAAGCGTTATACGTTAACGGTTTTCACAGATTACAGTCATGCATCACAAATGTAGTCCAATACGCATGCTATGCACGACAAATTCTGGCACGTTTTGCGATGCATTGTTGCATCACAAATTCCGTTAACGTTAACACTTTTTCCTGTGATATAATTCGTTCTCCCCCAACACATTATCTCCGCACGCCTCGATGCGCCTTTTCAAGGGTGATTTCGCCCGGAGTTCCGAATGCGTCCAGTTCTTCTTCACCATTTCCGAGCCTAGAATCACCTCCTCTTTCACCCCGCCAACGTCGTAATACGCGGGTCCAGGTCCCGGGTTGCCAAAGACCCCGACCCTTGTGGCGCGGGAGGACGTGGAAGTGGAACCGCCGTTAGGTCCGAGCATGGACGCGGGATTGATTCTCGCATGAAGATTACCAGCGGTTGTACTTGTCGACACGCCTTGCGAGCTGTCCTGCGAGAACATGTGGGGCTGGTCGTAGACTGGCGCGTCTGGCCCCGGGTGGAACTGCGTCTTGTTTCGTCCAAGAAACTGGCTGGCGGGGTAAGAGACTGTATCTTGGTGTCGTGCCGAGGAGCTAGAAGAGGAGCTGCTTCCTTTTATGCATTGCAAATCTCTCTGCGTCTGGAAGAGTGCAGACTTTGTCATGCTCGGCCAGCATGACTCTCAAGTCTGTCATGCGCGTTAGCCAAGCGTCCCAGTTTTCTGTCATGCGGAAACACAGGTTGCCATGCTGAACACGCAACACCTAGCAGCTCAAAAACTTGTCATGCGAGGGCCACCACTTGGGACGTCCTCAAGATTTTCCGGCCAGCATCACAAGTTTCCAGACCCAGACCTATTTGCATTTGATACCTTTCCGCACGTGCTGAAACGTCGCATCGACGTCATTGTAGAATTCGAAGGAGTATGGATCGCAAAAGTATCGCACTCGTACTAATGGCAATCAGGCATGAGAGATGATCACCTTTGTACACTAACACGCACAACAAATTCCATTTTCCATGCTAATCAAATTGGTGAAACGATTTCTACTAGCGCGAGGAACATTATACTTTTGCAATGCATAAGGAGTCTTCCTGTTCCTCGGCACTCCTCGCTTGATCTCCTCTGGTCTCCACGACCGGCGCGTTATCGTACACATTTGATCGCCCAATAGTGTCCTTGCTATCCTGCATCCGGTATGCTGTGCAAAAGTATCGTACTCGTATAAATGCATTACAAATTTCCTCAGCATGAGAAAGAAAATTTGTAATGCTGATTTGCCTTGACAAAGAAATTTGTAATGCAAGACCTGCATTTATACGAGTACGATACTTTTGCACAGCATATCCGGATTATTGTGCTTCTCTGTTCCTGAAACCCACCCGGTAGCGGTATCCTGTGCAGAAGCATCGTACTCGTACTAATTGCGTTTATGCATTACAAATCTTTTTGTTCAGGCAAATCCGCAATACAAATTCAATTTGTAATGCTACGTCAACTTGTAATGCAATTTATACTAGTACGATGCTTTTGCAATGCATAAGTGGCACCAAATGCTCGTTTTTGTTCGCTTTCCTCATGTGCGAGAGGTTTTTGTTTTCTTGGGATCGGCCGCGGTCTTTACTGGTCTTTCGGTTCCGTCCGCCTTTTGCGTCGATGTTGTTGTTTTCTGCTGTGATGAGAATGTTGCTATTATCCACCTCTTTTTTCGAAGCAGCAGGTCCTCCTCCGACGTCTTCTATGAATTTCCCCTGCAAGTACAACGGTGGCGGAACCCCGGCGAGTCTTATCGCGGTCTGCGAGTAATAGTCGTCCCCGTCGAACTGCATTCTTTCAATGTTTCTCTCCTGCGCGGTTATTACGTCCTGCTGTGACTGGTTCGCGATTTTCCCGGGCTGGTGGAAGAGATGGTCGGAAACTTTGGACTTCAACAAGCGGAATTTGTCCATCATCCTGTCTTATGCAGTGCAAAAAGGTCGCACTACGTAGAAATAGCATCACAAATTTTTCCACAACGAAAAATGGAATTTGTAATGCTGAACTAGCTAAGAAACTAGATCTGTCATGCTGTACTGCGATGAGTCTACGAGGAGTACGATGTCAACATTTTGCATTCGATATATCTGCTCGCGTCATCCTCACCGGCTTATTCCCGAGGTTCTGCCCTCTGCTCCCGGGTCGCTGCCCCTCGGGGTACCGTGGATCTATTATCTCGTTAACACCGCCGATCGTCTCATTGTGCGCCATATGCCTTGCAAAAGTATCGTACTCGTACTAATTGCTGACGCGCATGACAAATCTCGCTCCGAAACTGAGACAGCATGACAAACTTCGCATATCATGTAATGCTGAGCCAATTTGTAATGCAATTTCCACTGGTGCGATACTTTTGCAATGCATACGCCACGCGGAACGGGTTCCGTGCGGAGTCATAGGCAAAGGTGGTGTCTGGGTTGTTCAGAGACCGCGCAGGGACTTGGTTTTCCAGACTAATTTCCACTATCTCTCCATCCTTGTTCGGCCTTCTCTTATGAATTGCAAAAGTATCGTACTCGTAGAAATGCAACAAAAATTTTCTCAGTATGAGAAATTAGATTTGTAATGCGGATTTACCCTAACGAAGAGATTTGTAATGCATGACTGCAAGAATTACTACGAGTACGATACTTTTGCACAGGATATCTCTTCGGTGACAGCAAGCCCTTCATCGAAGCTTTCAGCATTTTATTGTGGTATATGCATTGCAAATACGTCTGGGTGGTCTGGAAGGTTCTGATGTAAGCCAGTGAATAGTATAGCCCTCTGTGATGCACCGCCAAGCATGACAGGCTTTTCCGTCGCTCTGTGTTGCCTTTTCCGCATGAGAAACAGCGTTTTTGCATAACAGGCAAGCGGAGCTGTTCGTAGCCACGCAACACAAAGCCCAGCGTCATGGGAGACAAGCATGACAAATCTCGCAACCGTCCAGACCCAGACATACTTGCAGTGGATATGGTAGTTGGAAGGTTTACTTCTGGGCTTGATGTCTTCACTATCGAAATCTTCGGAGACAGAAGGGGGTTCCGCGTAGTACAGGGCAGGGGACGACCCGCCGTAGCCGTAACCACTGCTATTCTCCTGCTCTTCGTAATACTCGTTCGGATCGAAGGTGACGAATTTGCCCGTTGCTTTATCAAAGAACCCTTTCCCCGTTCTCCTTTTCATCTCCTCTAACTCCCTCCTCTGCTCCAACCTTTTGTCTTCGTACCGCTGGTATCCAGTGTAAAAGTACCGCACTTGTAGTAATCGCATTCCTGCATTGCAAGTTTTTTTCTCAAGTTCAGTCCGCATTACAAAATTTATTTCTCATGCTGAGTAAATTTGTCATGTGATTTATACTAGTACGATACGTTTGCAATGCATAGCTGGTAAATCCAAAGCGGCCACAGCCAAAATTTCCACAAGACCAACATCAGCGCGAAGCACAGCCCCGCGTAGGTCCACCACTCGGACTGGTTGTGGCCGAAGATCCAGACCTGGGCAAACCTGGGGCGCTCGGTGGTGGTTGCCGGTAAGATGTCCCCCTCCGCCACCCGGCAAGGCCAGGAGCCTTTGGTGTTCCCGTAGGACCACATGTCGCAGAACAGATCGGTGGTGGGGTTGTGGTAGATGCAGCAGTTTTCGAGTTTTTCCATCTCCGCGCGGGGAAGGCGGAGAGAGGCGGGGGAGGTGGCTGTTTTGATTTGGATTTGTCATGCGAAATCGTACAAGAGACAGCCTGCTTGTCATGCATCCTCAAAAACGTGAAATTAACTAAACGTAAAAAATCTATACCTTTCCCGCCCGGACACTGGTTGAAGTATTCCCTGGGCGCTAAATCGTATTCTTTCCCGTCCCATTCGTACTCGGGATACCAATTGCCCTCGGCCACCTGCGAGTCTTCTTCCCCGCCGTCACTATCATACCGGATTAGAATGTCGAACTGACACCCGTTACTGTACCGCGCGACGTCACTAACCCCGCACCGCTCCGCGCCCCCGTCGGATTTCAAAGCGCAAACCGAGCATATGTCGGTAAACCTCCAGATCCGGCAATTATCCCGACAAAAAAGTGTATTGGTTTAGCTTTAGGTTTATTCTTGGGGTGAGAGCATGACAAATTTGCTGTGCATGACAGAGAAAGCCTGCCATGCGCAGCTCCCACATGAAAACAGATATGAAAAGAGGACTTCATGGCTGACCAGCATGACAGGCGCAGCTGTGTTGCATGCTTTGCATGACAGACTTACAACACCTACACAGTTTTTTTCTTGCATAGCAGTTTGCGTTGGTCCACTGCCAGAAGTGCCTCCCCGCCTGTTCGGCCTCTCGCATATGACAGTGCACAACCCCCCCTCCCCCTCATTTGTATGGCATAAGCAGCAATACAGACATCAGCACACATGGAGCCTATGCATGACAAATTCATGCGCCTCGTGTGGTACTGTTTGGACTTGCAGAATTTGTGATGCAAACAGTGCTACAGGGCAGCAGCTGGATTTGAGATCTTGCATGACAAACGAGGGGGAGGGGGAATTGTGCACTTTCATATCGCAGCGGCACCGTGCAGAAGTAGATGCCGGCGATCATGGCATAGATCCCCACGAAGAGCGGCCGAATCAAGAGCGTATGCTCTGCAAAAGTATCGTACTCGTAGTATTGCAATACAAATTTTTTCAGCATGAGAAATTGAATTTGTAATGCAGATTCACCTTGAGGAAAAGATTTGTAATGCATGATTGAAATTACTACGAGTACGATACTTTTGCACAGGATAGAGCGGGAGTGGTTTTTTCCGTGTCACTCTCGGGTCCAGGCCGTTATCTTCCACGGGCGCTAGGAACTCCTTGAACTTGAAGCTCGCGTTGAATAACGAGAACTTCGGTCCTTTGTTTCTCTGGTTCATTTGCAACCCGATCTGCTGCTGTAGTTGTTCCATCGAGTCCATCCGGTACATATGGGATTCCCAAACGTTACACTCCCAGCAGCTGCTGTTGCATGAATTTGTAATGCAAGACCAGCGGCAGTGAAAGGGGCAAGCTTGCAGCTCTCGCATCACAAACTTGATGACGCAGATTCAGATGCTGTGTGGCCCTTCGGTAACTTGTCATGCGAGGTAGCTTGATTTTGTGGTGGATTATGGTTACTTTGCATCACAGATTCATGCATTACTGTTGAGAATGTAACGTCTGAGAACGGCATAGTACAGTTTATCCACGTCTAGTTTCTGCGTTGGAGACAAACACGGGTCGTAGTGGGGATCATTCTCCTCTTCCGGAAGTTCCTCCTCATCTAAGTCACTGTTGTCCAAACTTTTCTGACTCCGCAAAGCCCCGCTCGGCTTGGTCCCTCCTTTCTGCGGTGAAAACTGCGCGGGGTACTCTGCTTTTTTGTCAACCGCTTTGGCAAACACCTTCCCCCGCACGGATCTCTTATTTCCCGTGAATTTTAGATCAAAATTCTCATCTTCCCCGGGGTTGACTCCATCGGCAAAGCGGACTTTTGGTTCCTCCTTGGTGAAGATACCCAGATTGGGAGTATGCATTGCAAAAGTATCGGTATGCGTATCGCAGTTGTACCAGTAGTGTAGATTGCATGACAAATCTTTCCAAAATGAAAAATGAGATCTGTGATGCGGATTCACGTAAAAAGAACAGACCTGTCATGCAAAGTGCTGCAAGAAACGTTCACACTTTTGCAATGCATAAGGATTTTCGGTCGACGATTCTCCCTGCATCCGCTTCTCCTCCCGATAAGCTTCCAAGTACTGCTGATCTCTTTGCTTTTCTTTTTTCAGCCTCTCCCGCTCCCTTGCTAGTCTTTTCTCCTCCTCCGGGTGTTTCACCCTTGTCAAAGGATTCAGCGTTTCGTTCTCCGCTGCTACTTGGTCCAACATCGCTTTGGAACTGATCACGGACACCGTGTCAGAATGATGGTCTCCCGGCGTGTATCGCAAGAAAAAACTGCTTCGCTGTGAACTTGTGACGCAGAAAATGCATCTCACTGAAGTGTTTGTCTTGCTACACATGCAAGACAAATGATTTTTAGTGGTGTTTTCCGTTAGGATCCTTGCATGGCAAGTTTTCTTTGTAATGTGTAGCGAACTTGTAATGCAAAACTTGCAAAATCCTTACAGTGAAACAGTTTTTTCTTACGATAGCGTGGAGAGGTTGTCTAGTGGGGAGTTCGCTTCTAATTTATCTTTCACGTACATCTGTCGCTTGTGCTCCAAGGCGTCGTCGAAGTCCTTATTGATCGTTACTAATCCGGAGCCGTGCACTTCCCCAGCCAGGTTTTGCCGTTCGGTTGCATTAGCTTTGTAAATCGGGTCGGGAGGGCAGACGGGGGATTTCCATTGCGTGTACCTATGAAAGTGTTTGCTGCGTGATGTACAGATGAGCATGACACACACAGCCGATGATGCAAATTGTGCACGACAAACTATACCAAAGTCAAAAAACTACATCATCAGTACCTCAATAACGCCGTCTTGTATTGCGACAACTTTAATCTCGCATCTTTGATCCCGAATTTCTTCAGTGTTTTAATCAGCGTCTCGTCCCCGTTTTTTGGATTGTTCCGTTCCCGAACCTGCACTAGCTCGGACAGCTCCCGCGGCAAGTTCGCTACCGGGACGGAGGATTTTGCCACGAGCCTCATCCGTCTTCGTTCTCTCCGGTTCTCGTCCTCTTCGACTTCCTTGGAATCTTCCTCTATTTTCTGTTTGTTCCACTTGATCTTCGTCGCTATCTCGTGCTTCTCCAGTTCCCGGATCTTCTTCTCGTTATGAGAGCGTACAACTCCCCCTCCCCCTCGTTTGTCATGCATAAATACCAAGTCCAAGCGCTGCACTGTGGTACTGTTCGCATGACAGATTCGTCCGCAAGCCCAAACAGTAACTACAATACGAGTGTGAACTTGTCATGCACAGGCTTCATAGGTGCGGGTGTTTGTATTGCTGTCCATGCAAAACAAATGAGGAGGAGGGGGAGTTGTGAACTGTCGTACTCGTTCCTGCTCATGTACATCTCATCCAATTCCTGCTTCTGCAGCCGTCTGTACCTTTGTTGCACCGTCTCATTCGGGTAGAGAATCTTATCGTCCTCCGTCGGCGGCGGGATGTTGACGACGTGATCATTGCTCATTTGACTGCGTTGGTAAAAGCTCTCCCGCGTCGATTGCTTCACTGGGTCGTCCGGACCGTAGTCTCCGTCTTCTGGCGCGAAGAGAAAAGGTTGCTGTTTATTTTTTGGTTTACTACTAGAAGTGGCTCCTGCACCTGTTCCCGTGTAGTTCCCGTCAGATTGTGTCGTGGAATACGACGCGCCACTGGTCCAACTACTGTTAGTCGACCCCGGTGCCCAATTACTGAGCGGGATGATTTTATTCTTTTTATCAGCTGATTGTTCCAGCGTTTCAAACGCTCGCTGTTTTTGACTCGATTCCGTCTCTTGTTCCTTCGACACCAAAAACGCCGGTTTCTTCGCCGGACTGATCCGCTTCGCCACACCGCTCGCCACCTCCTTCGCAATCCGGATCGGCGATATCGCTTGGGCGACGTAGGAAAGGTTTTCCCTCTATCCTGTGCAAAAGTATGATCGCACTCGTAGTGATTGCAATCATGCAAGACAAATTTTTTTTTCAAGCTAAATCAGCATGAGAAATTCCATTTCTCATGCTGAGCTAAATTTGTATTGCGATACTACGAGTACGATACTTTTGCAGTTCATACCCTCCGAAGTGCTTTGACGTAGTCATCTTGCATCTTGTGCTGAAACAGCATGATGCTGTCTTCTCGTTTGTCGATGGAGGATTTTCTTCGCTTCCGACCTCTCGGGGGTGGTGGTTTGGGGGATTTGGACGGAGAGTTGGAGCGGCTCCGGCTCCTGCTTCTCCTACGACCATCTTCGGGGTCAACATCGTACGTCCCGTCTGAATTAGCCTTGCTGGTGTGCTTCTTTGGCGACGGAGATTTTGACCTGGATTTACTCGTGCTTCGTCCTCCATCAAGAGACTCTTCGCGTGATTCTTTGATCGACAAATTTTCAGAATCGCCATCAAGGGTCCCGTGCAGGCGAACGAAGGTAGTGAAGGACGGCTTCACTTTTTCCTCGGCGCCATTCTTGTCTTTCTTCTTTTTCGGCGCCATTTTGTTTTTTTCGAGATTTGTTCTTTTGATGTCCTGTTGCTCTTCACAGTAGTATGCTGGTGTCGTGTGATGTACTAGTACTACTAGTAGTTACTTTTCATTCATATACGCGTAGAAGTTTCTACGATCATAGGAGACGAACTTCAGCTTTCGCTCGAACGACGAGACACTAGATATGCAAACCTCTATATCACGACGAATACGACAACTGTTCTATTCTTCGCTCGATTGACTCAAAGTCTTTTCCTTTCTCTCCGCTCGTCTAAATCAACATCGTTGAACTCAGATTCAGAAGTCTATCCTGTCCTCTAGACAAAATGCATCGAAACGAGACGACATGGCCACGTGACCACACCACGGAAGATGTTGAACACGGGTTCTTGCACTATTCGTGCACAAGTCGTAGCTGCACCGGACAGACCTGCGAACTACAGCAGCAGCAGCTAAAGGGTGAAACCAAGTTGAGTTCACCTGGTTCCTTTCTTTTCCACCGTTCTTAGCCTCAAACTCGATCCTAAAATCTCATCGAAAATGCGCTACCACAAAATCCAAACTCGCTTTTAAGATTTTCAGACAGACCTCAATCTCTTCCTCATTCCTTGGTGCGTAAACCAGCACCAACCCCGGCGGCACTCCCGGGTGCTTCTGCGCGGATAAAAGATGGAATTCTGTCCACCCGAGGCGGTTCAGCTCCTCCGCATCTTGGAGATCCAGCGTCAAGTGCATCGAGCCTAACCCCCCGCCTTGCCACACCTGCCAGGGGCGGTCTACTGGGCCCCTTTGTTTTGCATTTAATGGATCTTTTTCAAAGTACTTGGCGTGGATGTGCGCGAACTCGGTACCGACCATGAAGCAATCTCTGGTGCTCATCATCATGCCACCGGTTTTAGCTGGTTTCATTGTCTTCGGATTCCAGTGAAAAGCAGGGTAGGTCGAAGGAACGCTGATCCCCGTTGGGCCCACTTCGACACAGTAATCAAGCGTTTCCTTGTCGTTCTTTCCCTGCAGCATCTCTGTCGCTTTTTCCACAAACTGTTTGAATATCACCTCGGAGGATTCCTCGGTCATCTGGCAGTGGGGCAAGCACGTGCCGGTTTGCGGCCGGGCGCCGGGTCGCGGGGCGGGGTAGTTGTCGCGGAGCATTGTTGACTTGGCCTTTTCTGTCTTGAAAAAAAACGGGTTGACGCAACAAGACGTACAGCTTTTTGCGTTGCAATTGTTTCGGAACAATTTTTAATCTCAACATAAGCTCATCCTCACTATCCAATTCGAGGTCAGGCGAAAAGAAACAAAAGGAGTTTTATGGTGGTTTGAGAGGCGTGTTTGGTGGGGGACGCGAAAAGGTGAGGGGTGCCTGCTTTTCCTCAAGAACGAATACGAATGCGATTTGTACTTTGCCTGTAGTTTTCGAAAACACGACGTGCTTGTGCACGACTTTGAAATCCTCGTTGACCGCCCATTTGCTCCCGAGAATTTCAGTTTCCCCGATGACAAAAAGAAAAAAACACGACTTGTAGGTGTGGTGCCCGCGAGACAGAAACACATGGCCGACCTTCTCTTCCTGATACACACAAACAACCACGGTCGGCTCGCTACAACACTCTTCAACTTCACAAGTAGTTGGTGCTGTGCTGCGCGCACTTGATGCCCAGCAACATCGTTGAGATAAAGTTTTTTCCTATCCGTTTGTCATTCAAGAATCTAAGTATACGCTCGGCGTTGAAAAAGCGGCGGTGATGCTGAAAGCGCGGGACTATATCCATCAACGTTCTTAGATGTACAGTGAGCGTCCAATTTTTGTATTGTTTTTCTCTATTCTTTTCGTAGCGATACATAGCTGGCCATAAGATAACAAACTGTCTGAAGAAGAATACTGAAATTAATTTTGATTGTAGTGCCTTGATTTTTTTGCTTCTGTACAGTTTCGAATAGAAAACTCAACTGCTGAATACGCGAGGCTAGGTGGATGTAAATCTAGAACAAGTTTTGCTATATCTCTGATTTTGAATTGATTGTTTACAAAAAACGAAGATTCACATTCTAAACGCACTAGAAAGAACAAGAGCGTACAGGTCAATTCACTGTTACAGTCTGCTCATAACTCGCTCAAACATTCCTGGTTGCTAGTAATAAAGTCTCCCATTTAATACTTGCTGAAACTCTTGCTGTTCTTGGATGTCGAAGGTGTGAAGAAAGCCCTAGTTCCCATAAAACGAAGCCGAAGCTTCGTTCTACTCACTCCTGAAACCAGCCTCATCAGATTTTCGCGACCTTCTCCATAATCTCCAAGAGCTTCACTTTCATCTCCGAGGATGCGTCGGAACCATCGATATGCATTGCAAAAGGATCGCACTCGTATGTATGTGAAGTGAAATCAGCATCACAAATTCCATATATGCTGACCGAATTTTCAACGCGATTTGGATTTCTACTAGGACGATACTTTTGCAAGGGATAGTCCACCAGTTTCTGCAATTCGGTTTTCACGATGTACTGGGCCAGACCGAGCTTCGGATTGCACAGGAAAAACGCCGACGGACCGGGGTAGACCGAGCCCTCCGGCTGCACCGGTTGCTGCACCGGCTTCAACGCCGCCGCGCGCCGCGCGCTGCGCCTTCATGCAGTGGATACCGAATTCGCCTTTTTCGTGTGCTTTTTCGGCGACGGAGATTTTGACCTGGATTTACTCGTGCTTCGTCCTCCATCAAGAGACTCTTCCCGTGATTCTTTGATTGACAAGTTTTCAGAATCACCGTCGAGAGTCCCGTGTAGCCGAACGAAGGTGGTGAAGGACGGCTTTACTTTTTCCTCGGCGCCATTCTTGTCTCTCTTCTTTTTCGGCGCCATTTTGTTTTCGGGATGTGTTCTTTTGATGTGCTGTTGCTCTTCACAGTAGTATGCTGGATGGTGTCGTGTGTACTAGTACTACTAGTAGTTACTTTTCAATTTCATTCATATACGCGTAGAAGAAGTTCCTACGATCATAGTGGAGGAACTTCAGCTTTCGCTCGAACGACGAGACGCTAGCTGTGCAAACCTCCATATTATCACGACGAATACGACAGAACTGTTTTTCGCTCGATTGACTCAACATTTTATCCTGCCTCTCCGCTCGTCTGAATCAACATTGTTGAACTCAGATTCAGAAGTCTTTCCTGTCCTGTAGACGAAACGCATCGAAACGAGACGACCTGGCCACGTGGCCACACCACAAAAGATGAACACGGGTTCTTGCACTACTCGTGCACAAGTCATAGCCGAACCGTACAGACCTGCGCACTACAGCAGCAGCAGCTAAAGGCGGTGAAGACAAGTTGAGTTCAGCTGGTTCCTTTCTTTTCCACCGTTTTTAGCCTCAATAAACTCGATCCTAAAATCTTTATCTAAAATGCGCTACCACGAAATCCAAACTTGCTTGTAAAATCTTCAAACAAACCTCAATCTCCTCCTCATTCCTTGGTGCGTAAACCAGCACCAACCCCGCCGGCACTCCCGGGTGCTTCTGCGCGGCTAGCAGATGGAATTCAGTCCACCCAAGGCGGTTCAGCTCCTCCGCGTCTTGGAGATCCAGCGTCAAATGCATTGATCCTAACCCCCCGCCTTGCCACACCTGCCAGGGGCGGTCTCGCTCTCGGGTGTCTTGTTTTGCGCTTCTTAATGGATCTTTTTCAAAGTACTTCGCGTGGATGTGCGCGAACTCGGTACCGACCATAAAACAATTCCTGGTGTTCATCGTGTTCATGCCACCGTCTTTACCTGCTGGCCTCATCGTCCGTGAATTCCAGTGAAACGCCGGGAAAGTAGACGGGACGCTGATCCCCGTTGGGCCCACTTCGACACAGTAGTCGAGCGCGTCCTTGTCGTTTCCCTGCAGCATCTCTGTCGCTCTTTCCACGAATTCCTTGAATATCGCCTCGGAGGATTCTTCCGTCATTTGGCAGTGGGGCAAACAAGTGCCAGTTTGCGGCCGGGCGCCGCGTCGGGGGGCGGGGTACTTGTCACGGAGCATTGTTGACTTTGGCTTTTCTGTCTTGAAAAAGCAACGGTTTATGCAACAAGACGTACAGCTTTTTACGTTACGCGACTTGATTCGGAATTTTGTTTCAGCTTCACAGGAGGCTCCTGCTCACTTACATTTCGAGGTCAAGCGAAAAGAAACAAAGGGAGTTTTATGGGGGTTTAAGAGGCGTGTTTGGTGGGGGTCGCGAAAAGATGAGGGGTGCCTGCTTTTGTTTCGTCGTCAAGAACGAGTAAAACGACGAATGTATTTGCTACCTTGCCTGTAGTTTTCGAAAGCACATACACGATTTTGAAATCCTCATGGACCGCCCATTTGCTCTGCAATTTCAGTTCCCCCAATGACGAAAAGAAAAAAACACGACTTGTAGCTACCCAGGAGACAGAAACCCATGACCGACCTTCGCCTTCCTGGTACCATGGAAAAACAAACACGGTCGGCACACTAAAACACCCTTCATCTTCACAAGTTGTAGGGCGTGCTATGCTGTGCGCATCATGCCCAGCAACATCATTGAGATAAAGTTTTTTCCTATCCGTTTGTCTTTCAAGAATCTAACGATTACGCTCCACGTTGAAAAAGCGGCGGCGATGCTGAAAGCGCGGGACTTTATCCATCAACGTTCTTAGATGTACAGTGAGCGTCCAATTTTTGTATTGTTTTTCTTTATTCTTTTCCTTTTCGTAGCGATACATAGCTGGCTCTAATAAAATGTCTGAAGGAGAATACTGAAATTAATTTTGATTGTAGTGCCTTGATTTTTTTGCTTCTGTACAGATTTCAATCGGAAACCCAACTGCTGAATACGTGCGGCTAGGTACGTAGATCTAGAAGAGTTTTCCCATATTTTTGATTTTGAATTCATTGTTTACAAAAAACGAAGATTCACATTCTAAACGCACTAGAAAGAACAAGAGCGTACAGGTCAATTCACTGTCACAATCTGCTCATAACTCGCTCAAACATTCCTGGTTGCTAGTAATAAAATCTATCATTTGATGCGCACTGAAACTCATGCTGTTCGTGGATGTCGAAGGTGTGAATAAAGCCCTAGTTCCCATAAAACGAAGCCGAAGCTTCGTTCTACTCATTCCTGAAACCAAGAACCTCATCAGATTTTCGCGACCTTCTCCATGATCTCCTGCAATTGCAGTTTCACGTCCGAGGACGCGTCGGAACCATCGATATGCATTGCAAAAGGATCGCACTCGTATGTACAAATCTAGTTGTGAAGTGAAATCAGCATCACAAATTCCATATATGCTGACCGAATTTTCAACGCGATTTGGATTTCTACTAGGACGATACTTTTGCAAGGGATAGTCCACCAGTTTCTGCAATTCGGTTTTCACGATGTACTGGGCCAGACCGAGCTTCGGATTGCACGGGAAAAACGCCGACGGACCGGTGTACACCGAGCCCTCCGGCTGCACCGGTTGCTGCACCGGCTTCAACGCCGCCGCGCGCTGCGCCTCGACGAACTTCTTGTTGTGCTGCGCGCGTTCCTCTTCCTGTTTTTCGACCATCTTCTTGTGCGCCTCGATGTCGAACTCCGTGAATTTGGGAAACGGCACTGTAATAGAAGATGCAGTTTTGCTTTCTCCTTACGTGTATCTCCTCACGTGAAAAAAGCAAAATCAAGGTAGGAGGTCGAGATCGAGAAGATTCTCAACAAACATTTGATATAAATAAATAATTTACACATCAGATAATATAATTCCTACCGCTGGACACACCCTTGTGCGGATTTTCTTCGTCCGGAATTTCGATGCCCTTCGGCAAGGACTGTTTGAAGGCGTTTAGGCCTTTTTTCGTCAGCAGTTCCACCTTCTCATCCGGCACGAGAAACTCCTTCGACGGGACCCGAAATTGCGGCATGGTGAGGCCCAGCGACGGCATCTCCGTTTTGGACGGGGTATTCGGCATTTTCGACACAGCAGGATGTTGAAAGACAGGCGATGTTGAAGGTGAGCAATTTATTCTTGCAAGAACACAAGAAGTTCGCTGCCTTGCTTGTACTAGAAAGAAGTTTCCAAGCGAAACAAGTTTCCTGTTCGTTTCTTCTACTCTAGACTAGACGGTCTGCTTCTGCTAGTTTTTTGTTTGCGAATGAAAGACAGTTTCAGAAACAAACATTGACCAGAGCACCTCCCCATGCAGGGAGAACGAAAACGAAGCGAGGATCGAGCGGACAAACGACGGCGAACTGATGATGGCAGAAGGTAGCGAAAACGAATGACGAGGACGACTCGAGATCGAGAATCTGGTGCCGACTACACGAAACTTCTTACACAACTAGAACGCCTACGCGAAACTTCTTATTTACTGGCACAACTAGAACGCCTACGGAGAAATCGGTATTTCTTTCTGAGACACGTTGCAACAGTCTTTGTGTATTCGGAAGATTCACATCTGACGATTTCGATTTCCGAGATACGAACACGAAGCGAAAATAAAGCTCGAAGAGGCAAAACACGATGGCTCATCGACGTTGCGACCACGAGCACGACCCTCTCTCAGCGACAAATTGAAATAAGACACGAAACACGATTTTATTCATTCGATCCCGTCTCTATTCGTACGAGAGTCATGCTGATACGATTTTCGACAGCACACCCGAGAGACTAAGGGACTGAGCATGCAGCCCTATCTCTCAACGACAAATCATGCGACTCATCGAAATTTACGAGTTATGAGTATGAACGGGCTAATACGGTTTCTACGGTGCATACGTCGTACCACGATTGTAATTATATCTAAAACCCCAGAAGAGGAAGAAGATCGCTGCCTTCCGTTCTGGAACAAGACAGATGAGTGTAGTTCGTGATAGAGCTTCAGGCAAACTTTTGCAGGAGCTGTTGTACTAAAAAAGTACTAAAATAATTCTTCTTCTTGGAAACTTTACTGACCACACGGTTTTTTGTGGCGGCACATCCTGCAAGCATTCGAAACACAACAGTTAATCTTGTTTCATCATACAGGCACGCGAAAGAAGTTTTCAAGTTTATTGTCTTTTCGTTCACGTTCCTTTCTTGCCCTTCCCCTTTCCCTTTCTCGACACTGAATTTCTTTCTGGGCTGCTGGTGTCGTCCTCGCCTAACAGCGCCGCTGTTTCTTCTAGATTTAGTTCAGCAAAATTCCTCTTGCTTTTGGAACTTCTACGACTTGCCCGACTCGTACCGCTAGCATTCCTGCTTTGCTCATTTGCATTATCCTGTTCATTTGCAGAAGATGTTGATCCCGTCACCGTGACCGACCCCACCCTCGCGGCGTTCCCGCCGATTGATCTCGTACTGCGGTCCGGCGCGGGCAGCGCCGCGTCTAGCGCTTCTTGGTCCTCGATCGCCTTTTCGTTGTTCCTATGCGTAAACCGGCTGGTACTCGGGGTGTCCAGGGGGTGCGCGCGGACGCGCACACCGGTTGCTGCACCGGCTTCAACGCCGCCGCGCGCTGCGCCTCGACGAACTTCTTGTTGTGCTGCGCGCGTTCCTCTTCCTGTTTTTCGACCATCTTCTTGTGCGCTTCCACATTAAACTTCGTAAAGTTCGGGACCGGCACTGTAAGAGAGGATGCAGTTTTGCTTTCTCCTTCCTACTCAACATTATTTTCATCATGACAAGCATGAAGTCGTCAAACTACATTATCTTTTTTTTTCATACTCAAAGTTGTATAACAAAAACCATTCTACCGCTCTGCAGTCCCTTCTGGAGGTCTTTCTCCTCCGGAATCTCGAGCTTTTTCGGCAGGGACTCCTTGAATTGCAGGAAGAACCCCGCGACCTTCTCGGTGGGCACCAACGGTTCCTTACTCGGCTTCTTCAACTTCGGCACTTCGATGCCGAGGGAGAAGTTCTCGGCCTTGCAGGGGGAATTGGGCATGGTATTAGTTTTCCTTTGTCAAGCTCAACCAAGACAACGCTCTTGCAAGCACGACCAGCTGCCTCGTGGATTTTTCCTTTGTTGTGTATTTGTGTCAGTCGCCGCGCATAAAATATTTGATTTTTTCTACAGATTGTAGAAAAAAAAAAAATCGAAAACAGGTAGAAAAAATCAAAAAGGGAAAAAAAGAGAAAACAGAAGAGAAAAGACATCAAGAGAAAATCAAACGAGAAAACACAGAGACGACGACTTTTCTTACAAAAAGCAAACGCCTCGTTTTGATTTTTTCTACAGCTGTAGAAAAAATCAAACAGCGCTCATCCGAAACCGAGAGAAACGAGAAAACGGCAAGAACTCGAGAAGTTCTCACCTTTTCTCGAAGTTCTCGCTTTTTCTCGAAAGTCTTCTCGTCCCGCCCATTCGAGGCCAACGGCCGAAAACGTCCAAAATACTGTAGAAAAAATCAAACGCCTCCGGAGAAAATCAAAAGACCTCCACCCGGAACGCTGAGGAGCCACCTCGCCGCGCGCGTAGCGCGCGAAGAAAATTCCCCAAGCGGCGAACGAAGTTGGTGCGCGCCCCATGTGCGGGGACGGCTGAGAAGCAACCGCGCCGCGCGCGCAGCGCGCGGGGGGAATTTTTCAAGCGGCGGACGGAGGTGGGGGCGCGCCCGATATGCGGGGGGAGCAGAAAAAATTAATTTCCAAGCAGCAGACGGAGGCGGGCCGTGCGCGCCCCATGTGTGGGGAACGCTGCGAAACAAACTCGCCGCGCGCGCAGCGCGCGGAGAAAATTTTTCAAGCGGCAGACGGAGGGGGGCCGTGCGCGCCCCATGTGTGGGGAACGCTGAGAAGCATTTTCGCCGCGCGCGCGCGCGGAGAAAAATTTTCAAGCGGCAGACGGAGGGGGGCCGTGCGCGCCCCATGTGGGGAGAACGCCGAGAAACAACTTTGCGCGCGCGGAAAAAATTTTCCAAGCGACGGGCGTAGATGGGCACGCGCCCCATGTGTGGGGGACGTTGAGAAGCAACCTCGCCGCGCGCGGAGAAGATTTTTCACGCGGCGGACGGGGTTGGGTGCGCACCCCATATGCGGGGGGCGCTGAGAAGCAAGCTCTCCGCGCGCGCAGCGCGCGCCGCGGAGAAAAATTCTCAACCAAGCGGCAGACGGAGCTGGGTGCGCGCCCCATGTGCGGGGAACGCTGAGAAGCAACCGCGGCGCGCGCGCGGGCGGCGCGCGGAGAAAATTTCTCATGCGGCAGACGGAGGTGGGTGCGCGCCCCAGGTGTGGGGAACGCTGAGAAGCAACCGCGCCGCGCGCGCAGCGCGCGCGGAGGAAATTTCTCAAGCGGCGGACGTAGGTGGGTGCGCGCCCCAGGGGCGGAAAACGCTGAGAGGAAAACGCGCCGCGCGCGCAGCGCGCGGAGAAAATTTTTCAAATCAAGCGGCGAACGGAGGTGGGTGCGCGTCCCATGTGCGGGGAACGCCGAGAAGAAAACTCGCCGCGCGCGCAGCGCGCGGAGAAAATTTTTCAACAGGCGAACGGAGGTGGGTGCGCGCTCTAGATGAAACTTGCCGCGCGCGCAGCGCGCGGAGAAAATTTTTCAAGCGGCCGACGGAGGTGGGTGCGCGCCCCATATGTGGGCAACGCTGAGAAGCAACCTTGCCGCGCGCGCAACACGCGGAGAAAAAAAATCTCTCAAGCGGCAGACGGAGCTGCGTGCGCGCGCCATATGCGGGGAACGCTGAGAACCAACCTCGCCGCGCGCGCAGCGCGCGGAGAAAATTTTTCAAGCGGCAGACGGAGGTGGGTGCGCGCCCTATGAGCGGGGGGCGCTGAGAAGCGCGGGCGGCGCGCGGAGAACTGAAGCGGCGGGCGGAGCTGGGTGCGCGCCCCATGTGGGGGGGACGCTGAGAAGCAACCGCGCCGCGCGCGCAGCGCGCGGGGAAAATTTCTCAAGCAGCGGACGGATGTGGGGGCGCGCCCTATGTACGGGCATCGCTGCGAAGCAACTTTGCCGCGCGCGCAACGCGCGGAGAATGAAAATTTTTCAAGAGGCGGACGGAGGTGCGTGCGCGCCCCATGTAATGCGCGCGCGACGCTAAGAAGCAATCTCGCCGCGCGCGCAGCGCGCGGAGAAAATTTTCCCGACCGGCGGGCCACACAACCAGGCGGGGCCGCGAATTGGGTGCAGAAAAACCGAAGCAACATACTTCGCGAACCAGAAAAAAGCAGAGGCAGCAAAGCCACGCGCTCAGCGCGCGGAGGAAATTTATCAACTGACAGACGGAGGTGGAGGCGCGCCCGATGTGTGGCGAACGCTGAGAAACAACGCGCGCGCGGGCAGAATTTTTCAAGCGACAGACGGAGGCCGGGGCGCGTCCCATTTGCGGGGAACGCTGAGTACCAGCCTCACCGCGTGCGCTAGGGCCGCCCGGAAAAAATTTCTCGGGCGAGGGGGCCACGCAACCAGGCGGGAGCGCACAGACAACACGCGGAGAATTTTTTTCAGGCGACAGATGGAGGTGGGGGCGCGCCCCATGTGCGGGGAGCGCCGAGAAACAACCTCGCGCGCGGAGCGCGCGGAGAAAATTTTTCTTGCTTTCTTCTCGATTTTTCTCAAAGCACCCGACAGGGTTTTTCTACAGTGGGAGCCCGGTTTGATTTTTTCTAGGTGCTTTTTGATTTTTTCTACCGTATTTTTTTTTTCTCGGCATTTGTGTGACTGCAGAAACCAAAAATATTACAGCTCAATTTTTACTCCCAAAGCGAGCGTTGACGAGAAAATCAGAACGGCCTTATTGGACGACAAAGAGAAACGACATAACGATCAACATCGAGCGAGGGAAACGACGATAAACGATAACGAGACATACAGATTTCGAAAGAGAAATAAACGAGCGGCGATCAAGACACGATGACCACGAGGCGTTAATTTCTCTTGTCCACTAGATGGTACTCCAGTACGAAAGGAGCTGTCGCTCCACCTGCCTATGCGCGAACGCGATTTATAGAAAGGAAAAAGGCGCAGAATTCTGAAGATACGGTGCTTTGTGAATTCAATGAATTGTTCTCAAATTTCAAAAATCCTTTGTAGAGTCCGTGTCGTTGAATCTGGCTGCCGCAGACACCGCAATATCTTGTTCTCCTTCTGGTATTCTCAGGAGCTTGATGTGCCTGGAAGCAAGCCGCTGGTGCGCTTCTCTACTTTTACATCGGGATCCTAGTCTGAAGAGAAACAGAAATCGTACAGAATAGTTGTAAAATAAGTCACGCGAAGATCGTTACTAAACTAGTACTCGCACAGGCGATACTTGTTTCCTCTGGTGCCGTCCTCCATACTCTGGCGCTGAACCACAAGCGAGTAAAGCTGGTGCGTAGAGATGGTCTAGTTGCGGGTATACAATTGCATTCGAAGTTAGAAGGTCGTGATACCATACGTTTTTTCAAGAAAAATCAAACAATCTGCTTTGGTCTATTCTTTTGTTTTGTACAAGAAAACCTGAAGAAATGAATCATAGTTGTCGTTGAAGCGATCTGCTGTAGTTGTACATTCAATTTTCACCTGTGAAACACATATTCGAAATAGATTATAAACAAAGCCGCGCAATACGGTCGTGTAAAACCTGTTATACCGATCTACGATCTTCTTGTTCGTTCTCCTGTTCAACTTCTCTATTGTGCTTGCGATAATAACGAGGGCGAGTTTCTGTCTTCCATGGGTGGAAAATGCACATTGGTCAATTCCGCCCAACCTAGAACCACCTAGCGATGACTGCAACCTGGAAGTTACATCACGCGACTGATGCATGTGCAGGGAGCTGTGCAGGTATTTGCACAGATCCGAGAGCAGGGATCTGCGCAGATACCTGCGCAACCCGCCTGCACAGGTCCGGCAGCAGGTACCTGTCACAGGTACCTGTCACAGGTCCGGGAGCAGGTCACCTGCCCAGGTCGGAGGCAGGTCAACTGCCCAGGTCGGGTGCAGGTCACCTGCCCAGGTCGGAGGCAGGTCACCTGCCCAGGTCAGAGGCAGGAGGTCACCTGCCCAGGTCGGAGGCAGGAGGTCACCTGCCCAGGTCGGAGGCAGATCACGTGCCCAGGTCGGAGGCAGGTCACCTGCCCAGGTCAGAGGCAGGTCACCTGCCCCGGTCAGATGCAGGTCACCTGCCCAGAGCGGAGGCAGGTCACCTGCCCAGAGCAGGGGCAGGTCACCTGCCTAGAGCAGGCGCAGGTCACCTGCCCAGGTCAGAGGCAGGTCACCTGCCCAGGTCGGGGGCAGGTCACCTGCCCAGGTCAGAGGCAGGTCACCTGCCCAGGCCGGCGGCATATCACCAGGCGATATCAGGCGATATCAGGTGAAATCAGGTGATATCATCAGGTGATATCAGGTGATATCAGGTGATATCAGGTGATATCAGGTGATATTAGGTGATATCAGGTGATGATATCAAGTGATATCAGGTGATACCAGGTGACATCAGGTGATATCAGGTGATATCAGGTGATATCAGGCGATATCAGGCGATATCAGGTGATAGCAGGTGATAGCAGGTGATATCAGGTGATATCAAGTGATATCAGGTGATATCAAGTGATATCAAGTGATATCAGGTGATATCAGGTGATATCAGGTGATATTAGGTGATATCAGGTGATATTAGGTGATATCAGATAATATCAAGTGATATCAGGTGATATCAGGTGATATAAGGTGATATCAGGCGATATCAGGTGATATCAGGTGATATCAGGTGATGCCAGATGCCTGATGCTTGATCGCGTGCCGACAATAAAAAATGACTCTTTGCGTGACGGCTGCAAAATATTGCCGAAAAATGCATCTTTGCGTGAAAGCTACAAAGGTTGCGCATATGTTTTGTGCAAAGCAATCCCGTCGCCCCGAGCCCTGCGCCTGCACAAGCAGCGGCGCCGCTGCATTACCAACGAGCTTTCCACTTCCCCCTTTCCACCCCACGAAACACAAAATCAAAGGTCTTGCAAGATAGGAAAGATGAAAACTTTTTTGATTGTTTAAGTTACAACGTTGTTAGTGTCCTAGCCCTACAGTAACAATGTTTGCTTGTTGTAAATACAAGTATCGATATCCAGGATGTTATAGTAATAAAAGCTAGATGAAGTTGGAGTACCAGTAGATTGAGATTGTGCATTGTGTTGTTCGATCTATCCTACTTGAAGTTTCATTTCGATTGTCCTGTCAAGCAGAAATCTAAATATTATCGTTGCCCGTGCAAATCAATTTCAAAACAAATGCGACTTCTCTTCCTTACAACAAACCGTCCAGTTTTTCCTCCATCTCGACCACCGCGTCGATCACCTCGCGCCGCGTGGGGAGCAACTTCATCGCAGAAAATTGCGCCTGGATCCACCGCTTGACCGCATCCTTCTTCAATTCCTCCGCCTTGGCCAAGTCCCGATTCTTGACCGCGAATCCCGCCACCGAGGGGGCCTTAATCGCAGCCATTCCCGAACCGGCGGTCATGCAGGACGCTTTTGAGATAGCGGGCGACAGGGCAATCGGCTTGACCCAGGCTGTTAGTTTGTTTTGTTGTTCTTGTTTGTCACGATGTACTTAATCTTTGGGGTATCATGCACAAAGACAAACTGCAAAAGAAAACGAAGTATACTTTTCTCCTCGCGCTGCTCCTTCAAAACCCGCATAAAACCGGCCGCAGTAAACTTCTCCGCCTCCTTATCGAAGGGGAAGTTCTTCGACTTCACTGTGAAGATTTTCGATTTTTTCATAATGGATAGGAACATTTGGATTTGTCATGCGCACCTTGCAAGAAAAGACGGTTTATTCATGCAGCAAGAGCAATACAACATGACAGATCACTAAATCAGTTGTACTATCAGAATCATTATACAGTCGGTCAGAGCGTCCAAGGGCGTGGTCGCGATCTCGGATTCGGAAAAATCCAACACCGACATCTTGCTCGCGGACTGCTTAAACTCGGTGAACAGTTTCTTTCCAGCGTCGACCGACTCGACCAGTTGGATCTTCTTGTTCTCCTGAAACACCTCCGGCTTCGGCAGGTCCAGTCCCAGGCCTTCGCCGGTAACCAGCGGGGAGGCCAGGATCTCATTCAGGCACGGAGACTGCGGCATCGTGTCGACAGGGGGTAGTTGCTGCTGGTTTTATTGGAGTCAAACCGGTAGCTGCTCCGGAAAACCAGTTAGGAGTTTGAAGGTTCTTGAGCTGCTGCTCACTCGGTGGTTGTCTCTGCTCAGCAGGTTGTCGTACGTAGTGGTTGTTTTCAGAAAAAAACTTTTTTCGTGGCTAAGAAAAGTTGTTATTCAACATGTGCAGAATAGGTATACTCAACGTTCGTATACAAAAAGGTTCACGAACTTCTCGAACAAATTGGGATCCACAAAGAAAGAGCGATCGTCAAAAATCGCGATCATTCTGAAGATGCGATACGAGATCGAGCAAACGTGAAAACGAAGTCGATTTAGAACGAAGAGGCACGAGTTGTCACGATCGCTTTTTTCCTTTAAAGGCTGATCGTGAAAATCGAGACCATCCAGCAAGTGCACGATGGCTTGATCAATTTACAGTGTAACAACGGGCTAAGTTGTTGGAAAACGAAAAGCTTCTTCTCTCCCACTCTCGCGGTAAATACGGTCTTTCTATCAGCTGCGACAAGAGATATGTATCGATGACGACGACGAGACTGAGCGAATGCAGTGGTTCATTTCGTTCTGCTTCGAGAAAAGCACGACAATACTTGTGAAAACATGGCAGCACCATCACCACAACTGGACCCCGCCGCGCGTCCAGCACTACTAGGACGCTCTTTCCTTTTTTCGGTGGCACGACATAGGAAATAACTTAGTAGTAGTTTGCACAATTCGATTTCTGATACTTATTTCCTCTTCATTTTCCACCTCCGCTGCTTTCTCGTCACGCAGATTGCTGATGACGGGATAAACTACAGAGCTCCTTCCCAGCTCTCGCATCAAGGAAAGTTTATATTGCTGCTGTGTTTGCTCGTCAACAACCAACCCCGCGAGAGGATGTCCTCGATAGCGGTGAAACTCGTCCTCCTAGAATGTAGTGCTATTCGGCTCTATCTGAGGATATTTAGCTAGAATTTGTGTACAAAAGAAATCTTAGCAATGAATTTTCAGAAGATCAGTAGAACTAGGGCGGCTGTTATCTCAATCGTACATGGTAGTCGTAGTGAAGCCGTAAGAGTCGTCGAAACAAATTTTGTAATCATGAACAAGAGTGGTAAACAAAACAGTGATAGAAATGACCTCTAGAAGTTGAGGAGACAGAAACTTCAATGAATTTACAAAAGTTAGCGATAGCGAATACGTCTAGGTCGTTCGTATCGGGAAATAAATTTCAGAATGGTACAGTTTTACAACAACAGAAAACGTACGTGAATGTGGTCGGTGGTGAGACAAAAGTGTTCTACAAATAGATAAAGCATAGAAGCCACTCGGGCTAGGAGAGAAATCGATGTAGCTGTGATGTGTAAAATATATAAATTTCAAAACAAGTAGTGCAAGTGCGCTTCTTTTACTTTGTACATTCTTTTGATAAAATTCTAGCAGAGATGCCGCAAGCGCGCCAATCGTACTGGATTGCAGCGGCCATGATGATAAATATTAGTCTGAATTCAAAACATACGTTAGGAAATATTTGTAGCGTCTGTCAAGTCTGATCCTGTCTGCTATCCGGTTCTGTTTTCTAGGAATCTGGTCGTACTAAATCACTTTCCATTTTCTTAACATACCTAATTTCAAGAAGAAATGATACGATAAAAATCGCAGAATTCTAATTTTCACTGCGTCTTGACTTTTCATTTTTTTCGTACTAGTCAATGTCGATAACTACAATACCTGCATCGGTCGTTGTATCTACTGCGGTGCTTAATTTCTTGTAAAAGCATTCAATTTTTTACGCATCTGCCAATTTCAAGAATAGCAGCTGCGGCATGTTGCTCGTGGTAAACCTAAGTTCAAACTCTTCCTCTCGCTTAATTTCAACGAGCAATCAAGATAGAAGAACTCAACGTCATCAAGTGCGTATGCAAACCCTCTACTGCACAACTCCTTGCTGCGCGACCGGGATCTGCACCTGCGCCGCCTGATTGGCTTGCTTCAAATCATCCCGTCGCACCTCTTCCATACGGAGTTCTATGAACGACAAAAACATCATCATCGTCGAGCAGTATAAGAATTTGTGATGCAAAGCTGCGCGGCACAGAGTTTGTTCTTTCAACTTTCATGCAACACCTTCGATTCACGCATCACAAACTTCGACTTCCTGAAGCAAGTAGATCAGATGATATTTTGCCTCAACATCATAACTTGCAGGTCCTCACCAGTAGGGATCGGGAGGCTGTGCCGCTTGCAGAACCGCTTGTAACCATCGTAGATATCGACTGCAAATAGGTCTGGGTCTGCAAGAGTACGCTTGTTTGTCATGCATCTTGCGCATCAAGCAGCTGATCTGGAATGCGCGTAAAAGCATTACAGGTTTTGCGCGGGCTACTTCTTCATGCCTGCGCTGCATGAGAAAGAAACTCCCTATTTGCCTAGCAAAAAATTGGCGGCTCTCGGTCTTGGCGTTTACGCAACACAAATTTCTGTAAGATCCTGAGTTTGCATCACAAGTTGGAATTTTTCCAGACCCAGATCGATATTTGCAATGCATAGTAGATGTCGGTCAACAAATTCGTCACCATCTCCACCGCTTGCTGATACTTCTCGAAGTTCCTGTATATTGAATTGGAATTGATGTGTGAAAATGCATGACAAATCCGCTCTGTGACTGTGAAGTGATTCAAAGAAACGCCTGAATGACAAAAATGCATTCCACCATATTGCGAAAAAGTTGAAATTTTTCCGCATAACAAACAACCCACATCAATAACTATACTCCAGGCAGGAAACATGCAACTGCAAGGGTTCCGTCGACTCCTTCCGATCCGGTCCCTCCAAAAATCCGGACCCCCGGCCGCGCAACCGGACCTTGCATATGAGAATGCACAACTCCGCCTCCCCGCCCTCATTTGTGATGCAAAATCCTAAACCCAGTCGCTGCTTTGTGGCACTGTTGGCATGACAAATTCTTCTGGAAGCCCAAACAGTACTTCTACATGAGACCCATGAATTTGTCACGCATAGGCTCCACATGTGCTGGTGTTTGTATTGCTGCTCATGCCATACAAATGAGGAGGAGGGGGGCTTGCGCACTCTCATATTGCACCCGGTCTCCTCGAAGATCGATCGCATGTTGTTTCTATCCTGTGCAAAAGCATCGTACTCGTATAAATGCATCACAAATTTTCATTTCAGCATGAGAAATAAAATTTGTAATGCGGATTTACGTTAAGGCAAAGGATTTGTAACGCATGACTGCAATTACTACGAGTACGATACTTTTGCAATTCATAATTTCCGTGTTTCCCGAGGATCCGCTTGACCACCACAAAGTCGAGATTTTGTTCCTTGTTGTTTCCAAAACCATAGTGTTGTTTGTAGGAAGCAGCACCGTGGTTGTAACTGTTATCGGACGTCGTACATTCCGAGATCCAGAACACACACACGAACCGCTTGGGCTGATGCGAATTATTTCCGTTGTAGTTCTGGTGCCCAGGTTGATGTTGATCTCCCCCATGATCCCCGCCCATACCGGACCCGTTGTAGGAAGCAGTCGTGTTTTTTGAGTGGAAACTCTGTTTCGAGTAGGTCGTTATCAAGTGCAAATATGTCTCCTGGGTCTGGAAATCATTCTGAGACTTGTCATGCAAGTTTTGTATGAGCCATGATGTCTGTGATGCATGCCCTAGCATCACATATTTCTTGAGGGCTTCTTGATGCCTCTTCCGCATGACAAATGCTAATGCCCTCTCCGCGTAGCAAAAATTACACTCCCGCCTTTGCTGCTCATGCAATACAGATTTTTTTGGGATCCAAGTGCAGCATTACAAGTTGCATTCTTCCAAACCCAGGCATAGATATTTGCACTTGATAGTCGGTTTCTTCTGCAGCGAATACCGCCCGTCCTTGGGTAAATCCGTGCTCTATCAAATGCAAATATGTCTGGGTCTGGAAGGATACGGGATTTGTCATGCTAGTCGGGCATGACACTGAGCTCTGTATTGCGTGGCCAGCAAGAGCTCCTCTTATCTGTCATGCCAAAACGCTGTTTGTCGTGCGGAATACGCAACACGGAGCCAAGGATAAATCTGTCATGCCTGGCGGTGCATTACAGTGCGCTTTCTTCTCACTGACATGCATCACAAGTTTCCAGACCTAGACATATTTGCAATGCATATACTCGGGTTGAAATTCTTCGACGCCGGGACGATCGAGTGGTAGGACTTTTGCAGTAATTCCTGGTACTTTTTCACAGAGAAATCGTTTTGATGGAATTGCTGTTGCTGATTCGGGTTGTGGTTTTGGTTACCGTAGGAATTATTCTGATTTGTGATGTTGTTCCAAGAGTTGTTGTTATTCATCATTGTTCCCCAATTGTTGTTGTTTCCGTTGTCACCCTGATTCCCTCCCGGACGGGTGTTCCACCGATTGTGGTTTATGTTATTCTGCATGTCCGAGTTGTTGTACTGGTTCTGCTGGTTGTTGTTGTAATTTTGGTCGTTGTTGTATCCAGAACCACTATTGTTTCCGTTGAACGTGTCATAGTTGGTCGTAGTCTGATTCTGCTGTTGATTATTGATGAACCCCGGGGCTGCGCAGGAACCGCCAGTAGAATTTTGGTTAGTGCCACAACCACCGCGGTTGATGTTGCTTGTCTGCATGTTGCCACCCTGCCCGTTTTCCTTCTGCTTGTTCTTCCAGTAGGTCACCGATTTTTCGCGGTGCTGGTTGTACATTGGTTGCTCGGATGACGAGCAGCCTTGTTGCTCGCCGGACCGGCTCGGGTTCCGGGAGTGGTAGTTCGATCGGGAACCACCACGATAGTTGTTGTGCATCTGGTGCTGATTATCCCGACAACCCGAACGGTTGTGGTTCATGTGGTTAGTATTCCCGCCGTTGTTCTGATTGTAATTGAACTGTTGATAACCATTCGTCCCTTGCATCTGCTGCTGCTGCATGTTGTGATGAAACTGGTAAGAACTGTTGTCGCCACGTATGGGGTTCTCAACCGTTACATTCTCAACTGTTACATGAGTTTGTCATGCAAAAGCACCATCATCATCCACCCGATCAAGCTGCTTCGCATCATGACAACTTTGCCTAGGGCTACACAGCACCGAAATCTGTCCGGAATTTGTAATGCTACAGGCGCAATCCTCCCCCTTTCACTTTTCCCATTCTTGCGTAACAAATCCACGCAACAGCTGAGAGTGTAACAGTTGAGAACACCATACCACGGTGCACCATCTTACTGTTTTCCTGGTGCTCCACCAAACTCTGGACGTTCATGGTCCCAATCCCCACACCGCTGTTCGTCCCGAAAGTATTGTTTGGGGAAGATGAGTGCTGCTGGGCGTTATTTTGTTGGAAATTCAGCACCTGATTCTGGAAAAACTGCATGTTGAACGCATTGATGTCCGAATCTGTGGGCGAGCAATCCGTCGGCGTGATGTGGGTGGTCATGCCGTTGTTCGTGATGGGATTCGCGCCCGCGGCTCCCATCGCGGCTGCGCCGATGTTGGCAGCGTTCAAAACGCCCCCCGCAGACGTCGCGCCCGAAACGGTGGTGGAGGTGGTGTTCCGCGAGGTTGCGGCCCCGGCGGACATGGACAGAAAGTTCACCAGTTTGGAGACGTCTATCGTCAAACCTTCCGTCGGGCTCTCGTTCGAGGAGCTGTTGGAGGTAGTGGAATTCGAAATCGGACCACCGATGGCTGCGTTTGCGCCCGTATAGGTAGTACTAGTCGCACCGGCTGCGGTACCGTTGTTCTGCAGGCTGTTCATCAGGTTGAAAAAGGGGAAGTTGTTTTCAAAACAAAACTTGTTGTTGAACTGCAACTGCTGCAGCTGGGCCAGTTGCTGCTGCAAATTTTTGTGCTGCTCGTCCACATCGATGGGCGAGAAAGCGGTGTATCCTGAGTAAAAACGTCCCCACCCCAGGGCTGTCATGCCAATGTGCACTGACAGGAACATTTGTAATGCGCAGCTCCAATGAGAGCGAGAGGTATTTCCAATCGTGTTTTGGAATTTGTAATGCTGTAAACAGGATGAGAAAGTGGCTTTCTCATGCGGCTTCCCTTGTCAACCAGTACTACACTGCAGAGGGAAACTTGTCATGATGCACAGCTCCCAAAACTTGGAGATTTGTGTTGCAAGATTCCCAACTTGACTATGGGGTGGAGACGTTTTTGCTTAGGATACGGTGTTTTGGTTGTTCCCGTTGTCCAAATGCTGCGGGATGATTTGCTGTCGGTAAAGTGAATATCTTCGACTTTGTGTCTGTAGGTACTAATTGCAATTCAAGCATGACAGAATTCTTCAGTTTTGGGCCAAGCCCAAGCGCATGACAAGTTCCAGCATATTATGTGATCGAAAACATAAATACAATTACTTACCTGCGCCTCCCCTCCCTCTGCAGAATTGTTCTTCATCCCGCCGATATCCATGCTGTTCATGATCTCCGGAGCTGCGGCAGCACCCACGACCTCCTCTGGCACAGCAGGCGACGACGATGTCGCTGGCTGCGGTTCTGCTTGCTGCGCTGATGTGGCAATCATTTTCTTGTTTGTCTAGCCGATTATTTTAGTAAGTTAGCTTCCAACGCTTCTCTATAGCAGATTTGTTCTCAACGCATCACTGCTGAGTTGTTCTTTCTTGCGGCTGCTTGGTAGTACTTTTTACTACACCACAATCGCAAGCTCTAGTCTTTACTATGACAACTAGGACGCCTGCTAGTAGAAGATCACTACTTCTTTCTGACACGACACGTTGCAACTGTCTTCTGAATCACATCTGACGATTTGCAAGATGATACGAAGCGAGTGCGAGGATAAAGTTCGAAGAGGCAAAACACGATGGTTCATGGTTGCGACCACGAGCACGACCCTCTCTCAGCGACAAATTGAAAGAAACGAAACATGATTTTTATGCGATCGCGTCTCTATTCGTACGAAGTCATGCTGATACGATTTTCGACAGAACACCCGAGAGACTAAGGAACTTAGCATGCAGCCTTATCTCTCGACGACAAATCATGCGACTCATCGAAATTTTCGAGTTACGAGTACGAACCGGTTTAGGGTTTTTACGGTGCATACTTACCACGATTGTGTCTAAAAACCCAAGGAGAGGGAAGAAGATCGCTGCCTTTCCTTCTGGAACAAGTCAGATGAGTGTAGCTCGTGATAGAGCTTGAGACAAACTGTGAAGTGTTCGTGGAAGAGTTGTACTAAAAAAGTACCAAATATATAATTCTTCTTCTTGGAAACTTTACTGACCATACGGTTTCTTGCCCCTGCATAATTCGAAACACGATCATTTTAATAAATTTGTTTCATCATCTTACAGGCACGCGAAAGAAGTTTTCAAGTTTTCCTCTTCGTTCACGTTCCTTTCTTGCCCTTCCCCTTTCCCTTCCTCGACACTGAATTTCTTTCTGGGCTGGCGTCGTCCTCGCCTAACAACGCCGCTGTTTCTTCTAGATTTAGTTCAGCAAAATTCCTCTTACTTTTTGAACTTCTCCGACTTGCTCGACTAGTACCGCTATTCCTGCTTTGCTCATTTGCATTATCCTGTTCATTCGCGGAAGATGTTGATCCCGTCACCGTGACCGACCCCACCCTCGCGACGTTCCCGCCGATTGATCTCGTACTGCGGTCTGGCGCGGGGAGCGCCGCGTCTAACGCTTCTTGGTCCTCGATCGCTTTCTCGTTGTTCCTATGCGTAAACCGGCTGGTACTCGGTGTGTCCAGGGGGTGTGCGCGGACGCCGAAAGCCATGTCCGAGAGTTGTAGTTGGTACCTTTCGTGCGCCAACTGCGCCACCGTGCCGCCGGATTTTGGATTCACCGCCCCCGGGGCGTAGTGCCGGTTCACGAGGAATCTTGCGCCCTTGCAACAGAAATACAACGCGACGAGCACAATGGCGTAGAAAAACGTGAAGAGGTAGGAGTAAGGGTGGAACAACACGATGGATACTGATTTGGAGTTTTTTTTCTCAATCATCAAATGAAATTTCTCTCGAGTAAAATGCTATGCGAATGTCAAACTAGGGTGGTAGAGGGGAGTCACTTCTTTGATCGCATGCACTGACTACATATGAAAGTGTTAATCACAACGAGGCTACAACATCTCTCGGAAGAAAAACATGCATCTGTGCATGAAAGCTGCAGAAGCTGGACGATGCGTAACTCCCGTATTTATCACTGCATTAAACTTTTTCAAAAAAGTTAATTATGAAAAAGAAAAACGCAACAACTTTAGTTTATACCATACTCCTTCACTTGATTCGTCAGTAGCACCAACAAACCCTTCTTCGCAAACTTTTTCTCGTACTGCCAGTCGTTGACCTCCTCGTAGGTGCACAGCGTGTCATTCGCCCACTCGCAGTAGATCGGCGGAAACAACGCCACCTTCAACTGTTCTGTCCCCCCGGTTTGCGACCGGTGCCGCACCATCCGGTTGGTTTCGTCCAGTGCGAGGTGCACATTCACATTGCTTTTATCCGGATCCGGGACTTCCTCATACGCCGTCTGCAGTTCGAACATCCGCGGGTGGAAAGAGGTACCGTCCCACTTTAGCTGGAACAAAGTGGGCGAGGTTCGCGAAAGTAAGATCGGATACGTACCCTTCGGGAAAGACTGGAAGCAGGAGTGGAGTAGTTTCTTCGCCAGTTGTTGCTGCTCTTCCACGGACAAAGACGCGGCTCCTGCACTAGAGGACGCAGAAGAACCTCCGTCTGTGGTTGAATTCGACGCACCAGCATTCTGCTCCGCACTAGTATCACTATCGCCCATCAGCGACGCAATATTCTTGCCCGCTCCGATGGTTTCGTTCGTCAAATAGGCCGCGAGGGATAACAAGTTGGACCCGACCGGCGGCTCGCAGCGGGACGAGGCTAGGAAGAGCCCAGTGTGGTTCCACTCGATGTTGAACAAATATCTTCCGTCGTAGGTCGGGAACATCTGGGGGATCAAACTCCATTTCGCGGTCGGGCAGGACCCCCAGGTCAGGATGTTTACCTCGTCAAAATCTCCGAGTTGGGATTGGGCTTGCTTCGCACCGAGATAAATATTCGCGTCCTCCACGTAGCCGAGGCAAAGGTCGCTGTGGGATTTGATTTGGTTTTTGGGTTGATCAGTAACTTGAAAAGGTCTTTGTCATGCGTGAAATCATGCAAGGCAAGCTGCTTCCACTTTTGTGTCGTGTGTGTACAGCATGATAAGTTTTTAAATCTCATTTATACTGTTGCTGCCCAGTCTGCACGTCGGAGAATTTGATGTAGCCCGACCACGGCAAACTCGCTTTCGCCAGATTGTAGGGTTTCCGCTGCGTCTGTCTCGCGTCGACGTTGCCAACTGACGGTAGTTTGAACTTTTTCCTGTCCGTGTTGTTTCGATCACCTGTGCTGTTCATATCCTCCTCCTTCATCCCGAGCTGCTCCGCCATCTGCAGCTGAAACAGCATTCGTTTGTGTCGCAGTTGGTGGTTCGCGACTTCCTCTTCACTCGCAGTCCCATCGGGGATGTACACCTGTTGCCCGTAGCTGTGGAACCGGTCGTAATCAATCGGCGGCCGGATGTATCCAATGCAAATATGTCTGGGTCTGGAAGAGTCGGGGCTTGTCATGCACATTTTGCATGACCCGTGAGGTCTGTGATGCTGATGCTGGCATCACTGATTTTTTGAGAGCTTCTCGATGCTACTGACGCATGAGAAATGCCCTCTGCGCATAACAAGAACTGACTCCTCTTGCTGCTCATGCAACACAAATGTTTTTAGAATCCGCAGTCAGCATTACAAGTTCCACTCTTCCCGACCCAGACACATTTGCAATGCATAGGATGCTGCTCGGCTCGTAAGTCGGTGTGTTCTCCCGCTCGTAAGTCCGTTGCCCGGAAATAATTTCCTTCCCGGAATCCTCGTCCTCCGGCCGGTCTTGGCCGACAAGTTGGGTGACGTCTTCATCTTGTTGTGCTGTGGTTGATGTTCCTGTAGCTGCAGCGTCTTGTTCCAACATCGACGCGGATGTTGCTGTACTAGCGTCGGAGGAAATGGTACTTCGCGCTTTACTATTCGACGCTGCTGATGTTGCAGACCTCGTGCCTTGTCCTGTTCTTTCTGTGCGGAGATGTTTGGTATTCTGGGACTGCACCAGGGAAGCTTGCTGCATGGATTTCTGTTCGATTGCGAAGACTGGCTGCGCAAAGTGGTGGTCGTGGAGCAAGTCGGTGTTGATCACGGCCGCGACTACGAGAACAAAAATCGTCAGAAACACGAAGAGACGGAGGTAGTGGTCCTGGCGCAGCATCTTCGGGCCGCGGCTGGCCTTCGCTTTAGATGTGAAACTGCAACTTTTCCTTGCGAAAAGACGGAGGAAAGCAGGAGGTGCCCTAACTCCGGCTACACGCGATGCTCGGATGAACAATTCCATGTCCGTCTGCCACCGTCGGAACAATTGCGGCGCGGGGTACACGAGGGACATTGAATGTACGACCATTTTCACAAAAATCTCAATGAGGAAGAGTGATCTTGTGCTTGAATCACTTGCAGTCGTCCAGAGGCACGATTGTTCACATCAAATGCTGCAACCTCTTGCAAAGGTCTTAACGTAGGCACGGTCGTGGGCTCTCGTTGCAATTGCTGCTGCAACGCTGATCGCTCTCGAGAAAATGATTTCTATGACTTTGAGCTCGTCCAATTGTTCCACCAGCCGTACCGCTCAAGTTTTCTCTGATCGAACTGAATGACGCTAGGAATTCTCGCTGCGCCGCATTCTTGTTCCCCTCAAGCCTCATACGACGACGAAAAGTGGACGAATGGCAATTATTACGGATAGGCCTCTCCTCGTGTGGTAAGATGGCGGGAGATGAAAGTTGACAATGAGAGTGATCGTTGACATAAATGGAAACGAACTTGGTATAATGTACAGCATCCAACTCTTGAAACAAATTGTGTACAGTTTGAATGAAACAAAGCAAGAAGGATATCATGCAGAAACGACCTCAATAAGTGCTGCAGCTGCTATAGATGAAACTCCGCCTAAAATAGAATCAGAAAGTTAAACAGAAAGCAGTTTAGACCACCGTGATAAAAAACTATGCACAATAGTAATAAACAGATTGATGGCAAGAACTCGGCACAATGCGCCAATATTGCTTGTAACTCAAAAAAGAAAACCACTTTATTGCGATCTTAGGACGTCGCGCTCATACAAAAATTTTGCATGATAGTTAGCAATAAAATCATGTTCATCGGGCTCAACCAGCAGAATCTCCAAAAAATTAACAAAAAGAAGATTACACCACGCTAAAAGATACCAACGACCGACCTGAAGATTGTGATCGCATTCACATTCGCATACAAAGAAAAATCGAAGTCGTGCTATTAATGATTTCTCGGAAAGGTTCATACGTGTTTCTAGAGGAAATTATCGAAAATCTGCTTGTGTTCGTTAGTATGCGAGAAAAACAATTGAAGAAAAATCTTATCGTAAATTCAACAAGACATACTTACACGTTTCCGTAAGAGAGCCGTCTGTGACGATGCATAGAAGTACTGACATGTTGCCGCATTAACATGTCCATGTGTTCGTTGTTCACTCCCACTTCAATAAGGCGACTCCTCCGCCTTCACGGGTACAATGCCCCAATCCTCCCTTGTCAATCCCCCGTACAACGGGTGGCTCGCCAGAAACTTGCTGTTCAAATTGGTAATCGCGAACTTCGTTTTTTCCTGCGCTACGGTTCTCGCATCGGCAAACGCAGACACCGGATCCGGGGATCGGCTTCGACTACCCATGATGCCGCGGCGGGGGCTGTGAACGGTTGCGGTTGGTGTTTTATTGGAAACGTGCATTGTACTAGTGCGCTGTTTGTCATACGGGACCCCCGAGACGCTGATCTAGTGTAGCATTGTCATGCGAAGATCTACTACCTAGCGAAAACGAAAGCAAGCAACCATCTATGATCATACCCTCCTCTCGTCCCAAACTTGTTCTGTGTCAGAGGCGAAGGTGTGCGGCTGGAGTTTTTTCGAAATTTCACCGCCGCATCAGTGACCGAATGCGTGATTTCTTCTTGCTCGATAATGTCCATCGCCTTGTAGTCCTTCTGCGGTTTCGACCCGGCCAACCCTAACTGCTCAAGTTTACTCGGCGAAGCTGGTTGGCTGTTATCCACAAGCATCATCCCCCGGTTACTCATCTGGTTGTACTCCCGCTTCGCCGATCGCAAGACCGCCGCGCTATCGAAGTAAAAGCTGCCTTGCTCGTTGCTCGGGTTTGAATGAAACAAAGACCGTAAGTAGTGCTCGTAGTCGATTGCGAATTCCAGAGCGGACTTTTCGTTCTTGTCCACGTTTAGCCGGCCCGTTTCGAGGATTATGTTGCAACTGATAGTGATAGTGAGAATTTTTCTTCAAAAATTTGTCACGGAGACGACCGAGAAGGTGCGTTTGGAAGAACTCAGAAAATAACCATGAAGTTTGTCATGCGCCCTGCTGACAGCAGAGAGTCTGTGTCATGCGCAAACCACAAGGTGTAGCACAGTAAGTATACCTTTTCCTCCTCTCCTTCGTCCGCTGCCGTTCTTTCAACTCCTTTTGCAGCTTCATTAACTCATTGGACGAAGTCGCCTTCATCAGCTCCTCGGAATCAGACTGCCCCACATGCATTGCAAAAGTATCGCACTCGTAGTAATCTTGATATTCGCAATCTTGCACGACAGAGTTCGTCTCTTAGGTTCATGAGCATCACAAATTCCATCTTTCATCATGCTGGTAATGCAAAAATCGCTACTAGAAGTACATATACTTTTGCAACCGATATTCCAAATCCGACGGCAGCTCCCGCTGGTCCGCAATGGCCTGCGCAGACAAAACGTTCGCAACGGAACTATCCTGTGCAAAAGTATCGCACTCGTAGTAATTGCATTATATGCATTTACAAATCTCTTTCTCAAGGTAAATCCGCATTACAAATTAATTTTGCAATGCTGGGCTGATTTGTAATGCAATTTATACTAGTACGATGCTTTTGCATTGCATAGGAAATTTTCTTCAACAATCTCGTCTCCTCATCGTGCCGCTTCTGGTCTTCAATCTTGTTCAACAGGGAGAATTCCTTCTCCAGCTCGATCGTCGTCGCTTTATCGAACAACGCTTTCGAAGTCCTCAAGTGCTGCGATATGCTGAGAAAAAACGTCCCCACCCTATAGTCAAGTTGGTAAATCTGCAACACAAATCTGGAAGTTTTGGGAGTTGTGCATTACAAGCTTTCATCTGCAGTGTTGTGCTGGTTAGCAAGGGAAGCCGCATGAGAAAACGATTTTTTCATGCTGTTTACAGCATTACAATTGCCAAAAAACGATTGGAAATGCCTCTCCTGGGGATGCGCATTACACGTGGTCCTGTCATTGTACATTTGCATGACAGGGACGTTTTTCCTTTAGGATATGCAACCGCTTCTCCTCTTTCATTCGCTGCTGGTTCTCGAAAATTTTCGCCATCTATCAAATGTAAAAACGTCTGGGTCTGGAAGAGTCATGCTGTTTTTGCATGACACAGAAGGTCTGGCATCGAAGCTCTAGCGTTACAGGTTTCGAGAAGCTTCTGCAATGCCGAATCCGCATGACAAATCCCCCACTTTGGGTGCAGAAAGCGGGCAGCGCTTGCTACCCATGCATGAGAGATTTTTCTGTGTTCTGAAATGCGCATCACAAGTTGGCATTCTTCCAGACCCAGACATTTTTGCATTTGATACCATCGCCTTCTTCACGATTCCAAAAGCCCACGTGATCTTCAGAAAAGTCGATGGTTTTTCAGAAGATGAAGTAGACGTAGATGAAGTTGTACCGGCTTGTTTATTCACTCCCCCAGGCGTCTCGCTCTGCGACCCTCCAGCACCACCAGCTTTGCTACTCTCTTCCGCCGCAGCAGCAGCTAACAAAGCACTCTTCCGGGGGAACCCGTTGCTACTCTCGAACTTCGCAAACCGGGTTAAAACCATTTTCAAAAAAGTTTCCGTCAAGGCCTCGGCGTTGAAATAGTACCGCGGTAAGGGGTACCCGCGACGGATCAGTTTCCTGATCGGTTGGTTTTCCACGCATAATAGCTTGAAGTAGTTCTGGAACAGTTCCAGGTCCTGCTGGGAAATCGCTACTTGTGTGGACGGTTCTTTCAGCCCCGGGTTGTTGAAACTGTTCTGCAGCAGTTCGATTTTCTCTGCGTTCCCCGGGCCGGGGGGTTGGGGAGGTAAAGTGCCGCTGATCGCGGCGGCAAGATTGGTGAAGGGGGAAGCGAGTTGTGCAGCAGCAGCAGTTCCTTGTACACCCGGCGAACCGGCCGCTGCAGCAGCTTGTTCCCCAGCAGCCAACTCCTCGTGTTCTTCCTGCAGTTGCTGCAAGCCCAGAGCTATGCACTGCAAAAGTGTCTGGGTCTGGATGGTTGGAGCCAACTTGTCATGCTAAATCTGAATCACGCAAAAATCTGTGTTGCATGATTACCAAATGCTGCCCACTTTTGATCAAGTTGAGAGGCAGTTTCTCATGCAGGATAGGCCTGATAGTGATCTCACGGAACCTGTCATGCTAGGTCTCCATTACAGATCATATGATATGGGTCATTGAAAACCTGCATGACAAGTCGAGCAAAGTTCCAGACCCAGACATTTTTGCATTTGATAAGAGCTAAATTCACACTCTCCACCGTTGACATGGACGTGGGAATTTGCCCGATGTTGGTCTCAAACGCAGACTGGTTCAGCAGAGAAATTGCGCTACTACTGTTCGCTCCACCTCCACGTGCACCTTTGTTTCCCGCGGCATTACCACCGCCCCCAGAAGAGCTGGAACTATTCATGGGTTTCTTGTACCGCAACAACTTCGGATCGTAGCACGTCATGTAAAGACTTGCGTTACACGGCCGGTCTAAGTGGTCCCGGAAATCCTCGATCGCGCAGGACCTGAAAAAATCCTTCTCCGAGACCAGCTGCGCTTCCGCACAGTGGTACAACAACCGGGCATCTTCCTTCCCACAGATCGTCGGGATCAGATTCAATTCATTATGAAATGCAAAAATGTCTGGGTCTGGAAACTTGTAATGCTGCGTTGGGAAAAGTGAACGGTTTGTAATGCACAGGCGAGCATGAGAAATATCTGCGCTTCTTTGTGTTGCGCTTTTCGCATGACAAATTGCGTTTTTGCATGACAGGCGAAAGGGTCTCTTCTTGGACACGCATCACAAACTTTTTGGTCATGCCAGACAAGCATGACAACTCGCAAAATCTTCCAGACCCAGACATTTTTGCATTTGATATTCGTCCAGTAAATGCAAAAACGCCTTCTCGCTCATGTGCTCGGTCGTTCTGGTATGAAACTGCACAGCTCCCCCTCCCCCTCATTTGTAATGCATAGTACGAAACTCACACCTTACTCGTAAGCACTGTCAGCATGATAAATTTTGGAACCTCAAATAGTACTACAATTTGCATGCTGATTTGTCATGCGAAAGCCCCTTTTGTGCTGTTGCTTGTGTTGCTGTTCATACCATACAAATGAGGGGGCGGGGGAGTTGTGCACTGTGATATCTGGAATACTGCGGCTGCGGCCCGGTGGCAACGAGTTTCGCGAGCTGGGCGGTGTTGGTGGTCCCGTTAGAAGAGGAGGACGATTTTTGACTGGTGGAGTGCAACGAATCAATCGACTGGTTGTGATTCGCAGGGGATTGCTGCTGCTGTTGTTCAACCGCCGCAGCACCACTAGTACCCGCTTCTTTCGACTTCGTCTTCTTCCCCCCAACTTTCGTTCCTCCACCGCGGGGGCTTGGTGGGATAATCTCGTCGTCTGGGTCGCGCTCGATGAAAGGGTTCGAGTTCGCTTGCTTCTGCTTCAACAACTTCTGTTTGTTATTAGAAACCGCTGAACTGGAGGAGAAAACCGTCGATCTGCTCGCGAACATCGTGCTTGGCATTGGAGAATCGAGACTGCCAAGTGCAGCAACCCCACCCGGTCCTCCTGCTTCCGGAAACATTTCCGAATTCTCCCCCGGTAGCAGTTGTAGCATCGGATCGACGTAATTCGGGTTTAGTTCCTTTCCGAAATCGTAAAAGTAGGCGAACTATGCATTGCAAATGCGTGTGGGTCTGGAAGAGTGCGCCTGTTTGTCATGCACGTTTTGCATGACCCATGATGTCTGTGACGTACGCCCTAGCATCACAGACTTTTTGAGGGCTTCCTGATGCCTGCACTGCATGACAATTGCCCTCTCCACGTAGCACACAGCCTACTCCTCATCTTGCTGGTCATGCAATACAGATCTTTTCAGAGTCCAAAGATAGCATCCCAAGTTGCGACCTTCCAGAGGACCCAGACATATTTGCATTTGATACGAACAAAGGTAAAAAGTACTTCTCGTGCAGGAACTTCGACAAAACCAACGCCTCCGGCTCCAATAACTCGTTGCTGAACCTTTCTGATTGTAACACCGCAACTGTTATGGATTGCAAAAATGTCTGGGTCTGCGAGAATGCAACTCGTGATGCTATTTTTGGAATCTAAAAAAATCTGTATTGCATGAGCAGCAAGAGGCGTCCAGTTTTTGCTCCGCGGAGAGGGCATTTGTCATGAGGGATAGGCATCAAGATACCCGCAAAAAATTTGTGATGCTGGGGCATACATCGCAGACATCGCGGGTCATGCAAAATGTGCATGACAAACCTTGCAATCTTCCAGACCCAGACATTTTTGCAATCCATAACCGTTTTCGCCAGAATCGCCTGGGTGTCCTTGTCGGAAAATTTCCTCTCCTCGCACAACTTCCGTATGCATTGCAAACATGTCTGGGTCTGGAAACTTGTAATGCTGGATGGTCATGATTGAGCGCGCCTACTTTAATATTAATTGCAGTGAAGCATGACAAATTTTTCACTCCTCGCTCTCGCTTGCTCATACGCAGCACGCATTACAAGTTGCGACTTTGCATGACGACAGTGTGGCGCTTTTGCTGCTTATGCAATACAGATTTTAATGGCATGCGAAACGCGCAATACAGGTTCAAGCTGTCCAGACCCAGACATACGTGCAATGCATATTCCGCAGATGCCGCTGGAACTCCCCATTTGACATCGTCCCCTTCATTGACTTCGGTAGGGCGAAAAAGCTTGTTTGTGCGTTCAAATGGGACAAAGTATCCATCTCCGGCTCTAATTCCTCTTTCAACACCCCTTTCGGCATGATACGCGGTCGCTCCTGCTTGAAACAATGGAGGATCTTCTTCTGCAAGCAGACTAACCGCTCCCGCCTCTGTTCTGCGACCAACTCCGCGGCGGGGAGCATGATGTCCAAAAACTGCCTCAATTCCGTTTTGTACTTCACAATCCGCTTCACATCCGCCTCGTTCGGGTTCTGTCCAGCCGGGGTATTGGAAGGTCTATTCAAACCCGGACCGTTCGGATTCTGCGACCCGGGCGAACCAGCTTTCTCCGCTTGTGCTTGCTCGATCAGTTCCGCTTTAAAAGCGATTTCCTCATTCCTCAGCCTGTTCGTCACGACCCAGGCAAGCAGAATCCGCTCAAACCAATCGGTACACTGCCTCACCGTCATGGTATCCGCGTTTGATGCGTTTGGTAGCTTCGCGGTGGTCGCAAGCTCTTTGCACTTTTCGTCGATATGCATTGCAAAAGTATCGTACTCGTATTAATGCGAGTCTAGCATTACAGATCTGCTTTCTTACCTGAAACTGCATGACAAGTTTCATTTCTCTTCTAGGAAAAATTTGTCATGCAATTACTGTATATTATATTCATGCGAAAAAAGAGGTAGACAGAGGGTAAACAAGAGGTGGCCGAGAGGTCAAAAAGAGGTCAAAAGAGGTAAAAAAGAGGTCGACAGAGGTGGAGAGGTGGCGCGGGACCCCTTTCGAGAGGGTCGGCGAGAGGGTGCGCGAGTATAGCCCGCCGAAGGACCCACCTTAAGGCGGCGCCTAAGTGCCTCAGAGGGTGCAGAGAGGTCAAAAAGAGGGGGCGCGAGAGTTCGACAGAGGTGGCGAGAGGTGGCGCGAATAAGGGGCGACCTCTCGCGGACCCTCTTGGCCACCTCTCGGCCACCTCTGTCGACCTCTACCCGCGAGTATAGCCGGATTATTAGCGGGGACCCCCAAAAGAGGTCAAAAAGAGGGTCTGCGAGAGGTCTGCGAGAGGGTAAAACACAAAGAAGCGGGCGCGAATCCGCATGGCGCTACCCATATTTGGCACTGCAGGCCATTCGCGGAGCTGTTTTGTTCGGCGCCTTTCCGCGCCACCCTCTCGCGCCACCCTCTCGCGCTACCCTCTCCCGCCGGGCGGCTTCTGTTCGCCCCCGGTGGTCTTTGCAGCTGCTCCCTGCGCAGAGCGCCCACAGGCGCGGGAAGCGCGCAAGTGGTCCTGCGGGTTGGCGCGGCGCAATGTGTTTCGTTGTGCATAGGCCCGCGGGGTTGTGGTCCTATCGGCAAACAGTCTTGCCCCGGCCCAACAGCCTTGCGCTCCGGCGGCAGCCGGAGCATGGCTGGTTCATACTAGTACGATAACTTTTGCATTGCATAGTCGAACCGCAGGACCAAGTCCAAATACTTCAACCCCTTTTGGCAGATCAGCTCCGGAATAGAAGTTTCAAAAAACCGGTCTTGCCCAAGTTTGTCGTGGTGGATCTTATCCGCCGGCGGTAAGTTCACTCGGTAGAGTTGCTGTTGATTTGGGTTATTGTTCTGCCCAGGACCTCCGCCGCTACTTGAGTGGATTGGGTCTTTCTGCAGAAAGCCGGGGACTAGCTCGGTGCTTTGCAAGTACATGATCGAGTTCAACATTTGCTGCTCTATCCGCTTCTTCTCCAGTTGTTGCGGGGATTGCGACCGCGGAGATTTCCGATTTCCCGCGGGGGACTGGAGTTTTGATGCTTCGACCACCAATGCGCGTTTTTCCAGCTCTCGGTCCACATCCAAAACGTACCCCTTCGGTAGGACTTTGACCGACCGTTTTGAAGGGAAGTTCGGCCAGTCATCGACATCCAAGACGATCCGGGTTGACAGTAAGAACCGACAGAACACCGCACGGGTGACAGTTTTCTCGTCTCCCGGCCTCTCCTCCGGCTCGTCTTTCTCCTTTTTCTGCCACGGGAGGAGTTGCTTTTTCTTCTTATCATTCTTCCCAGAACCCACCGCCCCCCGACTGCCCGGGCGCGAGCCGAACCCAGAAGCAGAGGTAGTTGAGGTGGAGGAGACCGTGCTTGGCCTGCCGATGTCGCCGAAGGGGTTTAAAGCCGCTTGCTTTTCCTTCTCGATTCTTTTCCTTTCTTCCTCCCGCCGCTCGTATTCTTCTTCGTCATTTTCTTATGCACTGCAAAAGCATCGTATTCGTACTAGTTCTAGTATGAACTGCATAATACAAATTAGCCCAGCATTACAAATCAAGTTTGCAATGCTGATTTACCATGGGAAAGAGATTTGTAATGCACAAATGCAATCAGTAGACGATACTTTTGCACGGGATATTTCTACCAATTCGACGAATTTCAGCAAAACTCGTTGCACGTGTTGTGCCGTTTTCTCTTCTAATAGTGGGTCTTCGGAATCCAAAGACCACCCGTCAGAAACTAGCGGCTCCGCCTGCATCGTCGGAGCGGCAGCTTCCTTGTCTGCACCTGTTCCGTCGGGATTCGCAGCAGCAGAACCCGCCTGAGCAGCTCCACCGGCACTTACACTTGCACCTCCGGGACTCGTCGCATTAGCACCTGCTTTCTTCTTTCCTGCCCCAATTGTCAACAAGGCCGCGGGGTTCTTCGTTTTCGCAGTACTGCTCGATGGGCTCTTGATCGCCTTGGGTGGAACAGGCGCGGAGTGGATCGGTTGGAACAACGGTCGGTTTTCTTTCACACAACGTGCCAGCTGCTCCGGAAACCACTTGTCAATCTCATCCGCATTCACGAGCAACGACTTCTCTCTTGCAGCTGCCTCCTCTGGACTGGAAGCCCTTCCTGGAACTACGTTATTTTTCAAATTGCTACTCACCGCGGCATTCGGGCCTTTCAAATACCGCTGAATCCGTAAATTCACGTAAGCTCTGGCTGCTTGCCGACTCATCTCCGTGTCCCGCTTGAATTTTTCGCTATCCAACGCCGGATTCAATTCATCTTTCATCCGGGCTTGGAATGCGTTTCGCTCCAACTGCTGGTCCGTGAATTCCCGGTTTTTCACCGCTTTTGGGCTTAGCCCCTCCTCCTCCGCTTTGGATAACAAATCCGATTCCAACTGCTCTTTCGACTTCGGAAACCCGCCTGACGCGAAATATTTGTACCCGATCTTGTGCTTGTTCGGTGGCGATTTCTGCAAGAAGTGCAGCCGGTCCATGATTGGGGAATTTGAATCACCTTTGTTCGTCGACGCGCCTTTGTTCGTTTTGTATTGCCGGGTGATCGGCGAAACGAACAGAACCTCATCGGCGGAAATAAACGCCGGGTTGGTCGCAATTCCGGTCTCCTCATCCCTAGGAACCCACTCCTTTGCTGTCGCTGAGATCATCTGTTGGTCAGTCGGTAGAGCCGCAGCACCACTGTCCATGAACTGTTTCCTCTTCATGTTCTGCAAAAACTTGTCCGCCCGCTTTGCCTGTTCCTGGAACAAATCAAGGTCCAGGGGGGATTTCGCGGGGCTAGACGGGTGGGACGACGCTGGTCCACCCGGGAAAGAAGAAGAACTGCCGGAAGTGGCTGGCCTCTGCATAAGACCGGCCCGGGACGAAGCAGGTGATTTATTGTCCAAAGGACTCGCTCCTGCGCCACCTGCAACCACCGTGTCGATCCCGGTTTTGTGGAATTTCAAATTCCAGTTCTTAAAAGCCGACACTTTTTCGTAATTCATCAGAAAAGGGTGGTTTTTCTCATCACTGTTCTCGTCCAAAAGCCCGATCGGCGCCGCTTTCGCGGCGGCATTAGCGTCGAGCGTCAAGTCGCGACTGTACAATTTTTGTTTCCGTCTACCGTTTTTCGGGGAGATGGAGGGGGAAATCGTTTCCCGGATGTTCGCGGATTCCGCAAATTGCTGATTTTCAGGCACTTGTTGTTTCAACAGTTCTTCCTCCAACCTCTCTTCTACTGTCGGTTCGTGGTAGTAATTATTCTCTTCTTCAATTAACTTTTTCACGCTGTTCAGTTCCTCCGGTAAACAAAACGGCTCCTGGTTGAAGCGGATGCTTGCGTGCGGCTTGTTGGCGAAGGGAGGTGTTTTCTCCAACGGATCTGCTGGTAGGTGGGGTGCAAGATTTTCTCCCTTCATCGTCACACGGGAAACGTTACTAACGCCCGGATTATGGAAAAACTTCTTGCAGTCCTCTTCCGATAACTTCCGTATATTCGCCATCACATGCTCGATTGGTTGCTGGTGCTTCGGTGCAACAGTAGTTCCGCCACTGGAGGCAGGGGCTGCTGCTGCATTTTGGAGGCTGTTCCCAGCAACAGCTCCTCGCCGTTTCGGCGACAAACTGGAGAACGAACCCGCCGGGCTGGTTGGCTGCGACTTCCCCCTATCAAGTGCAAAAGTGTCTGGGTCTGGAAACTTGTAATGCTGTGTTGGGAATAGTGAATGCTCTGTAATGCACAGCCAAGCATGAGAAATGTCTGCGCTTCTTTGTGTTGCGTTTTTCGCATGAGAAACTGCGTTTTTGCATATCAGGCAAAAGGGTCTCTTCTTGGACACGCATCACAAACTTTCTTGTCATGCCACACAACCATTACAAATCTCGCATCCTTCCAGACCCAGACATTTTTGCATTTGGTATCCCCCGCTAAGTCCCGATAGGTGCGGCGCGTGGAAGTAGGTGCCATTTGTCACTTGATTCAAAACCGTAGACGGGGACGGCGGTGCAGCGACCCGAGGTGGTGGGGAGCTGGTGCGGGTGCCCGGCTGGGATTGCAGGTTGTTGTCATGGATGCTATAGCGGTGGGGCTGCATTTTGATGTAGTTCTAGGTGTTCTTCACGTGTCGTGAAGATGTGAAACAGGAGGACAATGCTAAATCATCGGAGAAGTCCAACTTCAAAAAAAGCTACATCATCTCAAGTCCAAATAGCCCGTCTGATAACAAAAAAAATATCCAGCTTGTACAACGGCTCTAGGTTGGTTGTCACGAAAGAGTAGTAGAAGACAAGAAGCTGTGCATCGGATATGATGAAAGATGGCTGCTCAAGCAGAGACAGAGAGGCCGATCAACTACAATGTGCTATGGCACCCAATTTTTAGACTGACGACAAAGTTCTTGCTGACGACTGTGCTGGCAGGCAAGTACTTCACGACTTGTACTAGGTGAACCAGGTTCCAACTGCAGCAACATGGCGAAAACGATTCATTCACGACGACAAAGACCAGAACCGTGGTGACCGAGTTTTGCCTTTTCAGGCGAGAGACGTGTTTCTTTGAGCAGTTGCTTTCACACGACGACGACCCGATTTATTGATATAACACACGACAACATCAATGTTCGTGATCCAAGGCAACACGTGGTCAGACATTTCTAGACATCTACTACGTGGACACGATGCTGCAACTACGCGCGTTGTAGTCCAAACACCACACGACCCATGTCGTGTATAGCAGAGACGAAGGTAGTCCAACGTCACGAGTGCGCTTGCACTTTTTTCGCAACCTTTCGCGAAGATTTTTTTTTCGCTTCTCCCTACGACCGGTCAGTGATTCTTGTCACATTCTTCTCGGATTTTTTCATCGTTTCTGGGGTGTAGTGGTTTGGTTTCTAGTGCTGAGTGCTCTTTCCCAATGTCACATATTACGAGTTGCAGTGACGAGTGTCCGTACAAAGTAGGAAAGCTCAACAAGAAACGCCACTGTATTTTAATTTCGCTTTACAAAACCGTACAACAAACAGAAGCTCAAGGAGAGAAGCAGAAGCCGAAGGTTCTTGGAAATCATAAATCATAAATCATTTTCCTGTTCATTTTGCAAGCAGCGCATAGTTGACGGAGCTTGCGCTGATTTTTACACATTGAATAGAGTTGCACACCTGGTGAAGAACTTCTCGACTCAATAACACCCACTATCGTAGGAAATAATCAAAGCAACAGCAAGTCTATTAAATCATTCGCATCGCAGGCATTTGTTGCAGCCTGCAGAAAATATCAACCCCTGCTAGTACCGTGCGAGGGACGAGTAGAAGTCGATGCGAAGTCACACAAAAAGATCATCGAGCATTTGAATTATTACCTCCAATGTGGTGTCGTTTCGGTTTCGGGTACAGCAGCTACTGACGGATCGTGGTGGGGACTACTGCTGCACAGTTGCAGCGTTGAAAAAATTCTGGAAACTTTATTGACAACTGCAGGCGATGACGAATACACATCTCATCTGCAGGGACGCAACAGCATCTTGCACGAGTTTTTCTTTTTTCAACCGCATCAATCCACTCGCGAAGACCAGTAAATCAAACGGAGAAGAAGGGGTTTTACGCCCTGTTCTATCCGCTGATTTTGAACTTAGTTACTGTTTCCGCCTCAGAAAGAAGTTTTCACCGCAGCACTGGGCTGGTGCAGCTTCACCTTGTTCATCCCGGTTCCGAAGTTGCCCGCCGGTCCGGAAATCGAGGAGTCAACCTGCGTTTATTTCGTTCATGATGTTGTGTCGACTTTTTTCATTCAGAAAGACCATGCAAACTTCATCTTTTGTTTATGCAAGATCACAACACTTGTGGTTCTTGTACCTGATCCGAAGAGATTTTCCCCTCCGCCTGCTGTGCCAGGAACGACGACGAGCCCTTCGGCTTCATGCCGGTGGTGCCACTGGCGGCAAACAAGGACGACACACCGTCAACCAGGTGCTGTCCGCCATCCGCACCGAAAATAGCGGAAAGAAGGCCCATTTTTCGTTTTTTTCTCTTGGTAGTGCAAGTGCTAGCTTGGTTGCAAGAAAGACCCTACTTCCGATTGCAAAGTTTTATTTCTACGACTTTGCTTTGTGGTTTCAAAAAAGTACAAACCCATTCGTTTCGCTTCGGCAAAGAAACACGAAAGCACGAGCAGACACGAGCGAAGCCATTAGAAGTAGACGACTGCTCTCCACCACAACTACACCAACTCAAGGTGAGTGCTTATCTTCTCCACAACCGGACGTCACCTCGAACTCCGACGAGTCGCTCTCTGCTGGCACGAATGATTGCTCTTTTTCAACACCTTGCCGAGAATGGAGGAGAACATGCTACAATTATACGGAATCGTGAAAAATCTTTTCCAAGAATCCTCTCCTCCTTCGTCGTACTAGCGATTTCGAATGAAATTCAAAGCGGAAGGATGATTAGAAATCATCCTTTCGAATGAAATTGAAAACGGAATCAGAGATAAGTTCAGCTTGTCAAGGTACATTTTTGGGAGCAAACAGTTTATCGGTAGTTGCAGTATCAATCTTACAGTTTATTTGGTACAAGAACAGTTGGTCGTTACATTTTAGTAGAATCAGGCAGTTCAATCATAATCTTCGTGCCAAATCTACTGCCGAGCAGCTGCCGATAGGTACATTCATTATTCACGCCGAGGACGTTGGTGCTTGCGCTGGCGCTGGTGGGGTAGTAGTTGTCGCGCCGCCGGTGCTCGGGGAGTTTTTGTTTTCCTCCTCGTCCCAGCCCTCGGTGCTCGCGAGAAAGTCCTCGTCCGAAAAAGCGTCCGCGTCGTTCTCGCTCAAGTAGGCTTTCGTAGCCTCCGCAAATGCTGCTTGGTCGTTGGACAGGGCTTGCGTCAGCTGGTCATAATGGTGTTTTGGTAGTTTTTTTATTTTTTCGTTCAGCAATAATATGTTTCGACTTGCGATGCGACAGGTGCAGGTCCTAGAAAGCAGCTTTATGCAAAAACGCCTATACTTACCTGTCTCGCCTGGTCCGCGGCCTTGTGCAAATCCCGGTGGTACTCGGCGTCCGCTTTCTTCACTGCACTGGCGTTCTCGAGCAAATCTCCCGTGAGCGCCTTCTGCATCCGATGCGCGTTCGCGGCTTCCCGTGCTTCGCCCTCGTAGTGCTCTTCCAGCGTCCCAACGGCGTTGATGTAGGCCGCGGTAGATTTCTCCACGTCACTCGCCCCACTGTCGGGGGTCTGAGTTGTTGTACTACCCGTCTTGGCGAGCTGGAGGCTGCTGGTGGAGGTGGAAGACGACGAGGCGTCACCAGTGGAGCTGGTAGGAGTAGTACTTTCCGCCGGTGTAGACGTGCCCGCAACAGACGTTGTTGCAAAGGATGAAGTTGATGAAAGCAGCTGGAGAAAGGACGGAATCAGAATCTTCACGGTGCTCGGGATTGGCAGATACGAAGATGCTGCAACGGCGGTCGAGAGGAAGGAAGAAGACGAGGAGGATGATGTTGTGGACGAAAACCTCTTTCCCGGCGAGGAGTCATCTGTTGGCACGTAGTTTGGTTCATTATTATTCGTACCAGTTTCGTCGCCACCGTTTTTCTCTTTGTTTTGTTCAGGTTCAATAACAGAATCCGGTACCAGCTTTGCTTCCCGCCGCAACATCCTGCTCCTGGCGGCCACGTGGAGCATGAAATAGCTGCCGTCCAGCTGCTGTGCTGCGAACTGCACCAGCAAGATCTTCACGGAGAGCAGCGGCAGGCGAAGTGGCATGGTTCTTCGATTGACTCGGTAGCTGTGCGACGTCAGATGAATTGTGGTCTCTGTCTTCGTCGTAAGTATTTGCGGTAGTTCCTCTGCTGATCTTCGTGCGACTTTCGTAATCTTGATCTTCTTCTTTTTCAGCGAGACGAAGCATATGTATCAACGAGCAAGCGGTCTTTTTGTCTGTTGAAGTGACGAGAAATAGAGCGACGATGTTCTACTCACGACTGTCGATCAATACCATCTTCTTTTCTTCCCTCGCGAAAAACCGCTCTACACTGCTAGTCCACGACCTCTTTCCCAGCCTCACTCCCCGCCAGCTCCCGATGTTGCTCGCACGACAGCAATTTATGTGTAAGCAGTTTAGCTCAAGTAGCAGAAGCCCCTGCACCACGCACTATCGACTGTTTTCTTCGAATGAACAGCCACTGGTGGAGAACAACTCATTGCTTTCTGATTGTGTTTTTCTCGATTTTCTACGCGACGTTGCTTCTTTTCTTGCTCCCTCGTTGAGGGCTAAAAACTACTATGCTCTTCAAAAATACCTCAACCATTTCGGTGGCAAGTAGCTCCATATCAAATGTAAAAATGTCTGGGTCTGGAAGATTCCGGGACTTGTGATGCATATTTTGTATGATCCATGATTCATGTAATGCACGATCTAGCATCACAGATTTTTAGAGGGCTTCCTGATGCTTATTCCGCATGACAAATGCCCTCTCCGCGTAACACAAACTGGACCCCTGTTGCTGGTCACGCAATACAGATTTTTTTGGGATCCAAACACAGCATGACAAGCTGCAATTTTCCAGACCCAGACATTTTTACAATCCATACTCCAATTTCTTTCAAACAGTGGGCCATCGGGTTTTTGGCTGAAAAGCTCTTTATTCCGCGGCTCCGCCGTCGTGAATTTCCTCTTCACTCCCACATAGCTATACATACCCGGCGCATCGACCAACATGCTGTCTTTGTAGAACTGTTGCACGGGCGAGTTCTTCCCGATCCCGCACAGAAAACAGTGTCCCGGCGCCCCGGCTTTTGGCGTGAAGGGTAGTGGTTTCGCGATCTTCCCCCCGGACAAGCCCCCCGGGATCTGTTCCGAGTTCCACACCGGCCCGAGCGACAAACTCCAGTGACTGCACTCGTCGCCAATTTGGTCGCACAAGTGCGCGCACTGCTTCGGCGACCAGACGAAATTCTTCCGTTTGATCAAGTAGTCGTCATTTCCTGTATGAGTTGCTCAAACGTTGCAATCTCAAATCGTTTACCATAGAATCTGGAATTTGTGTTGCATGATGAGCATGACAGACTCGCACAGCGTTCCACCTTCTGCAATACAAATTTCGCCAGATTGTCGTAGGGTTTAGGGCTCCGGAACTTGTCATGCGCAATCCTATGAGACTTTGCTAGAACTAGATCATGCAATCTTGCATCACAGATTTCCATATTCTATGGTAACCGATTTGAGATTGTAACACCTGAGCGGGTTATATCCTGGTCCCTCGGTGATTTCGTCCTCTATCCGGTTGTCTGTCGGGGTGGTGCAGGTTGCGCGTTTCCCGGAAACGGACTGGGCGGTTGGGAGCTCCTGGTACGCTTGGACGTACCCTGGATCGGCTTCTTCGGGCTGGGTCCCGAGAACGATGTAACCAGAGAGACCACCCTCGAAAAGATCTTTGTAGGCAGAGGCGGAGGGCATAGCGTCGTGGCTGCGCGGCCACTTGTTTTGAGATGGCTTCTAGGAAGCTGCACAAATCGTTGCTACAGAATGAACCTTCAACACATGATTCTGTTCGAGTTACAAGCGCTAACGAGGAGGAAGTGCCACACGCACAGGCACATCGGAAAAATATAGCAAGCATGTAGTTCTCAAGTATGCTTCCGCACAACACGTGGCCGAACTCTGCCGAATAAAATAAACAACATCCTCTCCAATATCCTTCTACTTTCTCTCGACATCAAAAGGTAAACAACTCACGGACGGGAGGGCCCGACGACCTCCAAGACGACATTACGAGAACGAAGAACGATCGAAGGGTAGAACAACTCTGGTGGGGGGAAGCTAAGCAAGGAAGCAAAGAACACGCAAGCGCGGATTCATTATTTTTCGACGAGTTTCTACTTCGCGAACCACGCGACACAAAGCCGAAATGGTGTGCAAAATCCATCTGCTTCAATACTTAAACCTACTTGTCCTTCGAGACAACACTTCGATACCATCACCAAAGAAATCAGCATGTCGAAAATAGCTTGCTCAGGTGGTCCGAATAAAGATTTCTTTCGGCTTCCGTCGAACAGACACAGACACCACCATTGTAGAGGACTCAGAACAATTCATCAACGGAGACGAGGGCTTCTACGTAGTACTACAGCGAGGTCCTACCTACTAGAGCGGACTTTACTTATCGTAGAAGATTCGTATCCTTTGTTTTGCGATCGCGGTTTCCCCAGTAAAAAACGTCGTTTTCAGAAAAACGTTGCCGGAAAGCAGCTCCGCAGGAATCATCTGGTCTTCTGCTGTGCAAAAGTATCGTACTCGTATTAATTGCGTTTATGCATTACAAATATCCTTTTCAAGGTAAATCAGCATTACAAATTCAATTTGTAGTGCTGGGCTAATTTGTAATGCAATTTATACTAGTACAATGCTTTTACAATTCATAGGTCTTCTTCTGCCGCCACGATGGTCTGCTCCCAAGAGTTAGAACCTGTGACGTATTAGAGCCAGAAGTTTTTATTGCTCGTTTTTGCATCACAAAGTAGTCTCCTATTTGCATCGACTGCATCACAAACTGCCGAGAAGTCGCCAACTCCATTTTTCGATTGCGCACTTCTAGCATGACAAAGAATTATGAGAAGATAGGCACGACTGCTAGATGATGATGAAAAATACATACGTAAATAAGTACTTCCTGGAATGACAAATCCGAATTCGAAATCCCAAGTCTCGAGAATCGCGTTCCGGAAAAACACCACTTGCTCCAACCGGAACTTCTCGATCTGTTCCTTCGATTGAAATTCGATCTCCCGCGCAACCGCCTTGCACTGCAGAACTCGCGCTGGGATGTGGATTTCCGTTTCTTCTGCGGTCTATTACAGTGAAAAATGCCCCCCACCCCAAAGTTGCAAAAATTTGTGATGCGAAGTTTCCAAATGAAAACTTTTTGTCATGCATGAAAGGCATATGAATCTTTCTGATGCAGATTCTATTCGTGTTTCGCATCGCTTACATGACAAGCACCGCTCTTGCTGGGATCTTTTGCAATACAAATTTTTGCTATTCACGATCGGAAATCTGTGATGCTGATACATGCAAGAGGGCGAATGTTTCATTTGGAAAGGTTTGCAATACAGATGCTTTCAAGTTCGGGGGCGGGGGCATTTTTCATTGTAATACGCTCGTGTCCCAGTTTTCGCTGCGCCACAGCAGTTCCCCGGTGGTTGCGTCCTTCATCTATGCATTGCAAATATCGATCTGGGTGGTCCGGAAGAGTGCGCAAGTCTGTCATGCGCGTTTTGCATCACCCATGATGCATGTGATGCATGCGTAGCATCGCAGATATTTTGAGCCCTTTTTGATGCAGTTGGACTTATTTTCCAGGCAGCGTCACGAGTAGCAATTAATATTTTCGTTTTCCAGACCTCCCAGGCATAATATTTGCAATGCATATCATTCGCATTCGGGTGATGTGAAACCCTCGTTTTATCCTGGCTGGGGATGCAGGCTCATCTTGTTGTTGCGGTTGTGGTACTGTGTGTACAGGGGTTGTTTCTGTTGCGCCTCCAGCTAGGTCGTGGTCCTGGATTTTATTCGTATTCTTAGAGGAGGACGAAGAAGCTGAGCCTCCGTGTAGTTCCACTCCTAATCCCGCGGATCGCGCACTGGACGCTGCGGTTGATGAGGTCTCGGCAGACGACCTTGACCTACTGGAAGTCGAAGTAGGAAATGAATCGTGGTGGGTCGCTCGGGCTTTGTGGCCACCTTCACCAGCGGCTTCTCGCAGGAGGGCCGACGTAGTTTTTGAACCTGCAGCGATTGTGCTTGAGGTTGCTGGACCGCATCCCCGACTGTTCTGTGGAGAGGACGGCATGAAGACGCAGGGGACGAGACGGTGAACTCGCAGCTAGGAGAACAGCAGTTTGAGCTCATAGCGCTATATCACGACCTTCTGGCTTTGCAATGGATTAGAAAAGCTACGCCTCTCGTCCGAAGAAATCGAATGGAGGGCAGTAGACAAAGTGATGAAAAAAAGAAAAAATTTCCTGTCCACCTCGCCCCTGTCCTCGTATCCTCGGAATTATAGAAGTATCAAGTGCCAAACACATCAGCCTCCTGCGCTCAGAGGGCATCAACTCAATGCCAATGTTGCCTGTGTGGTTATTATAAAAACTCTGTTGCTTCACTCGTTTTTTCGTTGCCGCAAAACTCGTCAACAGACCTCTCATCTCGGGAAAGAAAAAGTAGAACAACGAACACTGAGGTCTGTGCCCACGTACTATTTCAGGAAGTGAAAAACAATGCTCACAACCTTCTTCAAACTCTTAGCTGTAGAAATAATTGCTTGGATTTTTTTGGCCTACGTTGTAACAGTAAGTAAAAAGCCGGTCCGTGCAAAACCCGACTTTCATCGGCACCGTCCTCCCTGCTGTCTTCAATTCTCCTCCTTGCGAGTGTAGTTCACTCACAAGGATCCGCTTGTGCTTTCATACCCTTGTTGTTATTTCCCTACAGTTTTCATTAAAAAATGGAGCCACGCGTCAGAGCTGCGAAAATGAATATAAATCCTATGCAGTTCGAAGTTATAATTTCCCTGTCTAGGTCAAGTAGTTCTCTACTACACAGGGAGTTATCAAGCGCGTACAGGACTTACATTTGTAAAGACGTCCCAACTTCACGGCAATTTCAAGAATTACCGTGGCTCGTCAGGTGGTTCTTTGCTGAGTCACGGCAGTGCGTACAAATTTTAATTTCTTGTATTTTTCAAATTCTCAAAACACAAGCACAGGGCCATCCGATCTTCAGGATGAATGATCGATGTGCGACGGTCGCATTGCTACGCAACTACGCGCATGTAGAAGCCGCGCTTTCTTTGTTTTTTTTATACGATAATTGACCCCAGACAGGTCCTCCAAATACTTCCACTAGTGGCACACGCACAAAAATCCAACTTTAGAATTTAGGAGTTCGTGGTCGGAAGCCAGGTCCTCGCGCATTTCAATTTGAAGATGCCCGTCTCGTCATCAGATGTTTCAGGTCTCGATAATCTTCCGTACGTTAGGTCCACTCCATTTGGAAGATCCATTTGGAAGATCATCGATTCTTATTTTGAAACGCTGTTCATATATTCCTGCTTTTTACTGCACAAGCCCGCGTACACCCGGCCCAAATCCGTTACGTTGCCCTATCGCGAGGAAAGATCCCCCCTCCCCATATTGACAGGGCACGTTTTCGAAAATTTATCTTGCTGATTTGCGACCACAAATCGCGTCTGTCTTGCAAGAAGGCAACTCCACAGACAACCGCCGCACTTTGCAGGCGGTTTGTCATGCTGTTGCGACTACAGCACAGACGCTTTTCATGCTAAGCGCCTAGGCCAAAGCCTCTCTACTCAGGCTTGATTTGGGTCTGCAGGCCTCTCCAGCAAGACAAATCTGGTTTGTGTACGCAAATCCAGCATCAGAAACATCGGTCAGTCCCCGCGCGCGGACCTGCGCTCGTTCCGGACGTGGTACGACACGCAATCGTCCGCGGGGATTCCCTGGACGAATGGTGGGCGGCAGCTCACATCCGCTCTGGCAGATGTCGAGGCCGACCTTCTCACGCCATACCGCTGGCTGCAAGGGGGCCCCGGCGTGCGACTTCCGCAGCACCCTGGCACCGTCACCCGCGCGTTCGGTGGGGCTGGAGTCCCATTACGACTGCCGCCCTCTGCAGCAGCAAGACCTCTCGCCCGACCCGGGTACAGCCGACGTTCTAGCCCACGAGCTGCATTGCCGCCATGCCCAGTGTGCGCTCCGGCGCAGGTCGGTGGCCGGCGACGCAGATCGAGGATGGCGACATTGATGTTTGCAAAGAGGTCAAAGACGCCGCGCTGGCGAGTGTCGGCGAGAAGGACAAAGACGGCAACCCGACCACCCTGTCACGGCTCCTGGACTTTGTAGGGACGCAGCGCATCGCTGACATCATCGACAGGCCGGCGCCCCCCTGCGACGATGTGCAGCAGCAGTACGCTTCGATAGTTCGGGAGGTGTTAGACTTTCCGTGTTTTGTGGTCTCGCCTACACTGGCTGCTGCCGACCTGTACCTCCAGGGCGACCTGTCTCCGCGCGACTACGACTGGCGGGTTACCGGCATTGAGTGCAGTTGCGACGAATGCCGGCCGGAGCCACGGTTGCCGCCGAAGAGGCTCGGGTCGCTGCGCCTTGCGTTTGTGCACATGCGCAAGATCCAGCAGCGGGAGACAGAGGCGAGGTTCCGCGCCTGCTTCCCCCAGCCAGAGGCCGTGCAGCCCTCCGCGCAGAAGCCGCTGGAGCGCAAAAAGCACACCGAGGATCCGCCAAGGGTCAAGCAGGCGCTGGAGTTCCAGGGGGCAAGCAAGGCCCTGCCGGTCGGGGTCACGTACGACGCGCCCCGGGGCAAGCTCGTTGCGCGTGCGAGGGTTAAGGTCCCGGGGGAGGAGGAGCCCTACCCGCTCTCCCGCACGATCCATCCGGAGCTCTACGCTACGGCAGAGGAGGCGGTCGAGGCGGCGGTAGAGGCACGGGCGGAGCTCATCGCGAACCCGTCGGCCGACGTCGAACGCATCCGGACGTTGCGGCAGCGGCGCCAGATCGCGTCCGCGTAAGTAGCAGGGGCACGTAACTGCCCCAGTGGGGCCGGGAAGACAGCGCGCGTCTAGCAGATTGGCCGTGGGCCAGTTGCCGACGGCTAGACGAAGCGGCGGCTCCCAGCTGGGTGGCAGTGATGTTGATGTGAGGTTCACTGCGAGAAGAAACCCGAGTTGGCTCGTAGTTAGAAATAGCTTCGGTCTGGGCGAGTGAAACGCTATCCAATTTGTGCCCCTAAGACCCTAGCGAGAATTTTCTTACCGTGACTCCCCTCGGGATTGAGAACGTTAGCCCAGGGTAGAGTCTCGCGATGCACTAAGCGTCGTGAACTATCGAGCCACATGATAAGAGGCCACCGTTCTATCGAGCCACATGATAAGAGGCCACCGCCAACCACCACCCACAGCCAGCCAGTGAACACAATTTGAATTTGAATTTGATGGAGAGGGGAGATTTTTCCTTTTGATATCCCCGTCCCCGCCTCCACCAGACTCAGGTCGAAACTCTTGCCGGTGTTGATCTTGTTAAACCAGGAGATATATCAAATGTAAAAATGTCTGGGTCTGGAAGATTCTAAACTTGTGATGCTGTGTCTCAATTCCAAAAACAAGTGTATTGCATGACCAGCAAGAGGACTCCAGTTTGTGCTACGCGGAGAGGACATTTCTCATGCGGTAGAGGCATCACAAAGCTCTCGGAAAATCTGTGATGCTAGAGCATGCATCACAGACATCATGGGTCATTCAAAATATGCATGACAAACTTGCTCTCTTCCAGACCCAGACATTTTTGCAATGCATAAGATATACTGCACCAAGGGTTTCGCAGGGTCGTTGGGCATCTTCACCTCGTCCAGGGCCTGAAACATGTTGGTCATGGCCTTTTGGATGGTATTCCCGTCACACGTCTCTCCCGGGTGGCTTTGCAACAAACCCACTTCGGTGAGCAGCGCGCCCTTGATGGAAGGGTATGCATTGCAAACATGTCTGGGTCTGGAAGAATTCAACGTCTGTCATGCATATTTTGGATGACCACCCATGATGTCTGTCATGCATACTCTAGCATCACAGATTTTGTAAATGCTTCCTGATACCCTTACCGCATGAGAAATTCCCTCTCCGCGTCGCGAAAACTGGACCCCTTTTGCAGTTCATGCAATACAGATTTTATGTAGTAGAAATAGAATCCAAAGACAGCATCACAAGTTTCAATCTTGTTCCAGACCCAGACATATTTGCAAATGATAAAGGGTAGAGCTTCACCACGTCAAGCACCTCCTGCAACTTTTCCTGCAGCCCAGTGACATCGGTGGTGCAGCCCATAATGTATATGGATGTGTCAGGATCGAAATCGACAAAATCGAAATAATTTGTGATGCGCAAAATGTAAGGCACTGATAACCTGTATTGCGGAGCAGGAAAATGAGACCCATTGCAAGCCTGTTTAGGGGTAGGCAATACGCTGCCAGAGTAGCATGACGGGAGCAGTCTTCTTTGCCTAAACAGCATGACAGACTGGATTTGGGTGCTGCCCAAATTTGTCATGCGCCACTTGGAAACTGAGGCTCCAACTGACATCGATTTTGCGCATCACAAATTTTTCGATTTTGTAAATTTCGATTCTGACACTTCCATAATGTAGAAGTGGAAGTTAATCCAGTCGGGGCACGTCATGGGGTTCTGGCAAACGGCGCCCAAAAACGGTTGCAGCCACTCCTTGATCTTGGAAGCAATCTGGGGGCTCGTGGTTTCGTAGCCCATGCCCTTGGCCGTGATCGCGTTTTGCTGCCAGGGGGTGACGACCTGGGCTTGGTCCGTGGGCACTTCCCGGATGGTTCTGTTCCACCACCCCAGTCCCGACGCGGACTGGCAGAACGGACAGTATCCTGAGTAAAAATGTCCCCACACCAGAATTGTCATGCACATTAGCAAGCACAGGAGCATTTGTGATGCGCATCCCCAAGAGAGGCACTTCCAAGTGTGTTTTGAGACTTGTAATGCTGTAGACAGGATGAGGAGATGGATCTTTTATGCGGATTCTCTTGCTAAACTGCACTGCAATACAGCCTGCAACTTGTCATGCGTGACTCGCAAAACTTCTAGGTTTGTCTTGCAAAGTCTCCATCTTGACTCTGGGGTGGGGACGTTTTTCCTCACAATAGACAGGAAGGCTTCATCAAGTCGTCCTATGAACTGCAAAAGTATTGTATTCGTATAAATGCATGACAAATTCCCTCAGCATGAGAAATAAAATTTGTAATGCTGTTTTACCTTGAGAAAAAAATTTGTAATGCATGACTGCAATACGAGTACGATACTTTTGCACAGGATACGTCCCCCTCGCACACGATTCCCGGGTCCGACACGCAGATATAACCTGCTCAGGTGTTACAATGATCTCAAACGTTGCAATAGAGTCTGGAATTTGTGTTGCAAAAAGTGCATCATTTCGGCAAATTTCATAGGATTGCGCATGACAAGTTCTGGAGTGGTCGTGGTCCCAATCCGCACTATAAGCTGGCGAAGTTTGTATTGCAGAAAGTGGAATGCTGTCTGAGTCTGTCATGCTCATCATGCAATACAACAAAACCCAGAAGATTCTATGGTAACCGATTTGAGATTGTGACGTTTGAGCAGTTCTTCATAGCAGATCCCCGCCTGGTCTGGTTCGTTCCATCCCTGCCACATCGGGGCGTACTGCCACCCCCCGAACATGCCGTCCTGGTGTATGGCGTTCTCAAACGTTACATTCTCAACTGTTACATGGATTTGTAATGCAAGAACAATAACAGTGAAAGTGGCAATATTGCAGCTTTCGCATCACAGATTTGTCACAGATTATCGCACTGTTTAGCCCTTCGAAAATTTGTCATGCTAAGCACCTTCATCATCATCATCATCATGTAGTGGACACCCGCACCCAGCGCCACAGGTCAAGGATCCCCTCCCCGGGGGGTGGGCGAGGAAGCACTTTCGGCGACCTCCACATACAAAAGCCGAGCGCTACCACGGCAAGTCGCCCCAATAGAAGTGCCAACCAGTCGGGAGCTACCCACCACACCTGATCAGTACAGCCCGGCCAGCTAGCCGAGCGCGACAGCCCAGCATACAGAACGATCCAGGACCCGACCCATTTTACGCCATAAGTTTTTGTTCTCACGGAAGAGACGACGTACCCCTTTGGGCTAAGGGGCGAGACTCTCCCTTAAGCCGCAACCCCACCCAGACAGGGGAGGCTGGACCATTTGTGCCTTACCTGCGGCACGGACGAAAAAGGCAAGTGCCGCGGACCGGAGATGTCAAACCATTGGCCAGTTGTTTGTCACTGCTGACTGGCAACCCACCTGGGGCACAGCGACAACTTAAAGGATTAGATTGTGCGTGGCGGTCTTAGTGCAGCCCTTGACTTATTCTGCAACAGAAGCAAAGGGTGGGAGGGGGGACGGGGGTCGTAAGCCGGAGTCGCGACGGAACTTACCTATTGAGGGTAGCCGGCAATCCCCTTTACCTCTCAAGCCCCTTCGTCCGTAGCTACTTCCGTATTGCGCCACCGATTCATGGTAGTTCCGAGTCTGGTCGTCGTCGGTGTCCGCACGTTGTTGCCGTTCCTCCTAGTAAAAGCATGGTCATCTCGATTCGATGGCTGGCACTCCTGATAGTGCTGCTTGACGAGGCCTTGTACAACCGCAGCACCTCCGTGTAGGACACGAGCAGCAACAGAACATACGGCGCTCCGAGTGGACCAAGTACTACATTTGACCGAGAAGAAAAAGCGCGTCGCGTAACTTGAACGGCATTTCCGAGCAGAGAGGACGCGCTCCGAGAACACACCGAGAGCGACATGCGTATCAACCAGTCTCCAGGTACAGGCTGCTTATCGCGATTATCCGGGTAGAGAACACTCTTCAACACTCCTCGTCCCGGGTTGGCGCGAGGAAGGGCAGCGCGTGGCGAAAGCCGCGCGCCGTCCTTCCTCCATCTGTTTTTAGTGTGATTTTTGGATGAAGCGTCGCATGTGAGACAACGCAAAATGAGAAATGTCGGAACTGCTCTAAGACCATATTCCCCCTGGAGCCCAAGCTTCGACATTGGTCGCGATGCAAAAACCCTCCCGACAAATAGACCTTGATCAAGTGGAAACTGCTGGCAATTTTGCATGACAAATCCGCGCAACAGTTGAGAATGTAACAGTTGAGAACGCCATATGGTGGTCCGTGCTCGGGCCGTGTTTCGGCGAGTCCTGGCCCCAGCTGTTCGGGACGAAAAGCCAGTCATCCGGGAGGTTATGCAACACAAATTTAGATTTTTCCCCGCATAGTTGTACACTAGCACTGCACGTCGGTCCTCGTAAACGAAAATGCATCACAAATTTCGCCACCTTTTTCTTTAGACGCATAAATATTTGTCATGCCAGATAGGGTCGAAGGAAAGTTTTGTCATGCAGAAACCGCATTCAATATTCTCGCATTCGTACGTGCAAGAAGGAAACAAATTTGCTGTGGGTAGAGATTCCGGTCCGCGTCCAGCTTCCAGTTCCACCACCAGTTCACTTTTCCCGTCGTGGCCGTTATACATCACAAAAACACGACGCTGAGTCATCTAGTTGTACCATGATGATCATGCAACGGCCTCTTTAGTACGGCAGCACGGCTGCATGACAAGTTGTTTTACGAGGTTTCTTGTTGATTCGGCTTCGTAAATCGCATAGACAAACTGCCTGCTTCATCCAAGAACACAACAAAAAAGGAAGCTGAAAGCAGATCCTCATCCTGCAATAGAGATCTCCCTCGCATACGAGACTCGCATCACAAATCCAGACCCAGGCGAAGTACTTACCATGCATATTCAGTACATCGTACCAATTTCCCCGCTTCTTCGTCTGGTCCGGAGTGTCCCCCGCAATGCCGCAATAGCTCATCGTGATCTTCGGGGGCTGCGGGTCGTCCTTAAGAGTTGTTGCTGTTGTTGCCCCAGAAACGGCAGCGGCAACATTCGTTGTACTGGGGGCAGCATTTTTATCACCCTTTTGGTTCTTCAGAAATAAAGTGGTCGACGGCTGCTCCCGGAGGTCGGCGTTCATATCAAGCCACGACAGGGCTATCGCAAGAAAAAACTGTTTCACTGTAAACTTGTAATGCAGAAAATGTATCTGAGAAGTGTTTGTCTTGCTACACATGCAAGACAGTGGATTTTTAGCTGTGTTTTCCCTTAGGAATCTCGCATGGCAAATTTTCTCTCTGGTGTAGAACAAACTTGTCATGCAAAACTTGCAAAATCCTTACAGTGAAACACTTTTTTCGTACGATAAGGCCCTGCACAGGTTCAATAGCCAACAACGAGGCAGCTCCTGCAAAAGTCGTGACTGCAGCTGCGCCGGCAGCCGCCTGGCGCTTCTTGTTCATAAAATGAACCGGCATCTTCTTTGCAATCGTTCTTTCTTGAAGAGGTGTACAGAAGTACTGTTTGTAGTTTCGGAAGAAAATTGTTTATTATTTCCAGAATCGTAATGAAACTTACGTCGGTCGAAATACAACTCCTTGTTGAAATGCAACAGAAGGAGAAGCTAGCTTCCAAAGTGGTTGGTGAGTGTTGAAGAAGTAGCGGACTTTTTTTTAGTAAGTACTTTGGTGTGAGTTGTTTTGCGTGTGTGCGAAGATTTTGTCGAAAGATTTACAGTGGTTTTTGTTTGACTCAAAGTCGTGTAAGTAGAGGTGTGCAGACGCGATACTTCTACTTCAACAAATAAACAAGAGTTTGCTTTTCGCAAATCGGCTTCTGTTCTTTCATAATACTATACTTTCCAAGTGACTTTGGGTCGTGTGGTGCTTCGCAAAACAAGATAAACAGACAAATAGTGTCGGCCTCGAATATGTTCTTGTATGTCCACCTACTGGTAGAGGACGTGGCAGACGACGACCAGACCGATGACTTTGCTTCGAGTTGCTTCTTGTTCTTTCCGCTTTTGTTTTCTTTAGCGGAGGGTCATCGATTGATCAAGTGAAGTAGACCCGGTTTGGGTTTGATGATCTTCTTGCTGTGCTGGTTTAGATTGACAATTCTATGGATCTCGATGATCTCCATCTTGAACGCCTCGACTTTCCTTTTTACCGACGGTGGAAGAGGATCGTCATACGTCTATTCAGGATCGTGATCTGACTTCATGAGCGTGTCTTGTTTCCATGCATCCAGAATTGAACAGGCGCAAGACATTTCTGGCAGATGAACCGAGAGGCCGTGTAACCTTCCGCTATTGGAAAAACTGCCACTTTCGCCGCAGCCGCTCACAGCGCGTCACAAAAATTTTCCCGAATGTGATGCAGCTCCATTCGACACAGGGCCACTGCAGCTGCCGCCGCCGCTTCTGCTTTAAATTAGCTGCGTTCAATTCTTCTCCTCAGATCAGAGATCAGCGATGTCGGCCCACGTGACCCAGTCACATGAGACGGGCTCAGCGTAGCGGTCAGGCAATCCTAACCACCACGTCAACCATTGCATTTGCAAGTTCAAGTTGTGTAGTTCACGCGGCATTACGTATTCGTTGAAGCATTTCGCACCCTTGTTGGAAAAATATCCCCTGCAGTGAGTTAGAGTTGTCATGAAAAACCTACAAAGTTCAAGTTGTAAAAGTGGTGTACAACTATCCGAAACTGACAACTGTGCTTCACTGTAGCTGTGAGTCACGGCCCAGTTCAACATAAACATATTATAGTTTTCAAAACAAAAGCACACGAGGGCGGGTACAACTCCCGGTCCATGTGCAAGTCTCATCATCATCTTTTGGCATAACTACTGCTACATCTCTACTTCTGTTTCCGCTTTATTTCATAGATACGTTTGTTGATGTCAAAGACAGAAACACGAGCGCCTCGTGCTGGACCTAGCACAAAAATCCTACTCTGTACTATATAATTTGACATTCGGAGTTCGCGATCGGAAACCAGGTCGTAATTTCAATTCTTGACCGTTTAGTCATCAGAAGTTACTACTTTTCCACTTCTTTACATTTTCCCTCGGACGTGTTATGGATTGCAAATATGTCTGGGTCTGGAAGATTCTCACATTTGTCATACATGTCTGACATGATTCGACAATCTGTGATGCATAGGGGCATCGGAAAAGGCTCTCCTATCTGTCATGCAAAAACGCAGTTTCTCGTGCGGAATACGTAACACATAGCAGCTCAGAAATTTGTCATGCTTGGCTGCGTATTGCAGCCCGCTTATCATCCACTTTTAGCATTACAAGTTTCCAGACCCAGAGATATTTGCATTTGATACATGTACTCGCGTCCCAACATCGTCAAATTGCCCTCTCCGTCGACCAATCGCATGTCGAATCCAGATATCAAATGTAAAAATGTCTGGGTCTGGAAGAATGCAACTTGTAATGCTGTCTGCGGATTCTAAAAATATCTGTGTTGCATGAGCAGCAAGAGGAGTCAGCTCTTGGCACGCGGAGAGGGCATTTCTCATGCGTAATTAGCATCAAGAAGCTCGCAAAAAATCTGTGATGCTAGCACCAGCATCACAGGCCTCACGGGTCATGCAAAATGTGCATGGCAAGTCCCGACTCTTCCAGACCCAGACATTTTTGCATTTGATACCAGATGTCGTGCTATGGCCTATCCCAGAGAAAAAGGAAAAAGCCGCGAGAACCAGCTTTGTAATGCAAAAACACATCCACAGCTAAATCTTCTGCCTGGTGTCGTGGGCACGGCCATGCCGTGCTGTTTCAGGTAATAATGTTAAGTAATATGCAGATCTTCTACTTGCTGTGAAAGTTTTCATTTCTTTATCTTCTATTTTTGCATTTATAAATGTGCTGATACATTCTACTTTTTCTCTAGTGTGGGATATCGCCGTCGGAGAAAAAATTGAACCACGACACATGCTGCACCACGCGCTTCCCATTGCTGTAACAGTATGAGAGCGGCGGGCAAGAAGTATTCTCCCCTGCTCCCCCTCATTTGCGATGTAAAATGCCAATTTTGCCATCCCGGGCCCGTTCGGCAGATACAATCGCATGACAAGTCCATCCAGAATATTAGCTCAAACGAAACCAGCTGGTATGGTGAAGTCGTTATGCAGCTGGGGCTGCATGCACTTTCGACTTCAAGCTGTAAAAATGGGCTCATGCACTTGTTCTTCAACTGGGCTCATGCATTTGGCTCATGCACCTTTGTTCAACTGGGGGAGAGCCGCAGGCGGAGTTCCTCACGTCATTCATCGGTTTGATAAATACTGCGGATCGTGCAAAACCTCGAAGATGTGATCCATGCCTGCCTTTATCGTTTCCACCGGACAGGTGTGCGGCCCCTTGATGGGGATCATTCCCGTTTCCGTCAAGAGGGCGCCACGCAAGCGCGGGCTATGCATTGCGAATATGTCTGGGGCTAGAAGATTTTTGCCACGTTTGTCATGCATATTTTGCATGGCCCATGACTGTCTGTGATGTATGCCCTAGCATCACATCGGAGATCTAAGGGCAGTCCGTCCCTTTTTGGCTGAAAAGCCCTACTAAAACTCAAAAAAGTGAGAGCTTAAGAGTGAGAAGTAATCTTTCAAGGTTATAATAAGTAGCTCAGAGCGAGTTGACAAAACGTAGACTGCTTCCGGGGAAACAAGTCTTGAAAAGGAGTCATCCTGTACGTAGATCTACGAGTTCACGAGAGTAGAACGATACGATACGAGCCTACGCGCAGCAGCAACGGAGGGGAGGGACTTCTGCCACACGGGGTCCCTCCATGACTCGAATCCAGCCACCCCAGACCAAGGGCGAAAAGGGGCTGGGAATCGTAGAGGGTGCTCGCACGGAACCCGTCTGGTCAAGCCGAAGACTCACCGTGGGTGCTAGCTCACAGTCAACGGCGATCGGGAACCGTCGTCAATCCCAATCCGAAGTGCATAAAAGATCGTCCGTATGTCCGTACCCCCGAGGGGGTAGGGTCATAGGCCGACGCTGTATAGCAACACAGCGAGACAAAGCACCTAAACGAAGAAACCACACGTGGACGAGCCGACTTTTCTTTTTTGAATTACGAACCGACTTTTGGAAAGTTTTGTTGAAGACGTACAGCACCACGAAAGCCTTTCATTTCACGAACTGCTTTTCATCTGTTTTACGTGCTTTCGATACGAAACGAACTATGATGAGGCGCGGTCGGGCAGCTAGAAACTATTTTTGTAGTCGGGCTGTAGAAGTCACGCAACGCAATTTGTAACTTTTTTTTCCCTCGTACGTTTTGCTTTGCTTCTGAGTTTATTTCTAGAGGCTCTATTTTGAAAAAACGCAACGAAGCACGACGAGGGGCGGTCGGTACAGCGAGAAGCTTATTTACTTGACTAAGACCTGACTCATGTAAAGTTTGGTATAATTTTCTTTGCACATGTTACCTCTCATGTGCAAAACGACCACATAGAACAAAGTCTCCACCGTTTACTGAGGATCCCACCTTCGTAACTTTAAAATTTAAATTTTTTAATTTAGGCAATGCCCTAGTACGTAATTTTTTTGCGTTTTTCCAATAGGTAAAATATATTAGCAAATTCCAACAGGTCCAACAAGATGTTCACACTGATCCTAAGATTGCAATTTGGATAAAACTGCAACGCCCCTTATTTGGCCGTTTATTCCCTATCCTTCGTCTTTTCTCCGGACGGTGAAGCTCTGAAGTCGTTTCTTACCTTTTACACTAAAGCTTTTATCTAGTGCACAGCAGTACTATTGAGCATGCGCTTCCTCAGTTGATGCTACGACGTACAACTATTGCAGCTCATGTTTCTTGGAGTTTAAGAGGCTGCTCGTTCTCAACACCCGGAGGCGGAGAGCATAAGACGTCCCGTGGGAGAGCTCTGCCGAAAACGCTAGTATAAAAAGGATGCACTCCAAACCAACTAAAAAAAAAAGAAGAAGCTGCTAAAACATCTTGCTGCAAGGTTCTTGCATGAAGGACTGTGAAAATAATGCTATCACGGGTAGGCATTTCGATCCAAAACTGATGTGTGTTACCTGCGACGCACGCAGGCCAGATAGGAAAAAACGGATAGACCACATTTGCTGCAGGCTATGCAGTTCTTCTCAGGGATGAAAGATAAAGATTTAGCAGGTCCGTGACAGAGAGATGATGGGCAATAAAGTTATTATGATGCGAAACGATTTGAGTAATTATTTGTTTGTTTGACTTTGATTGTTGTCATGCGGAACGTGAGAACGCGTGTGAAACGTCTTTTAATGCTAGTTGAAAAATCAAAAACAACAAACTCCGTTGCTGCGAAATGCAATTACTTTCTCTGACGTGTAGATGAATAAAATGAAGGCGCTGAAGCTACTTGATACCCGAGAACTAAATTGATAACCTGTTATGGAACAATGTGCATTAAACTGTCGAAAAGAAGTCTTGCTGCTGCTGTTGCTGTTTAAGAACTAAACTCGTAGGAAGATGAAAAGAAAATAACTCAGTACAGATTTCCTAAACCCGAGAAAGAAAAACTTCAAAACCCGTTAACCCATTGAACCGCATCGCCCCGCTCTGGTGCGGCCGTGCGCGTGCCTGAAAGTGATGGATCAGTTGTTGAATTGGGTTATTCATAAGCAGAACATCATGAACAATTGAGTGAGTACACGACATAATAAATTTACTTTCCACAAAAGCAAAAAACTAGCAGTCACAGCAATCACAGCGTAGCACTAGGTACGCTGCGAAAGATGGATCCTATCAAGCAACGCTGCTAATGATGGGTGTTGTCAAGCACTGGGTTTGGGCACATGAAGGAGGCGAAGCAAACTGTCTGTAGCACTCATGTCCAGGACGCACTCACTGTTTCTTTGCTGCTCAATAACGCCCTATCGTTCCTCATGTTGAGGGAGCGAGGTCGACAAATTCGCGCACCGCAGCGGCAACCGACCGCGGTAGTGCTCTCGGTCGGACGCTCCTCTTAATGCGTCCACTACGTGCAAAGAACCTAATCCCGCGAGTGCTGAAGGACATATCTAAGAACTTGATTTGCCGCTAGTGTCTAGCTTCTTTTTGGAACCAAGCAGCATCATAATTAGCATCTCGCGTGCCGCTTGCGCTCTACCCGTCTTGCAGAAAACACGTGAATCAGAAGTGAGTACTTAGCCTGCGCTGCTGTGAGGACTGCGATCAACAACAGATCTTTGTCATGCGCCAAAACTGAGGAAAGCAAAGTAGAAAAAGTCACGGACGAGTACCTCCATGTGCAGCAAAGAGTTTAAGCAACGGCAAATGCTGCCACTTCCGCCAGCTGCGCGGCCCGCGAGCCTGCCACGGCCGCTTCGCTCGCCACGGCCGCTTCGCTGGCATCCTCGGTCGCTAGGCCCTCCGTCTCGGCTTCGCTCAGTTCCTCGGTCTCCTCGTCTGGTAGTTCCAATCGCTCGAGATGGGACATGAAATCACACACGCACCCAGACCCTCGAGATCACGCACCCAGTACATGAAATCCAGTACCCTCGAGATCACGCACCCAGAAATCACGCACCTAGAATCACGTACCCACCGCACGCACCCAAAAGGTGCGCGCTGTGGGTGCGCGCGCGCCAGGTGCGCCGAGGTGAGGCGCGCTGCCCTGGGCGGGTGCGTGCTTCATTGCGTAGTGTGTTCCTAACTATTTGAATGGATAAACATCACCGAACTCAGTGCGCTGCTTCTGAGGTGCGTGGGTGCGTGATTCAGGTGCGTGATTCTTGAGCTGGGTGCGTGATTCGGAAACGTACGGCCGCGGAGTTGGGGGTAGTGTCGTCCCATCCACCGACGAAAGACATACAGCTTCAGTTCCGTATCGCTGGCGTCAGGATTTTCGGTTTTGTATTTTTCTGCCCAATGGCGGTAACGATACCAATGGCGGCCACGACAGAACTGATCCCCACTTCTCCTAATACTGGGATCGCCCAAATTTTCTAGGTAGGTGTCCAATTGACGTTCGTATTTGTTAGATATCAAGTGTTGAAAATACGTCTGAGTGGTCTGGATGAGTTGTCCACGTGTTTATTGCCATGCAGATTTTAGATGCCTCACCAGGTCTACTGGAAAGCCCAAGCCGGCGGGAGTAGTTATCATTTTTGTAATAAAGGACTTTACAATACATAGTCCGCCTAGAGCTTACGGCTTCAGCATGACCGAAAAAGGGCATCCTGTGCTACCTCCGAAAGACAAACTTTTGCACGATCTACTTACAGGCCGCAGACACAAGTTGCAACCTTGAAGACCAAGACATATTTGCAGCGCATACCTGCTGCCGAAGAGCCTTGCCACTTCGAGATCAACTTCTTCAACGCTGCCCCGCCACTCCCTGCTTTGTCGGTCAGCCAACCCCACGGGCCGTAATCTATGCAAGGAACAAAAAGCTTTCTCCGTCTCAAACCTTTGCAGACTCAACAGTCATGAGTTTGAGTGTGATGCGCCGGACACAAGAGAAAACCACACATATGAAAGCCGCCTTTCTCGCATGTGCAGCTGCAGCGTGACAAAGGAGCGTCCGCATTAGAAAGTGAGACTGAGACAGATTTTTCTCGTGATAATATCCTCGTCAGATTTTTTGGAACCGCCAAACGTTGTACTCATCTTCCCGGTCTTCGATTTGCGGCTGGTTTTCGATTTTTTCCCGCTTTTCTTGGCTTCCACCTTTGTCGCTCCGCCTTTCTTCCGGTCATGCTGAATGAAACCGGTCGGCACCTCCTCGCTTCCCTCCCAGGAGTGTGTTGCTGTGCCGGCCTTCTTCTGCAGGGCGGACACGACCGCCCCCCCCCCGGGGGCAGCAAAGGCGATCAGCGCGATCTTCTTCATCATTTTGGCGGTTCTACTAGTATCGTTTTTACTTTGTCCCTTTCCGTTCCTGCCGGAAGAACTGTTTTTGTGTCGGTAAAAAGGTCTACTACTTACTTAAGTTTCACTGAGTGGCTTCCATGAGCCTCTCGCACACAGAAAAAAAATGTTGGGAACTGCAGCTATTGATACTGTTTTTTCATCAGGGTAATGTCGCACTTGCAACAGAACCCCAAGCAGGCGCACTTAACTTATAACATTCAATCGATAGTACTGTGTATTCGAGAAAAGTTCAGGCAAGCGAGCTGCTTTTTGCACGGTGTGGTCGTGAGCATGAACGAAAGTAGCTGAAAACGACCGGAACGGACGATGACTTCACTACGACTTGGGGAGTCCTGCGAGGTAACGACTTGTGCTGTCGTGGCTCCAGCACGGTGGGATCCATGGGGATTTCTGCACGTGGTACGGATAGATACAGGGTGGCCGCGCGAAAGCGTGGCGCATATATATACGGAATGGCTGTGATTCTTTTTTACCACAACAAAAACGAACTTTCACTTTGCCTTTACTCCACGACCACGAATAAAAACGAATATTGCAACGAATAATATCTCCGAACAAGAACGATCATGTTTATCACGCACTACTATACAAGGAGGAATTCCTCATATTCAATCTCTACAAATTACATGAAGGCGTCCTTCTTTCACCTCTAATTTTCGGAGGTGGAGCCATTACTACGAAGCGAAGTCCTTGTATTTCACGAAGGTCTTTCCCCTGGATCGCATCTACGTACAATTCTTACCCTGGACGAGGTGATGTTTTCCTTTCCATTCTTGGTTCAAACGATGGCAAATCTGTTCGATTTTTTTCACAATTTCTCTTTCCAGATTGTTCTCTGCATTAATATCATCCTTCTCGCTTTCGCTTGGATGAAGACCAGTTGGGGCGCCACAATAAACCCGATGTCCAAACTTCGGCAGAAACTTGTCCGGGTGGTACCGGAGCACCAGTTTGTAATAAGCATCCTTCGCTGAAATCTGGTTCGTGGCGCGGGTCAGCAGCGATGTCCGCGGATTCGTGTGTCCGGGCGGAAACGGGATGTCGCTGAGAAGCCGGATTTGCTGTTGTTTGCCACTCACTTCTATCAAATGCAAAAATGTCTGGGTCTGCGGGATTGCCAGGCTTGTCATGCATATTCTGAATGGCCCATGATGTCTGCTCTGATGCATGCTCTAGCATCACAGCTTTTTCGAGGGCTTTGTGATGCCTCTACCGCACGAGAAATGTCCTCTCCGCGTGGCAGAAACTGGAGTCCTCTTGCTGGTCATGCAATGCAATTTTTTTTAGAATCCAGAGACAGCATCACAAGTTTAGAATCTTCCAGACCCAGACATATTTGCATTTCATAACTTCCTTCTCGAACTCGTCCCAAGCGTCTTCGTACTGCAGCCACGCGTCCACATAATAGTCACGGAAAAAGTTGTTGCCTTGCATTTCATTTTGATCCTCACGACCGGCACAGGAACGACAACTCTGCGCAGGTGGGTTCTGGAAACATAAATTGTTTTGGTTGGTACCACTGCCACGGTTGTTTTTAACAAGAAAATCCCGACCGTACTTTGCATCTCCATTTTCTCGAAGTCCGAAGATGTCCTGCAAATTCTTGCGGACAGCTGGAGGCGGATATTGAGAGGAAAAATCCCCCCTCCCCATATCGAAAAGGTATGGGCTGAGACCACAAATCACGTCTGTCTTGCAAGAAGGCAACTCCGCAGGCTCTGCCGCATTATGCAGGCGGTTTATGATTCTGTTGGGCCTACAGCATACACGTTTCTCATGCTAAGTGCCAAAAGCTCTCTACTCAGGCTTGGCAGGAGCCTGCTGTCCTCTACTGCAAGACAATAAACCTGATTTGTATACGCAAATCCAGCATCAGAAACTTCCTTTTCATATGGGGAGGGGGGATTTTTTCTCGTGATAGCGGAGGCCGGGTCGCTGTTGCGGCAGAAGAGGGCGGAAACTGCCCCTGCCGCGGCTGACTATCATAGGTGTCGTCGCTGCTAGTAGTACTACTTCTGTTGTACCAAGCATTATTATCAGTCGCCCTCCTAGAAGTTCCCTGTTCTTGTTCCTTCTCCTCTTCCTGACCGCGAAAATCTTGCTTTTTGGTGGGCCCGTCGGGGGTCCCTTGTTCCAGCAGTACTTTGGTCAGCAAATCCGCCACCGCACTGCGATGCTGCACCGGCTCCTGCCTTGACGTGGTTGGCGGTTTGTTTTCCTCGGCGTTCGCTTCCGCTCCAGCAGAACGACGCTCGTCCTTGTCAGCCACGTTTTTCTCTGGCTGCTGCAGGAGACCCTTGAGATCGATTTTGGAACTCTGATAGACGAAACTCGGCCATCCTGTGCAGAAACGTCCCCGCGACCCAATGCTTATTGTCATGCGAACAATGCGCGTGCTCAAAATATGCCTCGTCGCACAGCTCACCAATAGAGCCATTGTCTAGCCCTGTTTGGAGACTTGCCATACTTTATCGACTTCTGATGCGGCTGCACTAGCTAACCACGACTATACTATGTTATGCATGACTCCCTAAAATTCTGGATTTGTGTTGCAAGGTTCCCCTCCTGACTATGGGGTCGACGACGTGGGGACATTTGTCCTCAGGATATCGGCTTAGGAAGGTCCACTTTTAAATTTTTTATGCCCTAGCATCACAGATTTTTAGAACCGCCTTCCTGATACTTATTCCGCATAAGAAATGCCCTCCCCGCGTAGCACAGACTGGACTCCTCGCGCACGTGCTAGTCATGTAATACAGATTTTTTCGGAATCCAAAGACAGCATCACAAGTTACCACCTTCCAGACCCAGACAGCACAGACATATTTGCATTTGATACGGGTACGTGTTCATCAACTCTTTGGCGTTCATTAACCCCGTTTATTGTGAGAAAAAGCCGCCCCTTCCCATATCGGACAGGAAAGCTGTGATGCCGGATTTGCGTACACAAGTCTGCCTGTATTGCTAGAAGGGCAAGGGACGCAGTTTTGGCCTTATTTGCAGGCAATTGGTCATGCTGTTTCCCACTTCCAGTTGCCTCCTGCCATGCTGGAGATGCAAGGCCTTGTTCCTAGGCCAGCCAGCGCGACAGTCCGCATCCTTATTTCCCTTCTAGCATGACAACATGATTTGTGGTCACAAATCAGCATCACAAGTTTCCAGTTTGAGTATGGGGTGGGGGGATTTTTCATTCTGATACTGTCTTCAGGTAGTCCACCGCGCTAGCCTCGCGGTTGCAGTCCGAGATGTAGAAGTGAAAATTGATGTAGTTGGGACACTATCAAATGCAAAAGTGTCTGGGTCTGGAAACTTGTGATGCTAAAAGTGAATGGTAGACGGACTGCAATACGCAGCTATGCATGACAAATTTTTTGGCTCCCATGTCTTACGTATTCCGCATGACGAACTGCGTTTTTGCATGACAGGTAAGAGGGCCTTTTCGTGCCTATGCAACACAGATTCTCGAGTCATGCCAGACACGCATGACAAACTTGCCTTCTTCCAGACCCAGACATTTTTACATTTGATACACACATGGTCGCCTCGTTTTCCGGTTTGCAGGCTTCGGCCAGGAACGTGCGAAGCCATTTCTATGCCTTGCAAATACCGATCTCGGCCTGAAAGAAAAACGCGCGTGTTTGTCATGCATCTCGTGAGGCACACAAATGCTCTCGACCATGCACGCAGAAGCATGAGAGATTTTGTGGCAGGATCTTCTTCGTGCCTATCCCGCACCCGAAATCGGCGGCCATTCGTGTAGCAAAAAAGTATATAGGGAGCTGTTGGCGTAGTTCATGCACCACAGCTTTTGTATGCGATCCTGACTTAGCATCACAAGTTCCAGGATTTCTTCCAGGAGACCCAGACATGTCTGCGGTGGATAAATTCCAATCAAAAGCGATCGCTGGGCTCGTGGTCAAGTAGCCGAGCGTCCGGGCCTGGTTGTGCAAAGCCTTCCACTCCGTCATTTTGCAAGTTGGGTCCGCAGCCAGCTCGGGGACGTAGTGACCCAATGATCCAGTTCCCGAAACTAAGTCTGGTTCGTTCCAACCGAACCATAAGTTCCCGTAGTAGCCCTGACCCGCCGGGTCGCGCACGGTCGAGTCATGCGGGCCGGAAAGGTCTGTGCCCCAGCTGGTCGGGAAAAAGGACCAGTCGGCGGGAAAAGGTATAACCCGCTCAGGTATTACGATCTCAAGCGTTGCAATAGAGTCTGAGATTTGTCTTGCATGATGAGCATGCATGACAGACTCGCAGAGCGTTCCACTTGTTGCAATACAAATTTCGCCAGGTTGTAGTGGGGGTCGGCGCTCCGGAACTTGTCATGCGCAATCCCATGAGAGTTGGCTTTGGCTAGATCATGCACTCTTGCATCACAGATCTCCAAACTCTATTCGTAACGTTTGAGATTGTAACACCTGAGCGGGTTATAATACCAGGCCTGGGCGGCTTCTTGGCCAGCACGGTAGTCCCCCAGTTCCAAAACCAGTTCAAAATCTCCGTAGTGCCGCCTTGTTGATCATAATCGTCCCCGCCCGTTTGATTTTCGTCATCTGGAACAAGGGCTCCAGTTGTACATTTGTCCATTCTGCTAGTCGTTCCCGCCCCGGAAGAAAGAAAGGGAGACGAAGCCGCTCGTTCTACGGAGGTACTACTGCCGCTCGCGGGCAAATTATCCCACGAAAAAAGTGTTACAGTTACACATTTGTAGTGAATTCAGCAACACAAACTCCTCTGCATGAGAGAGAAAACTTGTAATGCAGAAATCATACGGGAAAACACCTATGAAACGAGGCTCCAATGCATATCCGGCATGACAGAGCGCGTCTGTCTTGCTTGGCCTGCATAGACTATGTGTGTAACTGTAACACTTTTTTCTTGCGATACAAGTCCCACCCCGCGATGCCGCAGAAAGTCATTCCGGGAACGGGCTCGGGAGTCGGGTCTATCCAATGCAAAAATGTCTGGGTCTGGAAGATTCCGAGACTTGTCATGCACGGTTTGCATGGGCCATGACGTCTGTGATGCATGCCCTAGCATCACAGGTTTTTTGTGCGATTCTTGATGCCTATTCCGCATGACAAAAACAAATGCCATCTCGGCGTAGCAAAAATTAGACTCCTTTTGCTGCTCATGCAACATAAATTTTTTAGACATCCAAATGCAGCATCACAACTTGCATTCTTCCAGACCCAGACATTTTTGCATTTGATAGGGTCTTGTAGTTCATGATCCACATCGACTTGTTGTTCTTCGTGGCCAGGCCCGCCGCCGCTAGTACCTTTCAGATCCAATAAGAAATACCCTCGCACGGCAGGAATCAGATCACCATGCGCCAGCAGGACGACTAGAAACTGCACAACTAGAGGACCTCCGCGCATTTGATGAAGGAGTACTTTTGATGTTCTTGCCATCGTGATTTTCCTGGTCGTGTTTTCAGTTTATAGTTTGACTTTGACGACCAGAATTTTATTTGTAGCACTAGATCACCCCCTCGCAAGTAAACAAAATGAGTGTATTTTTACCGTGGCTGCACAACTGGGCGGCCGAAGTCATATGGTAGACAAGGATTTTATATTTATTTTTCACTTCAACAGAGTACTACAACAGAGTGAGATAAAAAGCAGTTGCAGTTTACAACGCGGAGAAAGCTTAAGATTCGAAAATTTCTGCTACTGTTCAGAACCATGGATACATGTTGAAACTCGCCTGTACCGAACGATAGCACTGGCACAGATAATCTTCGTCTCGAAGAGGATCCGATAGATCACATCAACATCAAGACCGATCAAGATATCAGGGTTACTAAATCGATAAAACAGGCTTACTGCATTCGAAGAAGAACTTTTCTTGTGCAGCTCGATAACTGCACTGGTGCTTCCGTTTGATCTGTCGCGATACTTGCCAGTATTTATTTCGAAACACAGCTTCGTCGTTGATTTGATCCAATTCGAAACTCGATGAATTCGATAAAATTCCACGACCTTCGGTGGTCCTCATGTTGCAACCGATTGCAGTTTTATCTGAGCCATGCAGACGCAGAGTCATCGTGACCAGCAGGATCTACTTCGAGGATCTCGTCATGCTGCCAGACACGAGAAAAAGGAAGAGGATCTTAGAGTTCTGAACAAAAACAAGTCGCACTGCTCGCAGATGTACTCAGTTGTATCACCATCATCTGCTGTGCAGAAGAAACGAGCTCGTTGAAGAAACGGTCCTGTAGCTTCCTTGTTGACAGTCGCTAACAATTTATTTTTACAGTTCTTGATGTGCGACCGCGGCGACCTACGCTCCCGCAAAGTTTATTTTCCGATTTTGTACTACACTACTTGATATGTTACTCCTGTTCATCGCGACGACGTCTTCTTGCTCTTTTTCTTCTTGCAGCCGCTTTGAAGTAGAAGATGATGCTTTCATCTTCTCGCTCCCAGCCTTTCTCGGCACGTGCTGCCGATTCGGCCGTAGTTTTTCGATCAAAGAGAGAAACAGCGGCGTCCAGTCGCTGTGGTAGTGACTCGACGGCGTTGTTGTCGTAGCATCTGGATCTGCTAGTGCAGCTCCAAGTCCAACTTGAACGCCGTTAGAATTCCCGATGTCTGGTTATCAAATGTAAAAATGTCTGGGTCTGGAAGAATGCAACTTGCGATGCTGCATCTGGATTCCAAAAAGGTCTGTATTGCATGAGTGCCACAGGTGGAAATGCAATTCTTGCTACGCTGAGAAGGCATTTGTCATGCGGAATACGCATCAACAAGCTCTCTAAAAATCTGTATTGCTAGGATGTGCATCACAGACATCATGGCTCATGCAAAACGTGCATGACAAGTGTCAGAATCTTCCAGACCCAGACATTTTTACAGTTGATACTGGTCCTCTGAAATGCGGCTCCCACTGCTCCTCCACGATCCGCGAGAGAAATTATGCATTGGAAAAGTATCGCACTCGTATAAATGCATGACAAATTCACTCAGCATGAGAAATAAAATTTGTCATGCGGATTTACCTTGAGAAAAAAATTTGCAATGCATGATTGCAATTACTACGAGCGTGCATGATTGCAATTACTACGAGTACGATGCTTCTGCACAGGATAGAAATTCGGACTTCACGACGATTTGAATCTTCTTCTTCTTCCTCGGCGACAGCTGTTTCAAAAACCCAACCACTTTCTCAATAGCCTCTAGAACCGTCAACGCATCCCGGTTCCCACAGATGTCGAGGAAAACCGCAACGTGGTTGTAGAAGAGAGCTTTGTCGTGCTGTAGCTCCTGTTCGTTTCCATTTATAATTTCTCCTATGTTCTTGTTCTTCATGCAGCTTAGTAGCGAATCCTGAAAACTGTCTTCCAAGACATCGAACTTCTGGAGGAGAATCCGGTTACTATTTGTTGTCCTCGACTTCTGCGGGTGAGATGATGTTGCACCAGTTGAACTTGACGCAGCATGTATTTCTTCTGCTTGTTCTTCTTCTTCTGCTTGATGCAGTTGTTCACCATCTGGTATAATTTGTTGCTGCTGCTCTCGCTCTACTTCAGTCAAAGTCATGGGGGAGTCTTGACTCGAAGAAGTAGAACTGCCAAAGTAGTTCCTCAAATCCTGCACGCATTTCTCGCCGACGTCGACCGCGAACAGGGTTGAGGATGGTGTACTTCTTGATAGTACCTCGTGGTCTTGTTCAACAGAGGCTGCAGCATCAGCATTTATTTTACGCGAAATCTTCAACGTCGCCCTCCTCTTCTTCTCGAAGTTTAACTCCGCCATGTTTATCTTTCGCAACAATTTTTTCGTCAGAATCCCCTCTGAACACCCGATCTCCCAGAACAGGTTGTAATTTTGCGGTGGCTTAATATTTTTTCCAGGTTGGAGAGGAAGAGCCAGATCATTTTTCTGCGCAGCAACACCGTCCGCATGAAGTAAAACTTCGTGTTGAACTTCCAGCGACTTCTTGCGGTATTCCTCGGTCGTTCGAGTCACAAAAATTTCCACATGTTGTAGTCGCTGAGGGTCCTCGTTATCAGCATTGTCGCCGCCCTGGCGCAGCAGCTTTGAAGCGGCCGCTTCGGAAGATGCATTTGCACCGTGTCCTTCGCCGCTCGCCCCGCCGCTAGGAGTAGTTACGGTGTCATCAACGGCAACACCAGGCGCACAAGCAGCAGGAGCGGTGGTCCTAGTATTGTCCTCGTGCAGGGCCCGCACTTTTTTGATTTTTTCCAATTTTTTCACTCCTATCAAAGGGAAAAATCCCCCCTCCCCATATCGAAGCCGAAACTTGTGCTGCTGTATTTGAGTACACAAGTCGGCTTCTATTGCTAGAGGGGCAAGCGCCGCAGTTGTGGCCTCGTTTGCAGGCAATTTGTCATGCTGCTTCCCACTTCCAGATGCCTCCTGTGATGCTGAAGCCGCAAGGCTTTCCCACGCGCCACCCAGCACTACAGGCACAGTCCGCATCTTTTCCCTTCTAGCATGACAGAGCTGATTTGTGACCACAAATCTGCATCACAAATTTCCAGTTTGAGTATGGGGAGGGGAGAATTTCCATTTTGATAACTCCTTCCGGGTCGTCTTTCAGTTCGATCCGGGGGCAGTAGGTGACGATGGACCGCGGTTCTGTTGTAGTTCTTCGTGGTGTATCCCTATCCTGTGCAAAAGTATCGCTGCTCTCGTACAAATGCAAGTCTTGCATTACAAATCTTGTTCCCAAGGCAAATCTGCATTACAAATCTTATTTCTCACGCTGAGGAAATTTGTAATGCATTTATACGAGTACGATACTTGTTTTGCAAGTCATATGGCGGAGTGCCGCTGCGTCTTTCATCTCCACCGCCCGCACCAACGGCAAGTTGTTCTCTATTTCTGTCGGCTGACTGTTGCCTTCGGTGTACTTGTAGTACCTTGGAATTTCGTTTCGTAAAGGCGAACGCGGGCTGCCACGTGAAACGCGTAGTTGGGCCTGGCGGTGGTTTTTCCGCGGCAGCCGAAGGGGCGTCTTCATCCGGATGGTGCACTAAGCGATTCATAGTTTAAGTAATCAATGTCTGTTTTCAACTTCAACGCTACACGAAAAATTGTTTGGTTCGGGCACAGACAAAGCACATGCTCTTTACATTTAAGTACTTCTTGTTCTTTTATTGGTAGATTCCAACAGACAAAAATCCCTCAAAAAATCGCTGGTCATGTGCCTCGCTGAACAGCATTTTGGGTTTCCATCTAGCAAAGCAAAAGAATAAAACGAATGGACGAAGGTGTGCCACGAAATTATGTACCGCGATCTTCATCAAAATGATCGTCGTGTCACTGACTAGACAAGACTGCTCTTCAAAGCGGGATCGTTCATCTTGGACATGACCTTGACGTTGATTGCCCAGAGGATCGATCCTTACTCTGATCCTTACTTGGATCGATTTCATTCATTACAATTTCTTGATCCACCTTCCTGCCTAGATGTTCTAGCCTTTTGTCGCATCGGCACCACGACCACCACAACAAGTAGGCTCTTTGCATTTATACAAATAACTGGACGGCCCGCGCCCGCCCTCGGCTTTTTGCACCATCACAAACTCGCTCTAGTATTCAAGACTGAACACGAATAGTTTTATTTTGTCCTCCAGTACAACATGCTAGTAGTACTCCACCTGGAGTAACTACAAGTAGCTTCTGTATCATATGATTTTCTAAAAAAGTGACGAAGTGAAGTCATCGCGCCAAGAGTCAGAAATTATCGCTAGTCCGGTTTCTGCAGCACTGCTCTTTTTCTGACAATGCATTAAGTGTACGCGCCACACTTCTTGACGAGGACGTCGTCCTCGTCCACCCTTTTATTTTCTTTATCTATGTTCATTATACAACAGCTACAGCTGGTGCACTTTGGGTACAGAATAAAAATCTTCACTGTCATGGTTGCAGCAAAGGAGCAGCCTGTCAATCAGTGATTACTTCTCACCCCATCAAAACCGCCGCATCACTACTTGTACCTGATGTACTTTGGTGTGGTATATCACAAGTCAGATCTTAGTTCTTTTATCTGAGCAGGCTGAGTGTGCTGCGTTGGAGTGGAAGTTGATGAAAAATGTTGTGTTAGTGCACCAAATTACGACCAGGCTACTTCTTGTTTTTGAGGGAAGAGAAGATGCAGTGAAGTGCTTTCTTGTCTTTCCTTTTTTTATGTGCCATTGGTATGGCCGAAGGGAGGTTCTTCTTGTCAAATTTGGCATCTTCATGCTCAGTAGTTGCAGTCAATACAACGACGTAAGTCCAGTTGAGTGAGATTCAGAATAGCAGTCTGCTGCTCTGAATCAGTAGTGCTAGTAATGTCCTTGGCCGGCAGTAGTAGCTCATCCGGAAGAACTCCTGGCTTCGTCCTTATTGGTGCGTTAAAGTTGTAAATCGCCACCTCCCCAAGAACTCTCAGTGCAGCTCCGTCGAACTCCAGGATGTATAATGCGGGATCTTATTTCTGGACCGAGAAGTTGTAGTCCTCTGGATCGAATGCGAGCGCTCGTGCATCACAAGCAATCAATGTACAAGAAAACTCCTTGCGAGGATCATTTTCATTCTTGCTTTCATGTGGCCCTTGCGCATAATAGAAAACCGAGGATGAGGGAATCAAGATCGCCAGATTTGTTCTTCTATCTTCTTGCATGATCCGCCGGCGCATCAAAATCTTTACGAGGACAAGATTGGCAGAAGGACTAACCGACAGGAGACCTACTTCAGTGATGGCCCTGTGCAACATTTTGGCTGCGCAGTTCGTATTTCCTTTTATCGCGCAAGAACATTTGCTTCCGCACACGGAACTTGTGGAAATTGGATCGTGGTCCTATTCACCATACTGCCAACACGAACCGATGGCACTTGAAATGGATCTCCCGAGAGGACCGATAATGGTCTCCGTGTATTTACGCTCAAATTCAGTAGAATTTCTGATCCTGTATCGACATCTCGGATCATCCGACGGTGGAACTAAACGCTCTATGAGAGGACAACGGGAAGCTGTCAGAAGGCAGACCGAATACTATCCCGGATCCTCACGAGCGTGTCGTCAGCCACGTCAACGCTAATCACCGCTCCCGGCACCCAGTCGTCAGGCGCAAGAATCTTCTGTGTCCAGTAGTCCTCTTTGGCTCCCGTCGCCCCGCTAAGATCAATCTTTCGGAATAAACTACTTGCTCTCTCCTCGGCCGCCGCCCGGTATCTTATCCAGTCCTCATCTCTCGCTTCGTCCATCAGGAACTTGATCCGGTTTTCGTCTTCAAAGGTCAGCGGCGGCTCGCATTCCCACCAGTCTGCAAGTTCTAGTAGATTCGGTCCTATCTTGAGTTCTGTCAGAAGCAGGTCGTGATCACTAGATGTCATGCTTATTACGTTCGTATTTTCATGCTCAAAGAATCTACTTTCGTAAATTATCATGTCGGGGGTGGAGGAGGATGACGGGCGGGTAGCCAGGCGCCCTCCATTTGCCTGTACCCAATTTCCTTCATGGTTCACGCTGGGCCCTAATAGCTCTGCAACAATCTTCCCTGCCTTGTTGGCAGTGAAGTCTCTCCTCGTGCCACCTGCGTCCCACTTCGCGTGCCTTGCATTCAGGTCGCCTAGCAGGATGGTGGGCAGTTCTGTTTCCGGGTGGAACTAAACGCTCTATGAGAGGACAACGGGAAGCTGTCAAAAACATTTTTCCACCTTGACACTAGAAGACGTAGTACACGAGAAGTTTCTTGTCTGAAATAATGCGCACGGAAATCAAGCACAGGCACTTTCAGTTTTTATAGGAACTTCAACTTCTCTGATGCGCAACAGCAAGACAATACAAGCGATACTGCAGCGAGAACAACAATAAATGAATCGAACTGATGTCAGGAAATTTGTCCTTCGAACTTCAGAAGAAATACGGCATTTTGATTTTTTACTTCAGTAATTGCAAGCTGTGGGTGTACTACGTTGACAACGAGGAGAAACAAGACCATCACGCAGTAAATTCATCTTTATCATCGTCCCGAAGGATTTTTTCAACTACAACGGGAGCTTGAAACGCAACACCGGGACCATGAAGAACTTCTTGAGGTAGCTGCGCCTCCGCCCAACTCTCCTGTGCAGCTTGTTCACCAGAAGTGTAGTAGTTGAAAGGCATTACTTCGTGGCTCGCCTTATCGTCGAGCTCGACCATCCGGTCCCCTGCTTTCGCCGGGTTATGTAGTTGACCAGAAGTAGATCCATGTTGCACAAGACCTACTTCATCTCCTAGTTGAGGAAGTCCTGACCCTATGGCAACTTCTAGACGAGTTTTCGCGGTTGTCGTTTGCTGTTCGTTCAAAATTTCATTTTTCGTCAACCCAATGGTCGCTTTCCAGGTACCGCCGTAGACGTAGATATGGAGTGCAAATATGTCTGGGTCTGGAAACTTGTACTTAAATGTAATGCGAAAGGTGAATTATAAACGCACTGCAATACGCAGCTACGCATGACAAATTTTTTGGTTGCCATGTCTTACGTATTCCGCATTGCAAACTTCTGCGTTTTTGCATGACAGGTAAGAGGGCCTTTTCGTGGCTATGCAACACAGATTCTCGACTCATGCCAGACAAGCATGACAAACTTGCATTCTTCCAGACCCAGACATTTTTGCATTTGATAGTAGAAGGGGTTCCCTAGCAGCCCTGGAAGCTGCTTGTTCTGTCCGTGATTTTTTGTCGCCTTACTATTTTGTTCCAAATATTCCTGTTGACTGACTACTGGCCAGCAGGGCCGGCACACGAACCGCCACTGTTTTGATTTGTCCCACTTACACCTATATCAACTGCAAAAATGTGTGGGTCTGGAAGGATGCAACTTGTGATGCTGCGTCTGCATTCTCCAAAAATCTGTATTGCATGAACAGCAAAAGAGGTCTAGTTTTTGCCACGGCGTAAGGGCATTTCTCATGCGGTATAGGCATCAGGGAGCCTTCCCAACATCTGTGATGCTAGGGCATGCATCACAGACATCAGGAGTAATGCAAAATGTGCATGACAAACGTTGCATCCTTCCAACCAGACCCAGACATATTTATTGCATTTGATAACCTATACGCCAGCTGCACGGGGGTTTTGCACACGTCGCACTCCTTCGTGCGCCTCTCGTGCGCTGTTGTGGGTGTTCCTGCTCCTGCCCCTGCGTTTTTGGTACTATAGTTCGCACTAGACTTTTTCAACATCTCGGAGGTGGCGGTACTAGCGGAGGCGCCGCTGCTGGCAGAAGCTTGTGGTAGAGCAGAAGTGTTTGTCGTTGCTGAGTTTCCTATTTCTTCGCCTTCCCCTATCTGGCCGCCGTCTTGCTCCTCTGGCAGAAGTTGTGGTGTTAGTGGGTCATTGTCTGCATTCAAATTAGTTCCGAAGTGTTTTCTTTTCCGCTCTCGTTTACACGCATTGGAGCAGGTCTGCACTTCGTCCCAACACCGTTCCCATATTAAACCCAAATATGTCTGGGTCTGGAAGGATGCAAGGTTTGTCATGCTGTTTTTGCATGGCACAGAAGGTCTATCATGGCAGACCTAGCATCACAGATTTCGAGAAGCTCCTGCGATGCCTAATCCGCATGACAGATCCCCCATTCTGGTGACAGGAAGAGGAAATGGCCATCTTTATCTTTTGCTGCCTATGCATAAGAGATTTGTGGGCGTTGTGAAATACGCATCACAAGTTCGCGTCCTTCCAGACCCAGACATATTTGCACTGCATATCCCACTTTTTGCGCCAAGAAAACGGCCGGTTGCAGTGGATGCACATTTTCTCGAGCTTAAATGCCCCGCGGTCCAGCTGCTTCGTGCTTGCAGTTCCGGGGGAAGTAGAATTTGCTGTGGAGGTGTGGGCGGCCTGGTGCTTGCTGTTGTGTGCCCCTTTGATGCTTTGCTGGTCCTGGTCACTAGCATAGCCCGTTTCTGAGTCCTCGCTGTCTCCCCCTACGGCTCCTCCCGCGCCGCCGCGCGGATTCTTCTTTTTCCGAGAACCGCCTGCCATGTTGTTCAGCTTGAAAAGTATACGGTAAAGCTCAGCACAGGGACATGCGTTTCCTTCTAACTATTTAAGTACTCTTTACACAGGAAACTGTACTACACTTGCAAAAAAAAGGTGCTGTAAAAAACCTATACTCAGTAGGCTATTCGTGGAGTGACTACTAGTACTACCTGGTGCTCAAGTACATAAAGACAAAAACACTGTCTCGACAAAGCGCAGGCCTGTGCAGTAAAATAAAGCAAGATCAAGAATGAAGGCTATCACAAAATTGAATACGTATGAACTGCTTATTTCCGATAGGAGTGTGCTCCGGGGTAACCTTGCGTAATGTGGGTTGTGGTCGTCAAATGAGGTTGTCCTTTCTGAGGGTAGTAATATCTGGGTCGGTTAGTTTCTGTAGTTTTGAGGATAGAAGCAGCTAATATGTGCAGCGACGAGGACGATGAGACGAAATTCCGGCGGGACTGTATTCACAACTGACTCTTGTTCTGGTTATGGTTTGCATTCTTCGTAGGCTAAAATATCAAGAATGGTGAGCTGCAGAGCTATCTCCTAACTCACTGGAATTTTTGTCATCAATCTTACTTGCTGGAACAATTATAGACTCATACTCGCCAAACCGTCGAACGGTACAGAAACAATTGCGGGTCCGATTCGGGGAACAGAAAATCATCGGCACAGTAGAAATCAGCTAAACATCACATTCTTTTATTTCAGTACCGACTTCATCTGTCACCGATCATTTTGGCGAGGCTTGTTACTGCTGCGAGGACACCTCTATATGCAAAGCAGACGTCTCCACCGAACGGTGGTGCCCAGGAAGATGAACACAGAGGCAGATGATTCCTTCGAATTTGTAGCAGTTCCCGCAGACAAATCGGATCCGGACGGGGCACAGCACGGTCTCGTCAGCAGTCGTGGTCACATCGTTCAGAAGATGACTTGTTGCACACAAACCTGTCGAAATTGATCTTTGTATGTTTGTTATCGGTCTCCTGTGCCTGGTGGATGATGCTCTTTTCATCTCCTCACTCTTTCTGAATGGTCTCGCTGATCTTCGAACAAGTATCGTCCTTGCAGAAGCCTGAGTAACCCAGACCGCGTCTTTAAAAACTGTGGAAACTAGTACTGACTACGTGTGCGAGTCATGATCATGCTGGACAGCAGAGCGAGTTTTGCATGACAAAGGCATATTGTGACTGCGAGAACCTGCATGACAAGTTCGCGACACTTGGTTTGGTTCCTCAGGTACTAAGTTTGCAAACGATAAATATCTCCCTTCAGTGTCTTCACCGCCGCTTCCATCTGTTGAAACGCTTTCCGTGCCTTTTTTGTGGAGGGGAAGAAGGCTTGTTGTCACTGTCATGCGTCGTGCTTGGCTACTGACTTACTACAGGGGTGATCCAAGAACTCAGTACTACGACGTTGATGTGAGTGAACATGGTTGACTCCGTCCTAGTCTTTGGACTTGCATCAAGAATCTATGCCTCAGCCTACTCTATCTGCATGAGTACAAGCGTGATCATGACCGAATTGCATTTACAAAATGACCTCTACGCAGGCAACCAAAAGTCCTCTTCCCATAATCGCTGCATCAACCAAATTCTCGTCAATGTCGACGTTGGTCACGATATTGTCCTCGTTCGGATGTGTATACAGAGAAAAAAGTGCTGAAGTATTTCTACTTATTGCAAGAGATCATCTACTTAAGTAGTGAAAACAAGCATGACACTGCCTACTAGGCTCCCTGTTTCGCAAAGCTGTCTTGTCATGCAGACCAAATCTGTAAGTGCTGTAGTGCGATGAAATATGCTGCGTATTCTTGGCTCTCAGCACTTTTTCCGTACGATAGTCTTCGTAGCCGCCATCGGGATCTTTTTCCCAGACATCCTGCACGTGGGCCTCATCGCTTTCCTTGTTCTCGTCGGCATTGTGAAAGTGAATGTTTAAGTGATGTCGTATGCTATTCTTTATGTCGTGCCATGACAAACCCCCGAACATGTACGACGTCTTCTCGCGGTTTTGTTCGAGTCCCGCGTCGATAAGCGCCCGACCGAGCAGTTGGGGAACAACGGTAGTTTTCGACGAAGAAATTGTCGCCGGGATCGTGTTCTTCGTGCTGGCCGCCTGGAGAAACATTGCTGCTGCGTCCTGCTTCGGTATTGCAAAAGGCTTTCTTGCTCTTGGAGCCGTTATGTCCGGAAGAGCGTGCTGCCTTTCGCGACGACTCAGTGCAGCCTGTGCGAAGGAGGAGGAAGACCGACCTGGCAAAGTGGTAGAAGCGGAAGATGTCGAGACAGCAGGGCCAGACGAGGAAGTAAAGCCACCGGGTTTATTCTGGAGAACCCTGTTTCTGCTGATTTCGAGCACGCTGAAGAGTACCTCCTGCTCGGTTTCATTTTTCCCGTCCGCTTCAGCGGCTGCTCCACTTTCGCTCCCCGGGGCAGTCGTATCTGTCGCAACTTTGCCCCCCGCCTCATCCTTCTCCGGTTCGCCATTTGCAAACTTCTCGTCACCGGCCGCGGGCGCGTCCTCCGTAGCTGCAGCTGCTTTCTCTTCTTCGGTGGGTTTCTCGCTAGCTCCTTCTGCACCCGACTTGTTGTCGTCCTTGTTGGTGTCCTCCTCTGCGGTTTTTTTTTCTGCTTGCTGGTCCGTGTCCGTGTTTCCCTCCTGTTTCCCGTCCTTTTGCTGCTCGACGTCCGCTTTTATCTTCTCAACACCCTTCTCTTCACTGTCACTTTCCCCGGACTTGTCCACATTATCATTTTCAACCACCTTCTCTTGCCACTTCAACTTCGGCTTGAATGCTGGAAAAAACAAAAAGTCATGAAGCAACGTTGTATTAATAAACCAGCTGGTCAAGGTCATGCAAACGATCTGGATCATGCGCAGCGAAGTAGACAATGATCCTTCATCTGGAGGAATTTACAACCAGATGGTGTAGTGTCTTTGGAAGAGAACCGAAGTACTCAATCTCAAAAATCATGCAAGCATGTTCATTTTTGCTGCCATCAAGATCAACCTGGTCTCATCAACACAACTTCATGATCTTCTCCGTGGCATATTTTGTGCTTTCCACTTTCCACGTTCTGCATTAGCTCCTGGTAGCTCTTCAAATGACTCTTCCGCACTTCATTGTAATTCTCAACCGCTTGCATCACCTTCGCCAGGTGCTTGCTCACTTCCTGCAAGACCGGTTATGCATTGCAAAAATGTCTGGGTCTGGAAGATTGTAAGCTTGTCATGCAGGTTTTCCATGACCCTTAAGTTTTGGAATGCGGGGGCTAGCATAACAGACTCTGTGAGGTCTCTGTCATGCCTCTCCTGCATGAGAAACTCCTTCCCAACTTGGTCGAAAGGGGATAGCTTTTGGCACTCATGCAACACAGATTTTTCATGATTCGGATTTAGCATCACAAGTTGCAATCTTCTAGACCCAGACATTTTTGCAATCCATACCGGTATGTGCTTCGCGATTTCATCTTCTGGTTCGTTTTCTCCTTGCCCAGTCTCATTCGCGAAGGAGGAGGAGGATTTCGATTTGGTGGACAGAGAAGGGCCGTTCTTCCACGATGCAGCTGGCGTCGTAGCAGCTGCACTCGTCCCCGCCGTCGGAGTAGAAGTTGTACGTCTTGTGGTTGGGTTGGCTGCACCAAAACTATTTTTCATCACACCAATACTTTTCTTGTTTTCGATTCCGCGAGGTGGACCGCTGGAAGAGTTTGGCACGTGGGACTTCGCCGGTACGGAAAAACCCGACTGATCCACAGTCGCGTCCAGGAATGCAGATAAATACCCTCGCTTCAATACGAGATCGGGCTTCAGGTTTAGCAGGCGCGACGAGCTCTGGGAAAAAATAATTTCGGGCAGGTTGCTGGGAGCAACCACGACATCGTTGTTGTACTTCTCGATGTCCTGCATCAAATGATCTTGACGCTGCCACAACCCGCCCATTTTTGCTCCTACTTCCGGACGAGACAAAGTGAGGCGTGCCCTTGCGCTTGTCTGTTCTTGAGGAAGCAAATGCAACTTCACAAATTTTTTGTCGTTCTATCAGTTCACCGGCCGATTGTTCTGCAAATCGTCGAACGCCTTCCTAACTTGTGCCGCGTTCTTCTGCGCAATGGGCATATAACCCGCTCAGGTGTTACAATCTCAAGCGGTACAGTAGAGTCTGATACTTGTCTTGCATAATGAGCATGAGAGACTCGCAGGGCGTTCCACTTTCTGCAATACAAATTCCGCCAGGTTGTAAAAATGCGGTTTGGGACTCCGGAACTTGTCGTGCAGAATCTGAATCCTATGAAGAGAGTTGGCTACACTAGATAATGCACTTCTTGCATCACATCAGATTTTCATATTCTATATCTGACGTGTGAGATTGGAACACATGAGCGGGTCATAGGGCACCTTGGGGTTTTCTTGCTCCTCGACGGTATCCTCGACAGCCTGCTCGGCCGCCTGTTCTGCGGCCTGCTTCGCCTCCGTAGTTTCGTTGAAGGAAGTAGTGCGAACGTTGAGTGTTTTCGTCGTGTAGCTAGGCGCGGTGGTGTTCTTGCTGATGCTGGTACAAAGAAAGTCGATATTATCAAAGCGGGTGGTTGTTGTGCTCCTTGAGTAGTTGATAGGGCCATGAAGAAAGTCCCTCACGGAAGCAAGCAAGTCGTGAAGAACAGGTGTACTAACAGTGTCATAGTGGTGCAGAAGGAAGGGCATGACGTACGTTGATTTCGATTTGGTTTTGGTAGAATGATGATACTGAAATCACTCAGTATACAGATGAGCTCCTTCCATGATGAAGCTAGAGATGAAGATTTTTCAGAGCGAAAGAGAATTTTGTCGTGCTGCTCCATCCGATGATGCAAAAATTCCGAACAAAGTGACACGACAATCACACACGATGGCTCATGCGAAAGCGAAACAGTTTCAGTTTTCGTCTTCGACGAATAGTTCAACACGAGAACGACTTTCCACTTCTGAATCAAACCACGTCGCGACGACAGAAAAATTTAGCAAAGAAACGATGCCGACGAAGAAGTGACTCGCTTCTCGTCACACAGTGATGTGACAGTGACACCCACCAAAACGACCACGCACCACTAACGATAGGACTCTGCTCGAGTGCTGACGCACCTCAGGTGCGAGTCTGTTTGAATGGAACGCGCTTCTGATCTTCTGGTAAACGCGACCAGCACTTCTAGGAAGGAGGCGGAGAGTAGTTGTAGATGTAGTGCGGGAATCAATGCATTCTCTTCTTCTTCGGTGCGCGTGATAGTGCAATAATTGGTTCCAAAACATGTCGAGACTGGTACTAGAAATACGGACAACATTTTCACACAGTAGGGTAGTTGACGAGATCCTCATCAGTCCACCTTCGCAATCTTTGTTGCTGGTTCGCTGGCTTCTTCACCCGGCTTTTGCTTTTCTTCCTGCTTCGCCTCGGTGCCCAGCTGCTGTGTCACAACTTCTCCTGTAGCAGTTCTTTTCATGATCTCCCCCACAGCAGGTTGTAGTAATTCCTCTGCTTCCGCCGGTCGCTTGTTGGAAGGTACAGCTTGATTTTCGGCCGTCGATGTTGACACTTGTCCTGCACCGGCTGCAGCACCAGTAGCGTCAGCAGTTGCAGGAGAAGAAGACGCCGGTTTACAATAACCAAAGATCCCCATCCCATGCGTGACATAGAACCAGTTCCTGTACTCCTCAAACGTGCCCTTCGCCAGGTGCTTCCGGATTTCCCGGAACAGCAATTCGTATTTTCGCAGGTTGTGCCGCGTGAGCCAGATGTAGGCTGCCAGTTCCTGCAAGTGCAGCAAATGGGAGAGATACGCCCGGGTGCACTTCTGCTCTTGCAGACCCTTCTTGCCAGAACTTATTTCCGCTGCTGTATTTGCCTGCTCGTCCACCTCTTCCACTGGAATAAACTCGTCCGCGCACTCCGGTCGCATCAAGTCGACACCCCAAGAGCGGCGCGTTTTCCCAGCAGCAACAATTTCCGCAATCAATTCTTTCACAGGTTTATCCTCCGGCATGTTCAGCGAAAAAGTCAACGCAATTCCGTTATTCGCGCAAATAAATGGAAAGCCGATTTTATCCTGAGTAAAAACGTACCCACACCAGAGTCAGGATGGGGATTTTGCAACACAAACCTAGGAGTTTTGTGAGTCACGCATGACAAATTGCAGGCTGTATTGTAGTGCAGTTTAGCAAGGGAAGTCGCATTACAAATCCCTCTGCTCATCCTGTTCGCAGCATCACAAATTCGAAAACACGACTGGAAATGGCTCTCATGGGGATGCGCATTACCAATCTTCCTGTCTTTGCAAATCAGCATTACAACTCTGGTGTGGGTACGTTTTTATTCAGGATAGATTTCGAACACATCCACCTTTTCAGCAAACTCGAAAACATCCTGCAAGTCCCCCTTGGTCGGGAGGAAAATGGCGGCTTTTCTCCCGTTTTTGTCACTGTTTTCCATCGTTCTCAACACCGTTTCCACAATGTCCTTCCGATCTTCAAATGATTCCCCAAGACCCAGACCGCTGATGCAGCAGATGTTGGGTGGAAGTGATGTTTTATTTTTCACCGGAGCTTCAGCAGGTTCGTGTTCTTTCTTGCTCGTGGTCGTCTCTAGAAGCAGTGGGGGTTCGCTTGCTTCTTTTTGATCATACTCCGCTCCTTCTGCTTGTTTCAGAAGAGCAGGTTTCATTTCACAATTGTCTTCCTGTTGTTCCCATTTCGTGAGCACATTCTTCGTCGCGATCACCCGCAGCCCCTCGAAACTCCCCCCCTGGATGACCGGGGCGATAAACTTGGGTTTTGAACCACCTCCAGAGGTCGTGTCCTGACACAAGTTGTTCACCCACCCACTCGTCCCGTCCCGGCTCCGCTCCACGGATTTCTGGGCCCGGTTCCGCCCGAGAAACACATCGGTTTCTTCCGCGACTTGAGTGGCGAAGTCGAACTTCTTGGCGAGCTCGACAAAACCCTCTTCGCTGATCTTCTGCGTCCCGTGGATGGTGTTCTGCAGAATGATTGGCTTCGTGTTCGTATTGCTTGTGAAGATGTTCCGCGCAGTAGTAGAAACTGCTGCTGCATTGGATTTTGATGTTGTGGTTGTAGCTTTCATCGGTTCTCGTGCAGCTTCTACAGATGAACCTGCTTCGGCGTTTGGAGTACAACTTCCAGCTTGTTCCATCTCTTTCGATTTCGCAGATGAAAATTGCTCCACTACTTTCGGCTCCTTTACAAACCGACTCGCATGGAATTCCCCGGGCGGAAGTTGCAGATCACCATCTTCTCCTGTAATCATGCCCTTGGATTTAGACCTCGACCTTTCCCGGTTTTTGGTAACGACCTTACCCTGGAAATTCGTCTTTTTCTGTTGCTGAAGTTGTTGTACGCAACTCGGCGAAGTCGTACTGCTCTCGCCGCCGTTGCTGGTGCTGCTTGCGGTTGTAACTACCGGACCTGCGGGAGTAGCACCACTAACTGCTGTTGTAGTATCGACGTCTCTAACCCCCGTGAAAACCACATGGCTGTTCCCCGCTTCCAGTACATCTCGGCTTCCCGACAGGTAGAGGATGGCTTTAGAAGAGGAAGTTGTAGTTGTGCTGGTTGTACAACTATCGTATCCAAAATGTTCCTTCGCACTTTTCCCCTCCGGAATTAAACTTTTGACATTCGTTTTGCTTGTTCCTGCGCTGTTGACATAATTCGACCCGAGCACGTCTCCGACTGGGATGTTTACCAAATACCCTTCCGAATCGAACAACACCTCCTCCAGCGCCTTTGGGGTTAGATTTGGCGGAAGGCCGCGGCGGGTTGGGATGGAAAAAGTAGGGGTGGGGATGGAGCAGGTCGTGGTACTGCTGCTGAGGAGTTTCATTTTGAATGGGATGGAGATCCTACTTTGTGGTCAAGTTTCAGTTTCACAGCAGCAGATTATAGGTCGCTTTTCGTGTCGGTGCTCGGACTAGAAGTGTACGTGTAGTTCGTGCAGGTACTAATTCTAGATATTCTGGAGAGCTAACTACGATAAAATCATACGGATTTTTGCTTACACAATGCAAAGCGACGGAAGATTTCTACATCGTCTACGGTTATTTGTGCGACCTGGTTTGTTCGAGGTTATTTGTATTGGAGGAGATCGAGATTTCACTTTTGTAAATTCAAACTTCATCTGGAACAAGCCTTCGTTGAGTACAAATAAACGCCGAAAAGGTCCTCGACTTCCTAAGATCAGCACAAGCTGCCATGTCCTAGTTTGAGATTGAGCATGAAATGTTGATCCTGCTCATCATTTTCTGACCGCCGATGTTAAAATTTTTCTTCTTGTGGATCGCAGAACATTTTTCGGGACTCTGAATCCCGATTTTTAAGTTTTCTCTCTATTCGTCGATTCATTCTTGTTGGAACATCGTGGATCATCAAATGAAGCAAGTAGAACATCTTAGGTTCTAAAACTCAGCGAGATCAGATCTGCTTCTCCTCATCTGGTGCGCCAAAACCCTTTCACCATTGCAATCAGTACTTCAAAAAAAAACCGGTGTGTTTGTTCGTAGTTGCGCTTGAGTTGTTCCTTTGCATGATGATCTTCTTTGCGATAGTGATGAAAGATGAATATTCATCGATCTTCAGCACCTTCTCGTTGCGTTTGCAGCCTGTATGTTGAGTGCTTCTATTCTTCTACGGCGTCGGCCCTAGAATTTTCCTACTGCGTACTTCTTCTTCTACCCCAGGAGCCCTTGTGGTCAGTACGTGGTCAACTTCACCATCCCGGGTTCCCCACTCGTCGTCGACGTCGCCCGGCTCGAAGTAATATGAAATGTAAATATGTCTGGGTCTGGGAGGTTGCAACACTTGTCATGCACGTTTTGCATGAGCCATGTTGTCTGCGATGCATGCCCTAGCATCACAGATTCGTTGGGACCTTCTTGATGCCTATCCCGCATGACAAATGCCCTCTCCGCGTAACAAAAGTTGGACTCCTTTTGCTGCTCATGCAATACAGATTTTTTTGGAATGCAAATGCAGCATCACAAGTTGCCATGTTCCAGATCCAGACCCAGAGATATTTGCAACGCATAAGTAAAGCAGGGAAACAGAATCTTCATCATCACCAGCCCGCCGCCCTTTTTGCCCACCCGGCCCGTCACCAGCGCGTAGAGGAGCCAGATGCCAATGAAGGCGCTGAGGAACAGTGTTCCGACGTTATGAGAGTGCACAACTCCCCCTCCCCCTCATGTGTATAGCATGAAACGCAATACAAACGCCTGCACTCCTGAAGCCTGTGCATGCCAAGTTCACCAACCGAGTGTAGTATATGGAGCGTAGGTGTACTACCGCTACCGGGTTATTCGATGTACTACCGGGTTAGTCAAGGTGCCCCAAATTTGAAAAGTCAAGGCCAGCGCAAAAAAACAGCCAAGGTCGGGAAATCCGTTGTCGAGGTTTTGTCGCGTTTTGGCCCCTGTTGTGCTTCGCATGCAAAGCACCGCAAGCGCGGGCCGAAGGGCTAGGAGCCGGCCCCTGTTGTGCTTCGCAAAGCACCGCCAGCGCGGGCCGAAGGGCTAGGAACCGCCGCCCGGGCGGCCAACCTTGAGGCAGAGCCAGGCCGAACGGGTTCGGTTTTGTCGCGTTTTGGCTCCTGTTGTGCTTCGCAGATCACCGCCAGCGCGGGCCGAAAGGCTGGGAACCGCCGCCCGGCCAATCTTGAGGCAGAGCCAGGCCGAACGGGTTCGGTTTTGTCGCGTTTTGGCTCCTGTTGTGCTTCGCAGATCACCGCCAGCGCGGGCCGAAAGGCTGGGAACCGCCGCCCGGCCAATCTTGAGGCAGAGCCAGGCCGAACGGGTTCGGTTTTGTCGCGTTTTGGCTCCTGTTGTGCTTCGCAGATCACCGCCAGCGCGGGCCGAAAGGCTGGGAACCGCCGCCCGGCCAATCTTGAGGCAGAGCCAGGCCGAACGGGTTCGGTTTTGTCGCGTTTTGGCTCCTGTTGTGCTTCGCAGATCACCGCCAGCGCGGGCCGAAAGGCTGGGAACCGCCGCCCGGCCAATCTTGAGGCAGAGCCAGGCCGAACGGGTTCGGTTTTGTCGCGTTTTGGCTCCTGTTGTGCTTCGCAGATCACCGCCAGCGCGGGCCGAAAGGCTGGGAACCGCCGCCCGGCCAATCTTGAGGCAGAGCCAGGCCGAACGGGTTCGGTTTTGTCGCGTTTTGGCTCCTGTTGTGCTTCGCAGATCACCGCCAGCGCGGGCCGAAAGGCTGGGAACCGCCGCCCGGCCAATCTTGAGGCAGAGCCAGGCCGAACGGGTTCGGTTTTGTCGCGTTTTGGCTCCTGTTGTGCTTCGCAGATCACCGCCAGCGCGGGCCGAAAGGCTGGGAACCGCCGCCCGGCCAATCTTGAGGCAGAGCCAGGCCGAACGGGTTCGGTTTTGTCGCGTTTTGGCTCCTGTTGTGCTTCGCAGATCACCGCCAGCGCGGGCCGAAAGGCTGGGAACCGCCGCCCGGCCAATCTTGAGGCAGAGCCAGGCCGAACGGGTTCGGTTTTGTCGCGTTTTGGCTCCTGTTGTGCTTCGCAGATCACCGCCAGCGCGGGCCGAAAGGCTGGGAACCGCCGCCCGGCCAATCTTGAGGCAGAGCCAGGCCGAACGGGTTCGGTTTTGTCGCGTTTTGGCTCCTGTTGTGCTTCGCAGATCACCGCCAGCGCGGGCCGAAAGGCTGGGAACCGCCGCCCGGCCAATCTTGAGGCAGACCGAGGCCGAACGGGTTCGGTTTTGTCGCCTTTTGGCTCCTGCTGCGCTTCGCAGATCACCGCAAGCGCGGGCCGAAGGGCTGGGAACCGCCGCCCGGCCAATCTTGGGAGGCAGAGCCAGGCCGAACGGGTTCGGTTTTGGTCGGTTTTGGCTCCTGTTGTGCTTCGCAGATCACCGCCAGCGCGGGCCGAAGGGCTGGGAACCGCCGCCCGGCCAATCTTGAGGCAGAGCCAGGCCGAACGGGTTCGGGTTGTGCTTCGCAGATCACCGCCAGCGCGAGCCGAAGGGCTAGGAACCGCCGCCCGGCCCATCTTGAGGCAGAGCCAGGCCGAACGGGTTCGGTTTTGTCGCGTTCTTTTGGCGCCTGTTGTGCTTCGCAGATCACCGCCAGCGCGGGCCGAAGGGCTAGGAACCGCCGCCCGGCCCATCTTGAGGCCGGGCCAGGCCGAACGGGTTCGGTTTTGTCCCGTTTTGGCTCCTGTTGTGCTTCGCAGATCACCGCCAGCGCGGGCCGAAAGGCTGGGAACCGCCGCCCGGCCAATCTTGAGGCCGTGCCAGGCCGAACGGGTTTGGTTGTAGCCAGTTTTGGCTCCTGTTGTGCTTCGAAGATCACCGCCTGCCAGGCAGCGCGGGCCGAAAGGCTGGGAACCGCCGCCCGGCCAATCTTGAGGCAGAGCCAGGCCGAACGGGTTCGGTTTTGTCGCGTTTTGGCTCCTGATGTGCTTCGCAGATCGCCGGCAGCGCGGGCCGAAAGGCTGGGAACCGCCGCCCGGCCAATCTTGAGGCAGAGCCAGGCCGAACGGGTTCGGTTTTGTCGCGTTTTGGCTCCTGATGTGCTTCGCAGATCGCCGCCAGCGCGGGCCGAAAGGCTGGGAACCGCCGCCCGGCCAATCTTGAGGCAGAGCCAGGCCGAACGGGTTCGGTTTTGTCGCCTTTTGGCTCGCGCTGTGCTTCGCAGATCACCGCCAGCGCGGGCCGAAGGGCGAGGAACCGCCGCCCGGCCAATCTTGAGGCCGAGCCAGGCCGAACGGGTTCGGTTTCGCGGGAGGTCTTGCCACCGTTTCGCTTTTTCCGTGCCAAAGAGGTTTTCGGGAGCGCCGTTTTTGATAGTACTACCGAGATAAGAGTCATGGACTCCACTCGGATCGCGACAAATTTCGCGACCTCGGGAGCAGTTTGGGGGCAGTTTTTTTTGTTTTTTCATTGAGAATGCGTGTAGTATCCAGGTAGTGCAAAGATCTGAAAACCGCCGTAGCATGGGTGTTCGGGTTTGCACTACCGCACGAAAAATAATGGGTAAAAGTCAGCCACTGCCGGAATCTGCGGGAATTAATATCCGGGTAGTGCATTGAGAAAGCAGATCGGTAGCGCAAAGCCTTAAAATCCACCGTAGCATTGGGAATATGCCTTTCACTACCGTACAAAACCGATAAGGGAAAAGCGACGCACTACCGTGGTACCGGTTCGACGAATTTTGGTCGTCGGTTATCCCGGTAGTGCGTCGTCTTTTCGTACGGTAGTGCAACGCGTTTCCCCCACGCTCCGGCGGTTTAGAAGTTTTTCGGCTACCGAGATAATAACTCAAAGACAAAATCAAGCGCGTCAACTCGGATTCAACTCGGATTCGAGTCTGAACACGTTGAAAGTCAACGCTTCTTATTGCGGTAGTGGAATGAAAAAAGTGATTACTTTTTGGCCTCAATCTCTTGGGAGGCGCTCCGCTCTCGCGCCTCTGGCCTCTGCTCTGTCTCCCCAGTCTCTTGGGGCGAGCGCTGAGGCGCCAACCAGGAAGCCGCCGGCTCGTCTTCAGACACGGTTGGCCACCCGATTTTCTCCGGTTGGGAGGGTCGAGGAGCGCCGCAGCTCTTGACGCTGCGGGCGCGCAACTACTCGGCGGGCTCCTCAGTCTCTTGAGTCGAGCGCCGCTCTTGGCAGCTCGCCGCAGTCTTGAGGCGAGCGCGGCGCCGCCCAGCCTCGTCAGTCTTCAGACCGGGATAGAGTGGCGAGCTACAAAATAAAAAAACAGGCCCCTCGGGGGTCTGTTGCCGGCGGGGCGGCCGGCTCGCAGAGGTCCCCACCCGCTTCGCCGCGTCGTCGTCCGACATACAGCGGCAGGGCGGCAGTCAGCTCTGTATAC